AACACCAAGCATTAAATGTGGTAAATTGTGGATCTTTAATAAGTTCCCTTATTTGAGGACCATCAAATATACCAGCTTTTAGTTTTTCCGTGCTAATCCCAGGAAACTTACGTATGTTATGTTGATAATGGGGTGTTAATACACTGCGACCTAAAAGATCTATTGTGCCCCCTTCTGTCGCCACTGCACTAAGGAAATGTCTCAATGCCTATAGCGACCCTTCCAATCCTATTTTCTCAAGGAAGTGTAGGATTTGAAGTGGCTTCAAGTTAGGTAAGTCTCCCTCTTCTATTTGATATCCTCCTAGATATAGTGCCCTTGGATTCTGGAGTGCTACACATTCAGTTAGGATGTGAATGGAGGTTTCGTCCTCCTCCTCACAGAATCTGCACTCACTATCCTCTACTACTCTCAGTTTACTTAGGTGTCCTTTTAGTCGGCAGTGTCCGGTAAGGATCCCTGTTACAATACGTAGCCTGTTCTTGCTCAGGCAGAGGCAGGCTTCCGATCTTTTTTGGTTATATTCACCCAGAAGTATCTTGGCCTGTTTCAGCCCCAAGAGATTGTTCCAATTATCGGTTCTTCTACTACCCAATTCTTTTTTAATCTCTTCTATTATGTTACTGCTGATACCTCAGAACGGCTCAGGTCCTACAAAGGGTGTTTGAGCCCCTATCCTTGCAAGACTATCTGCAATTTCGTTACCCTGTACCCCGTTATGTCCCGGGACCCAAGTGAGAGTAACTCTATTTTTCTCGCCTAGCTCATTCAATTGTTCTAGGCATCTCCATACCATTTTTGAGCTGATTACGTAAGAACTCAGCGCTTTGATGGCTGCTTGACTATCGGACATGATGATAATCTCTCTCGATGTTAAACTGGATACACTTCTCGATGGCGTGAATTTCCGCCTGGAAGATGCTTGGGTATTTTCCCAAGCTTTTGGAGTGCTTGGTTCTCGGCCCATACACTCCTATTCCAGTTCCTTCTATGGTTTTGGAACCGTCCGTGTACCACTGAATAGCACGTCTTTCGGTTGCAAGCGCGATGGATTCTTAGCTCCATTCTTTCTTGCAGCCCAGCTCTGTGGTTTTGAAGTTTTTCACAAAACTGTACTTCTTACGTAACAAGTACCTAAAACAATTTCCATCTCGATTTAAAGCTGCTTCATAAACCCCAACTTGATATGCATAAGATTATTTTTTCATAACCAAAGGTTCGTTGATTACGTTTTGTTTTCCCTGAACTATAACCTCTTAAATGCCTATTTCTGTAAACCCAGTGCTAATTTTTAGATCTGCTGCTCCAAACACATAAAAAACAGGGATATTTTGTATATCCGCTTTGCTGTCCAAGGAAAAAGTTTGTCATTTTTAAATCAACACAAATTGCCCACTGATGTCTGATTTATTTTTTTTTTCTTTTTTTCAAAACAAGTGCTATTGTTTCATATTCCTCTTTCATGGTAGTAGACTGACCAATAGGAATGGAGCCATATTTGTTACCATCATGTAAAAGGACACATTTTAAACTGTCAATAAAAAGGCGCCAATCGTCTGGAGTGTTTTCTGACAAACCGATTTTTATCGCTACAGAATACCAGGTTATTTTCCCTAGTGAAAAAGGGCAGCAGATCATTTTCTTTTACCATAAAATGTAATATTAATGCCTGGATAAAGAAGGTTCTTTTCTTTTAATCTGGATGCAAGTAATTTAGCAGACTTCTTTGAGAGGTATAGGTCTCTTATGAGATTGTTCAGGTCTTATTGATTGAAACGCTGAGTTGTTAAATCTGCTTCAAATTCGCTGTCGTTTTCGGATTGAATTTTTTAAACTTCTTCAGACGTTGATGTTTCGGTATCATTTCCCGGGAGTTCAGGAAGGCTGCTGAAGGATGTAATGGGTATTTTTTCCGAGTGCAGTAGTACAGGTCTTCTTGCCGAATTTAGATTAGGATATGTCCATTTGTGTCTATTGTTCCTATTCTTGCCTTTAATATTAACGAGACAAAAATAGCAGTCATTATAATGGTTTCGTGGTTCCCTCCAAACCAATGGTACACCAAACTTTGGGCATTTCCTCTTTCAAATTGTCCACTGTCGCAAAATATTCAACACATGTTGAACTCAAGATTTATCCTGGTCTCCCAAATGAACTCCAAAATAGGCAAGATAAGCCCTTTTCACAAAGTCAGAAATAGTTTCTTTTTTTTAATTGTATTCATAACAATGGTTTACACATCTACGTCTGCTTGAGGATGCCATTGTTTTACTTTTAACACTATAAAAAGACGAAAATTTACACAAAATGATAGCACAACTTTACTTGTAAAAACTCAATAATATACTAAATCGAGAAGGGTAAAGGTAGGCAGATGGTACAATGTTTCTAAGATTAATTAGTGGGGATTAAGCAGGAATAGAAAGATCGGATCATAGGCAATTCCAAGTATAAAATAATATAATAATAATACTCTCCCTAATTCACCCCCTTACGAGTGAATTTTAATCTCTGAATCTGACTCAGCGCCTTGTATAGGGGAAGGGACGGCTATTATTATTATTATTTTCCGTGGCGCTCCGGGGCGACTTAAAGATGATTGATGGCGCCATTTGACTTACAGGTGAGGAAAACCCGGAAAACCCCACCCACCATCATCGAAAACGGTAACGCATGGCGATTTTATAATCTGGATTGGCATATCAAGAACTTACCTTCGTGCACTTGAAGTCTCTCAAAAACGGTTTCTTCGAATAATATTCAATAAAACAGCAAGACATTCAAGCAATCTTCTCTATAGTGAATCACAAATGTTAGATATTAGGCAATTATATAGTATCCAGCTAGGGTGTCAACAGTATAAAAACAAAAATGAACTTACCAGATTAAGCCATCAATATCAAACAAGAACAAAACACTTACACTGTATACCAATAACTTCGAAATCTGTAGGACAAAGAAGCTATGTATATTTAGGTCCAAAACTGTTCAATTACTTACCACAGAGAATAACAGAGGAAACTTCTTATAAGAGCTTTAAAAAGCAACTTACACTCTTCATAAAAGAAAGTGAAAGAACAGATATTCATAAAATAATAGAGAGTTGAACAAGAACAAAATAGAAAATAAAAATTTTTCTCTTAGTCTATTCTTTCAATGATTTTAATTAATATTTTATGTAGCCTAGTAAAAAAAAAAAAAAAAAAAAAAAAAAATATATATAAAAAAAAATTTAAAAAAAAAAATGTATAACTTAAAATTATTATATATTTTATCAAGTTTTTATTTAATGCATTTCTAATATATGTATTTAAATATGTTCTTTTAATAATCATATTTTTTTTACCACAAACAAGTATTTATAATACTTCAGTGGATATTTTTTGGTTTATTCATCCAATTGGATTGATTGTATGTATTTTTAATTATTGTATATATTTTTTTTATTATGAATAAACATTATTATTATATCAACAGAAATTAAATTTCTGCTAATGCCGCTTAACCAGATATAGCAAGGTTGGTTCACGGACAATTTCATGTATATATTTGGCTAATTAGATTCTAATTTTGAGTAAGAAACTTCTATTTTGAACTTTAAAGAGATATTTACTTATCTTTGCTTTTTATTAGAACTAAATTCAATTAGCCTGCATCTCAAAAATTGGAGTCGATAGAAAAGATCTGCTGGCAGTTTTAGAATCAGCACATTAGATATATCTAAAATCAGTTCTTGAATTTCTGGCAACAATTCTTGTGATTCCGAATAATGTGGCTATTATAAAATAATATAAGTATTATAAGTGTAAATCTGAAATTTGTTAAGGGTCGTTAAGGGGTATCTCTTAGCATTTTACAACAATGAATTTCTTTTGAACTGGTAAAGATAGTATGTTCCAGCTGTGGAGACCTCCTTTATCAGATTGGAAGATGACCTTCGTTGTGTTTTATAGGTAGAAGACTATTATTTGTATCTTTCTTACTATAAAAATAAGCATCACACTTAATTTCACCTTTGCGAATATATTTTTTGTATATTTTTCTTGCGCTTATTTATGTGGGTGGAAGACGTAGTTTGTTGTATAATTCAGGTGGAAGACGATATTTTCTAAACTTTTTATGTTCATATCAACGTGCATACCAAGTTTCAGGCATGCAAAAATGATTTTATTTTCACAGGGTCTAGGTACACGCTAACTTGTACGCAATTCAAAAATTATATACACGCGAAACGTCATGCCCTATGGCATTATTATGACTCGCGTATCGGGGACAACACTAATGATTTGTAGTTCGCATGTCGTATGCGTTTTATTTGTACATCGGTCTCCTTTTGACAGAGTAGGTGAACTGTGTCCAGGCCGTTGGTGTTTCTGCCCGTCGGCGTAGCCAGGTAAGGATTGAAATTTTTTGGTGGCGGCGAAGCCGCCACCCTATGAGAAGTCATTGCTACGACTTCTTGTTGTCATGGCATTATTATTATTTGTTCATGTATGTGAAATTTGCTTCTAAGGTTTATAAAATACTACTGCTTGTCAGGGCGTAAATGAAAACAAACAAGACGCATTCACACAAACACCTCCCACCACAGCAATTACAAATCATTAGTGTTGTCCCCGATACGCGAGTATTATTATGGGAATCGCCTTTTTAATCGTAACTAATGTAGATAACTCGGGCGCGTAATTCAACGTTTGATGACCTTTCGCGTGTACCTAGTCACAGCGTTTTATTTTATCATTTTTTTTTTACTGGAATTGCAACTCTCTCACTAACCTCTGTTGTAAAATAAAAATAAAGCTTGCGAAAATGGTTCATTGAAATCTGTCGTTACTTCCCAAACTATTATGGAAAAATTGATTTCCGTAATTTTCTGAAATGTTGATATGTCGAGTTCTAAAACGTATCAACCTTTCAGAAAATTTGATAGAAAGTCATTTTTCCATAAAAAAATGTGCCCGGTCCTTTATCCATCCATTGACCTAATTTTCAGTACTAACTGGTTCTCTGGCATGATGAATTTGTACATGTTTATTATGATTTGACTTAGTGGTCGAAGTTTTACCACAAATGTGACAGGTATAGGGTCTTACGCCAGTATGAACTCGCATATGGTCTTTAAGGTAATAAGACCTGTGGAATTTCTTCCCACACACTTTGCAATTAAAAGTCTTACTGTTTTCATGTTCTTTCACATGCCGAAGGCAATTGTACTTTCTTATAAATTGCGCCCCACAATGATTGCAAGTGTAAGGGCGAACACTCTTATGTGAATTTACATGTGCGGTAAAATCAGACTCGCGTATAAAAGCTGCTTTACACAAATCGCATTTAAAAGGCTTTGATGTTCTACTAGCATGTGTCCATTTATGTTGTTTTAGATTCCACTTTGTTGTAAAGTCTTTATTGCACATTAAACAAGCATAGGGCCTAGTGCCACTGTGGGTTTTTATGTGAACTTCCAATGATGATTTTAAATAAGTACCCTTACATATTGGACACTCAACATTTTCATTTTGACGAGTTTCTTCTGGAAGGAAATTTTCGTTGTGAGCCCTACGCATGTGTCTAGTTAAACTTGACATATGAAGAAATTTTTCACTGCACTGGCTGCAAGCTTTAGGTTTGGAATCATGAATTTCTTTGTGCCAGGCTAATTTTTTCTTTGAATGGAAGATCTCCCCGCATTGGCAAATGTAATCTTTGATTTTTTTCTTTAATTGGAAATGATGGCGGTTTCTGTGTTGAATCAAGTTGGAATGTCTTCTAAATTTTTCATTACATAAGTTACATTTTATTGGAGCATCACCTAAAATAATACCAAAACATTTTTTTACAATTTTTTACAATAGTTCATAATCCTAATTTCAATGGCCTTATTTTTTACCTTATAACAATCTCTAGAATTTTTCCGATTCAAATGAGCCCTTATAACGAACCAAATATAAGAACTAGGTGTTATTACCTAACTAAAAAAAAAAACTAATGCCAAAATCGTAAGCGAACTAGTGTACTAAAATTTACAAGGATCTGTTTTAGGACCAGTTCTTTTCTTGCTATTTATTAACGATTTAATTAAAGTTGAAATATCTGGAAACTTTACAATATTTGCTGATGATACCACAGTTCTTTGGAATGGAAAAGATGTTGAAGATCTTAAAAACTATATTTCAAGTGATTTCAGAACAATTTTATTAAAGACTGGTGTGAACTGCTTAAGCTTTAATACCAAAATAACAAATGTAGTTTCATTTAAACTTGCTTTTAATGATCTTGTTCTCAGCAAACAGACCATTGATAATGTGCAATGCCTCAAATTCCTTGGCCAAGATGGCAACTAACACGAACGCATCGTTAAGTAGCAGTGCGATATTTACTTGCAATTATAATGGAAAAGTTACAAAAAAAAGTGAAATTTTTCATTACCTGTTCTCGACGAAAAAATTGTAGTGATGAAAATATTAACTACAACCTAAATTTAAAAGACAAAAAAAATGTGAAACCCCTATTGAAGATAATTCTAAAATGCAGTGAATTTCAATGGAAACAAAGTATTTAAAAAACTATTAAATGATGTTGAAATAAGGTACCAGCAACAAAGAAATAGATAACGATTGAAAAAATACCTATACAGGACGTTTCCTAAATACGGTACGAAACTTCAGAGGGTGATTCCTTATTTCGTTTTATAAAAAAAAGTTCCTATAAACATGTTTGGAGTTGCTTCGTTACTGAGATACAGGGTGTTAAAGTTAAAAAAAAAATGGATATTTTATAAATTTCATAAATATCCTTAAAATGATTTGGTTTAAAGGTACAGTTAATTGAAGTAATAAGGCGCTTATTTAGCCCTAACTAGGTTGAAGTTATTGGGTCCAGTGGCGTCTCGGTGGGTACAACAGGCAATATTATTGAGAAAAAAAGCAATGAAATCATTACATAAACGATTTTCGATGTCTGATGTGAAATGTTCTGCACGATCAATTAATACATGGAATCGAAAAATTGGCTTTCACTTTAAAAGAAGTAATAAATTGACACTTTTTTATTGGAACGAACATCGATTCAGTTAAAAAAGTCGTTTTTGAAAAATTTTAAGAAGGAAATAGAGCTGGGTAACTATAAGCCCGTATTTATATATGAGACGTGGGTATATAGCAAAGGAAGTGACAGAAAAAGTTGGCAAGATGGAACGATGGCTACTGCAAGTTAAAAACGACATGGAATTCAATACATAATTGTCCATGGTGGCAAAGAAGAATGGTTTATAAAAAATGCAGACCTCATATTTAAGAGTCAAACAAAAAGCGGGGATTACCATAATAATATGAACACAGAAAATTTTTAAAAATGGTTTAGGATGAAATTTATACCTAGTCTGGATCATCGTTCTTTGATTATAAGCCATAATGCCAGTTATCATTCACGGCACATGGAACCAATTCCATGTTAAGTTGGACAAAAGTTAAAACAGTAAAATGGTTGCAGGAAAAGAATATTAATTATCCAATCAATGGTATGAAATATCAGATTTGGGAAGTTGTACATCAAAATCTATCATGAAAAGAATTCCACCTAGATAGATATGTTGAGGAATATGGGCATAAAATATTAAGAACTCCTCCATATTACTGCCAAATCAACAAATTTTAACAACAAAGTCGTCACCGGAAGATGTATTTCAGACTTGGTCAGAAGCTTTGAATAATGTTACCAATAATAAGTGGGACAATTTGTAAGACACTAAAAACATAATCGTTTCCGATCTAGAACCAATTATTATTAATTTAGGTACAACAGCAAGTAGTGATGAGTTTGAATCAAAGTCCAGTTGTGAGGAAAATTATATTGATTAAAAAAATGTATATGAGTTATCCAATAAATATTTTCTGTGCCTTTTGTAATAATATATTTTTTTTAACAATGAATCTGTTTTACGAATTAAAACCTGTTTTGGAGTATCTTTAAAAACTCTAAAAACGCTAAAAACCAATGTTCAGCTGGGAAATTTATTTATAATGTAAAACGTAATATTAATTTTTTCAAAGTGACTTCATGTACTCGTGTAAACGCACCTTAATAAAGTTTATGCTGTTAAGCAGCAACAAAGCACAACTGTAACTGAAAATGCGATACTCTTTTGTTAGAGGACTTATCACCTTATACAAATAAACACTGATCTAAGTAAACAAAAACAAGTAGTGGAATCAGCAATAAAAAAGAGAATCCAAAGGTAACTAATAGAAGAGGCAAACGAAATAATTAATTTGTCTCAACAATTAGGCATTCCAAACAAATGAATTGCCAGTGGGAAGGTTTGGTATATCTAAGGGTTGTGACATAGGATGTATTCTATCTACTATACGTAAAATAATGGATTACGTTTAAATATTTTATGTCAAAGACAATAAAAATAATATTTAAAAAACCCGCTTATACATTACTTCATAAATAGGTAGATTTGGCAACTACTATTTCGACCAAGATGCAAGACTATGTCGTTAGGATAGATATACAAGAATTTCCCACTGGTACTTATTGTTTGACAGGTCGTTGGAATGCCTAATAGAATGATGCATATGAAACAGTGATACACAGAAGAAATAGAAAAAGACCAGGAGTAACAAAATTATATGGGGAAAATCAAACAGTAGGAGGTGAAAAATATTTTGGTGATGAAAGGAAAGTGTAGTTATACTTATATAGAATAAAAAGACACAATAGATGAGGACATAAAGAAAATTTATACAAAAGCAAGGTGCAATGAAAAATGCTAATATTGTCATTGAAGAATTACCAACCAGTGAACTGACACGACTGGAATTTCAAGGAAGAAATTTATAAGCCTACAATTTGGCCTAAAAGTGTCGCATTCAAAAGTTTAATGTGCCGCCACCGAAGTGCAGTATAGATGGTTACGAAATTATTATAGTTTTAATTTATAGGTCTCCAGGGCCAATCATGAAAAATTCAGAAAATATCCTAGACCAAATACATAAAGAAAATAAAATGGTGTTTATTGCAGGTGACTTTAATATTGAAATGAAAGTTACATGTAAGGATGGTATTGACTTGTTGGCACTGTTCTTATCTTTTAATCTAGTAAACCCAGTAAATGAATACACCAGAATAACACCATATTTAGAACTGTTAGTTAATATATTTACTAATATTAATTAATATTAAGCCAAATTAGTCTAAATTTCCATTTCAGACCACAAGGAACAAGATCATGGATGTTAGGCTCATTAAAGATACATTCAAAACACGTTATTCTGCTTTATATTACTGAAAAACATGTTTATTTATCAAAAATAAAAATTTTAGGGTAAAACTAGAACAATTAAGTTAATATGATAAATAATGACTATAAAACAGTTCAATTAATCGTTTTCAGTATTAAGATGCTCAATAAATACAAAATAATTTAAATTCATTTAATTATGGTCAAAATACCTAACTAAAGCACAAAAATAATGCAATTGAAACTAAAAAGCTTTAAATAACATTCAAAACACATTATTCTGCGTATTTAATTATTTATTGGATTTTTAGGTTTGAATTTTTTAACATTTTTAAATAAGAAGTGTATTAAAGTATAAAAGAAGTGTGTATTAAAGTAGAAAACATAAAAAAGTGTTTATAAACACATTATACAGAGTTTTTGGTAAACATGAGGCAAAAATGCAAGAGGTTATTCCTTGACTAAGAATATTTTGTTATTTGATGATTTGTGAAAACCCACTTTGTATCGAAGATATAGGCTGAACAAAATTTCGACGGTAACAACATTTTATTATCAAAAAGTACCTGTTAAGTTGCCTAATCTACAATAAATGTTCAAAATCACTTCCTCCAGCTTGGATACAAGCATTAAATCTTCTCATCATTGACTGCCCTCACATACCCTGTATCTTCGAAACAAAGTGGGTTTTTTTTTAACAAATTATCAAATAACAAAATATTCTTAGCATAGTCCATAGAATAACCCCTTGCATTTCTGCCGCATGTTTACCAAACCTTATGTATTTATTATTATTTTTCCATACTGATGTCATTACAAAAATTATTTATCGCACTCTGAGAGAAGACTGAGTTTTTGTATACTTTCAGATTTTTTAATTTTATAAGTTATAAATTGAGTTGATTGATTCGATATTCCAGTAAAAAATTGAATATATCATATGGAACTGGCAAATTAGTAATATTATTAATGCATGACATATATATACCATCACTGCAAGTATTTACTATCTAATACTGTAAAGGGATAAACTAAGTTTTTAAAATTTCAAGTAATTTCACAATCCTTTTTTAAGATAATGTTAAAATCACCTACTATAAAAGAGTCTGTTTTTGCAAAAAATTAAATCTAATATACTTAAGTTGTTTAAAAAAAGAATGTTTGAATCGACATCTGGTGGATGATAAATACATAGTAGTGTCAATATAGGTTTTCTGTTGTTGATTTCTATTCCACAACATTCAAACTGCTTGGATTCAGATAATAAGTTGATATTCTTAATTGGCTTTGTTGTTAAATTTGATGAACAGTAAATAGCGACTCCTCTGGACAACAAAAACATGAAGTTAGTTTTTTAGGTAATTTAATAACATTGACGTGACGATATGTTTGTCAGTGTTCAATCTACCAAATTATATCAAAATTATTAAAGTATTCGGATAGGGCTGATGTCTCATTTAGGCCAATTTCCAAGGCTGTATACATTATATTGTAGAATTTTCCATTAGATCTTTGTTGTAGATAAATGGTACTATTTAAAATTGAATCTCTTAAAGGCAAATTTTTTGACCAAGAAGACAATTTATATATTTCCTCTTTATGAGTCCAATCGATGCTAAACATAAAACATTTATTTAGCAACTCCTGAGTTAGTAAATCTTTCACAACCAGATCTGCATTTTTAAATTGATCTTGATTTTTTATAAAGGTGCTTATGTTATTATCAGTATTATTTCTTTTAATGTAATATATACTTTCCTATCTGCTGCAAATTCTTTATCCCCTTTTTATTTTCTTTCTTTTCTTATGTGTTACTTTTGGGTAACCATCTTTGGGTTCTCCATTCCCAGTTAAATGTATCATATTGTTTAGAATGTTTTTGTGTTTCTTCAATTTCATGCATGCATGCAATAAATTACTGAATAGATTTAAAATCATACCGAGTACCAAGAGATTCAAGGAGGTAAAGGATATTAGGTATAATAGAAATAGAACCCTATAATATAGATACATTTTCAAACTACAATATCATTTAAATTGCATTTGTTCATGTTTCATTTCATTCTATGTTTCATTACTCAAAATATTTACAAATTTGGGGATTTCAAGGTAGAGGTGAAATTTTCACTTTGTAGGATGTCATTTTATGATCTAAAATTAACGTGTTTCGAGATTTTTTATAAATATGCACAGTAATTGAGCTACTGAATTTATTCCATTTGGCTGTTACAGGAATTAATTCCTTAATTTCCTACATACTTTTATTCTTTATTGAGTTGCTACCAAACATACCTAATTCCTTCAATCCAATTCATAAAAAAAAGTTTAATAGAAAATATACAAAAACTTACCTGTATGAATATTTTTGTGCTCATCATGTTTCTGTCTAGTAACAAATGACTTTTCACATATCTCGCATTTATAAGGTTTCAAACCTAAGTGTCTCTTCATATGCAACCTGATGTTCTGCTTCCTATAGAATAATTTTCCACAAAGCCTGCACTCCAAAGGATGAACCTTTAAATGATCTGTGTATTTATATTCATTCGGAAAGACCTCTCCACATGTTAAACACTTATGCTTGACTGTAGCCGTTTCTTTGTGCATTTCAAGTTTATGTTGTTTCAAACATTTGGCATTTTCTAGAACACATTCACAAATGGGACATATTGTTTTAATATCTGCAAGCTCTACTGGAGGTTCATCTGTTTTAACAGGAGTTTCTAAAGATGCAGACTCCCCTGTTACTACTTCACCTTGACTTTCCAGTTTTAATTTATTTGTAAAGATGTTATCAAAATTGGGTTCAGTTTTAGTGCTCTCAGATTTTGCCCTTATTACAAGTTTTTTTACATTTTTTTTGCCAATTTCACTTCCAATTATGGTACATTTTGATTTTTCTGGATGATTTTCTAATTCATGTTCTTTTCTATCTTTAGAACTGGCAAAGTCTTCTCCACATGTAGAACATTTAAAGTTAAGAGGTGGTCCAGAATATCCTATTATAGTAGGCAAGTCATTGTCATCGTAACCATTTTGTTCACAAGATACTTGAGTAGAATTCTGCCTTTTCATTGAAGGTGTGTCAATACTTTCACTATCTGAAGCTTGCCAAGATTCATGTTCAATTATTTCATAAGAACCACCTTCTTGATAATGTAGTCTATTCCAATTCGAGATATCACTATTACCACCTAAACTTTCTTGGCCAGATAGTTCACCACGTGCAGGCATTCTTTCATCAGATCTTATATTAACATGAGAACTACTTCTGGACATGCTTTCTTCAAAATCTCTTGATTCAAGGCAGTCAATCTTTTGATGGTCAGGAATTTCCCCAATAGTCATAAGAACTCGAGGTCTATCATGTAATGTATTTTCAAAATGTTCAACCTGTGATGCAACTGGATTTGAATTAAATTCGCCTATAATAACAATATCATCTAAATTCATAAAATCTAAATGATCATTACCATGCAATATATTGGCCGATGTATATATTGGCTCAGACTGTTCATAATTGTCAGTTTTTTTGTGTACACTATAAGGTGGAGTTTCATTGTTTTCTTGTTCTTGAAAGTTCTCAGTGTAATGCCCACTTTGAGGATCTAAGTAAAAGTATTCAGGCTGATCTACATTTGCAAATTGGTTCTCATTTTCTACTAGATGTTCCCTTGCTATAACTGGTGAAGTTGGGGAATGAGTACTTGCCTGTTGAGTTTGACATGCTTTACTTAGTTCAGAGTCATCTTTCCAATCTGCATGTTCTGAATAAGGAGATGCTACAAGTTCTTCCCTCTCTGTGATATCTAAATCATTTTCATCTGCACTATCATGATATTCTTCAGGAGGGATTTCATTTACTTGAGTCTGTTCTTGCTCAAAATCCTCCATGGTTTTTATTTCATGTTCATGATGAAGACTATCCAATTCCTTCTTTGTTATAGTTTTATTCGGTGATTCCTCAGCCTGTCTTTCGGATGAAAATACCCCATTTTCGATCGTGTCTTTTTCAATTTCAGTGGGGGTTTGTTTTTGACTTTCATTGTTATTTTCAATAGTGGCTACTTCAGGCACATCTGTAGCTTCACTATCGGATAATTCAAAAGGCAATGCTCTAATTTGGGGATGTACTGAGTTGCTAGCTAAAATTACCTGCTGCTGTTGATACATATAAGGCATCATCTGAGGACTAAAAACAGCAGGGTGGTACACATACTGTTGTGACATAGGATTAACCTGTAAAACATTACCCTGCGGAGCAGATGTACTCATGCTTTGTTGATAAATAAACACATGATTGCCATGTAATGAGTTCATATGTGAAGGTGGCCCAAGTTGAACTGGTGTAGACTGGTTCCATGATGGGTTGGCAACTGTTGAATTTACCTGACTAGTACTAGTGCCAGCAGAACTCAATGGTGGTGAAAAACTTGAGGTAGATGTGACATTTTGACTTTTAGGTGGCTCATCTACACTTGCTAGTTTGACTAATGCTTCAATCACTTTTTGTTTAGGGTGTGAAGTCAAATGCTCCTTTAGAGTTATTCCTGGTCTTAGATATAGAGTGCACACAGGACAAACAATATTAATTGAATCCATTTTTGCTGCAAATTCCCAAAGCCTAATATGGTCAATGGCAACTAGGAAAGTGCCTTATACCTGCCTCATGTATTGATCTGTACAACAAAATCAATGATTAGAATATTTACATTGTAAAAATTATAGTAGAATAGTCTTTAATCGCACGACAAATTAAAATTAGTAAGTACACAAAAATATTTATTTTGACAGTAAAATTATAACAAGGTACCATACAAAAATTATGTTAAAAAACAAAGATATTTAAAATACTTACGGTTTTCAATTATGAAATCATCATTTTCTTGATTTTAAGTGTTATTTCACCATTATTTTTGACTCCAGCCCTTATTTAAGTACCGTTTATTTCAACGGGGTCAATGGATGGATAAAAATGGAATACAAATCACAAATTACTACCAGCTCCAAACATCAAAAAGCTGGGGAACTGGGAATTATTTTTTTTTAGTTTTGACAGTTGTCAAGTGAATGACACCGCTTCAAACCTTCGTATTGGTAAGTTCGGACAGACCCAGTTCCATTCCTCCTTTAACTCCAAACGGCCCCTTTAGCGTTCGGTTTATTCCAAAGACCTTCATTTAGGTCCGCTTTTATAAACAGAACTCAGCTAGTCGCCCTTTGGGTCGATTCTCGACTTGTAGGAACCTTTTCCTATAGGAATTTGTGACACTTTTCTACATGTAGACAAATGTCATAAATTTCCGATGTGTAGAAAAATGTCAAAAATTCCTATAGGAAAAAATTCCTACGAGTCGAGAATCGACCCCCTTGAAGGAAAATCGAAGTTCAGTTATATCGCGTGAATTTAGATATGGGTAGTAACAAATCCGTACATGTACTTAACAGTTACATATTTGTTAATATCCATCTCTAAATTCCAGTGTAACACCGGAACCACCTGGAACTTTAGAGACGTTGTAATCGAACTTCGATTTTAGTTCAAGGACGACTTACCCAAGTCCGACCACAAAGCACGTATCTTCTAGAGACCCCACGCCAATGTTAAACTTCTAAACCAAATTAGCGCCACCTTGTGTTTGGAGCTGGAACTAAAATGACAATTGACAGATGGCGGTAAATTCAAATTGTAATTTTTAGGAGTAGGTAGTAGTTTTAAATTAAATTTTAAATGATTTCCACATAAATTATTTTATAAAATAAAGAATGGAACTAGTCAGTTCGAAACTTTTATTTTACAAAATAATTTAGGTCGATTATACCAAATTTGAGGAATTAATTTGTTTTAAGCAGGGGTCTGATGTGGAGAGTTGGTTCTGCATATTATTATTAACTAAATATAAGATATATCAATAAATAATAAAATAGAACATTCTTAAAATATGTTTATTAATAACTTAAATAAATATTATTAGATAAAAATAAATACAAATAATAATACATATTTAAGGAATACTTACTCTCAAATCTTTAAAATACCTATCAATAATTTAAATGTGAAGTAGAGACTAGGATATTACATTTTATTAACACTAAAATAATATATTTTATAAATGTCTTTTAAACCGAGGACAAATGTAATGTAGGTATTGTATTCAATGATAAATAGGTATTTTCCTTCCAAATACAGATGGTGGTATTACTCCACTGCTTTGTGTATTACTCTCTTATGTGAAAAATGATTTCGGAATCTAGTCCAGTGATAAATTGATTATCAATTAGTTGTTATACCCGTTTGTCTTTTTATGATGCAGATGCATGGTGAATCAATGAAGTTTTTCTCGAAGTTTTCAACGTAGCACCCACAGGTAGCACCAAAATTATTGCAAAACACATGCTGCGTTTGAGAATCCACATCGGATGCATTTTTTACATCTCGAGCGTTTTTTTATCCACATCGGACACATCTGTCCCATTACATTTACGTATACTGAATCACGTGATCAAAGATTTTTTACATCTCAGATGCATCCGATGTGGATTCTCAAACGCAGCATCAAACGCAGCATTTGTGAGTCCGACTCAGCTAAGTTCTGTTTATAAATATGGACCTAGGTCACCGACCTTGATATTAAACTAGGGCTATATGACATAAACCCTACTCCTCATTTCTAAGCCGACATGGGTTAAAAAAACGGTCTGTGAGCATGACAATTTGGACGCCAGACTATCAATTTCGAGCATTTTACGTTACGTTTTTCACGGCCGTACTATGATAAATTATATTATTTTTTATTAATAATGCCCTATTTTAATAATAATAAATGAAAAAAAAAAATAATAATTATTATTATTATTGGAACATTTGTTTCAGCTGCGTATTAATCAAAAATCATTTTTAAGTGATTTTCTTAAATTTAATTTTGATGATCCTTTTTAGCGCATTTCAATACGCACATGTGGGCGCCGAAGTGTCAAATATCACCTCGCTATGCGGCTTGATTATTGTTGATCGCACATACCATGGATTACTAATGTGAATAGATGGGAAACTCAATGGTAAAATTTTGAGTCGATGTGCTGCCATCTATCAAATTGGAGTGGTACTAAAATTCAATATGGCCGCCACAAGCGGGCTTTTTTGAAATTTAACTTTGTAGTAGCGCAAAAATATAATGAAGAAAATCAAATAAAGCAAAAAATTGGAAAAATATTTGACTAGTTTCAAATCATAAAACAACCATATTGGCTGTTTTGTGATTTGAAATTAGTCAAATATTTTGCCAATTTATATCTTTATTTGATTTTACTTCATTATATTTTTGCATTAATTTCAAACTTGAAATAAAATGCAAATTATTTTATTTTTTTTATTACAGTAAATTAACGCCGCATCATATAATTTGTCTATTTAAACATGGAAATACTCAAACAAATATGCATTTACACCATTTAAATAATTAAATATTTATAAAACAAACCCATCAAAAATGTTTTCTGTAACAAAATCAGCATATATAAGTGCTCAAGTCCTTTATAAAAGTTTTGCGACTTGGAGTGGCAAATAAGTTTTAAAAAATTGAAGTTGAAGCATCATCCTTTTTTACTATCCAGAAAAATTTGAGTGTGGATAAAATTTGCCATACGGTTATTGAGTCGACTAGTTAGGTTGAGGAGCATTTCCTCATCCGATAATTGTTTTCTTGATTCATTTATACAACACTTGTAGTCATCAAATTTTTATTTATCATGTGGGCACTGTGATAAATGAATTTAACTTTTGAGCATAAATTAAACTTACACACGTTTGGACCGTTGAAGATTTTAGGGTCTTTTCTTGTTTGATATCAATTGCATTGAATCAATTTTTGATATTGATGGCTGAGGCTCAAATATTTCATCGATTGACAGGCTATTTTGGAGGGCCAACATTTTCTTTACAACAATGATCATTTAAAAACTGAAAACAAAAAGAAATTTAAATAACAAACCAATTATTTTAACACTGAATCAAAAACAAGTTTGTAAATATTACTTACCGTTAGTACCAAACAGTGATGGTGCATTTTTCTTTAAGACATTACAAATTATTTGCTTATCCTTAATATGACGACTGCATATTTAATGTGGTATAAATTGCATCACTACCAATATCTGGGAGTGCTTTATTGTTTGTTACTGACATCCATCTTCCCATCGTTTGAAAACATGCTTAAAATTGGAAAGTGTCGAAAAATAAATCTAGATTCTAGATAAATCAAAATTCAATACACCTTTGTACACCTTCAAATACAAAAGCCATTTTAATTTCTCAAAGTTTGAAGTTTTGACGAGCTGACAACTGACATGACATTTCGATACGAGCGCCATCCCGTTAATTGGAGTGGTACTAAATTACCAACCTCATGTTTTTCCATTTGAGTTACCAGCCCCTGGCACATACTTTAGGTTCTTTCGTTCGTCCCACTGGTGTAGGAATGAGCTACACCAACGTACACCCATACCTTTCATTTGGCCCGGTGTAAAACCCACTATACCTTCCTATCGGCGATGTGGTGTATACTGGTGGATATTTTCTCTACCAGCTATTTAGCAGGTGTGAATTACACTCGACATGTGTATAAGGAATAAGGAGGAAGTAAATTAGGGTAAATAAGGTGGTGTAACTGGTGTAATTTACACTGGTGGACACTACACCAACAGCGAACGAAAGAACCTATAGATTACTATACTGTGCAAGAGAGAGGTCCGACACGCCCAACATAGGGCGCGGCCATTTTGATTCCTATGCCACAGTTTATAGCTAAAGAATCAGATCGCTCACTCTGCGTTGGCACTTTTGATCTCAATTTTCCTATAATATAACAACCGCCAGTCTTCTGCGTATCCTGAATTTGTATCTCTGGAGTGGATTCTTTAGCAATAAATATCAAGTGCGTTTTAATCACCCGCTTCTTCTTCCGGAATTGTCGGTTTAGTCGTTTTAATCTGTCAGATTAAAACAAGAAAACCGACAATTCCTAAGCAGAAGCAGATGATTAAAACGCACCTATTAAAAATATTGCGCCAAGATGTAGGCAACACGTAATAAAGGATCAAAATGGCGAAGTTTTCTCTCCTTTTAAAAGCACATACTTTGATTACTATACGCCCAACATAGGGCGCGGCCATTTTGAACCCTGTGACACAGTTTACAGCTAAAGAATCGGATCGCTCACTCTGCGTCGGCACTTTTGATCTCAATGTTTCAGTTTATACACTGTGCAACTCCGATAATACAATATACGACAACCGCCTATAATAAAACAGCAGTCTTCTGCGTATCCTGAATTTGTATCCCTGGAGTGGATGTTATTTTGGAACTTTCAACTGGTCCGAGTGAGCTAACCACATACTTTGATTTTCTTTTACAAGTATGTGGAGCTAACTGATTCTTTAGCAATAAACTGTGACTTCAAAAATAATATTCACTGACACTGAAACCGATACTCGGACCAGTTGAAAGTTCCAAAATAACATCCACTCCAGGGATACAAATTCAGGATACGCAGAAGACTGCTGTTTTATTATAGGCGGTTGTCATATATTGTATTATCCGAGTTGCACAGTGTATAAACTGAAACATTGAGATCCAAAGTGCCGACGCAGAGTGAGCGATCTGATTCTTTAGCTGTAAACTGTGTCACAGGGTTCAAAATGGCCGCGCCCTATGTTGGGCGTGTCGGACCTCTCTCTTGCCTCGTATAGTAATCAAAGTATGTGATATTAACCATTAATATCACATACTTTGATTTTCTTTTACTATACGGAGAATGGTCGCACTGCGCAGCTTTCTGAGTGCCTTTTAAAAGGAGATAGAAAACTCCGCCATTTTGAACCCTTATTACGTGTTGCCTACATCTTGGCGCAATATTTTTAATAGGTGCGTTTTAATCATCCACTTCTGCTTCGGAATTGTCGGTTTTCTTGTTTTAATCTGACAGGTTAAAACGACTAAACCGACAATTCCGGAAGCAAGCGGATGATTAAAACGCACCTGATATTTTGCTTGCTGCTGTCAGTGTCAGTGAATATTATTTTTGAAGTCACAGTTTATTGCTAAAGAATCAGTTAGCTCACTCGGACCAGTTGAAAGTTCCAAAATAACATCCACTCCAGGGATACAAATTCAGGATACGCAGAATACTGCTGTTTTATTATAGGCGATTGTCATATATTGTATTATCCGAGTTGCACAGTATATAAACTGAAACATTGAGATCAAAAGTGCCGACGCAGAGTGAGCGATCTGATTCTTTAGCTGTAAACTGTGTCACAGGGTTCAAAATGGCCGCGCCCTATGTTGGGCGTGTCGGACCTCTCTCTTGCCTCGTATAGTAATCAAAGTATGTGATTAATTACATAGGTTTAGTCGTTTTAACCTGTCAGATTAAAACAAGAAAACCGACAATTCCAAAGCAGAAGCGGATGATTAAAACGCACCTATTAAAATTATTGCGCCAAGATGTAGGCAACACGTAATAAGGGTTCAAAATGGCGGAGTTTTCTATCTCCTTTTAAAAGGCACTCAGAAAGCTGCGCAGTGCGACCATTCTCCGTATAGTCAGAAGAAAATCAAAGTATGTGTTTTAAAAGGCACTTAGAAAGCTGCGAAGTGCGATCAAAGTATGTGATTCTACCCCACTCCAGTTCATTGGAATATACCGATACCGGTACTTATGTATCGTGAGCGTGATGGAAACCAGAAACTTTCAAGTTACAGTGGAGCGAGCAGCGACCTAAGTCAGATGGCACCATCAATCATCTTTAAGTCGCCCCGGAGCCCCACGGCAAATAATAATATAATATGCGTCCCTTACCCGGACAAACTCAGCTTGTGGGGTAAAAATTCACTCGTAAGGGGGTGAATTAGAGAGAGAATTATTATATTGTAATCAACGCGAGTGCAGCCTCATCTGGCAAAAAAACTGTGCTTAATAGATTTTAAAAATGACATAGGTATTTACTCTTCAACGAAACATGCTTTATTCAAGTTAAAAAACAATCATCACAACAGTAACAGTGCATAGAAACATTTTTTAACAGCGTCCTAAAAAAATAATACATTATTGAATTAGGCAATTAAATTATATATTCAAGATACTTCAATGTGCTTATGCTGGTGTTTACTAATAGTCGACAGATGCCTGAAACTTCTTTTACAAATAAAACATTGATAAGGCTTCTCACCACTATGAATTCTTAAATGATCTTTAAGATGAGCTTTTTGCCTAAATCCTCTTTTACAGATATTGCAAATATGTGGTCTTTCTCCAGTATGACTCTTTGTGTGTCTTTCGTAGGACCATCTATTTTTAAAAGATTTACCACATTGGGTGCAGGGATACAAATTTTTTGTGTCGTTTATAACATCTTTTAATGGCAACAATGAACTTCCAGATTTTTGTACCGTGTCTTCTAAAAAAACATAATAATCTAACAATTATTTTTTTTCATTAGAAAAATATATAAATCCTTGATTAATAATAGTAAACATATTACCTAAAAAACAAAATTACCTATAATCAGCTGATTCATCATTATATTTTTCTGTACATTTTCAATTTCTTCATTAATAAGTTCTTTTCTACAAGTTGGATTAAACCTCTTATGATTTGACAGCTCCTTGTCAGATATAAACTTTCTTTTGCAACTGTCGCAGTCAGTTTTTAAGTTTATTAAATTAATATTATCTTGCTTTAATTCATATTTTTTCATCTTTTTTGGTGTAGCTGTTGTATATGAACACCTGTTTTTAAGATTACAAGTATTCATTTTATTCCCTTCATTACATTTTGGATTAAATCTTTCATGGTTAAATAGATCTTTTACATTCAGAAATGTTCTACCACATGTGTTACAGATAATTTCAATGTTATCAACATCATTTTCTTGACTTAAATCAATTGTATCATGTATTTGATATTGTTTATCAAGATTCAATTCTTTATTTTGTTCTTCAATTTCAAACTCTGTTTCCATATTTATTTCATTATCTTCGACAGAGTTTTCACTTACTGGCTGGGTTTTTTTATGATCATTTTGTATCTGACTATAATTAAATTTATTCCTGAGAATAGTTTTAAGCTTGGAATCATTTTTTTTATAAATTTTTATAAAAGTAATGATGTCTTCTAACTTAAGACTGCAATCGCTACATACATTTTTAGGTAAATATTCTTCAGAAAAAAACTAAAACAAATAAAAAATATGTATTATATCCGTTATTTGAATTATAATATACATATTTCTTGGAATTGAACCATATACCTCCGTTCCCATTATCTGTTTAAATATTCTTATTAAAGAATTATTGATTGGTTGTATGTTTGCGTTGTTTAAACAAATACGACAAATCTTGGGAAAATCCGATAGATGTATTTCTTCCATATTACTCATTTTAGAACTATAAAGAACAATCAGAATATTCAAACTTCAAATGTTTACTTCACAGGACACATTTTTTGTAAATACAATTGTCATATTATGTTACTGTAAGGTCAAACCTTAGACTAGGCATAAGAGAGGACTCGTAACGTCGCAGGAAATCGTGTTCCATTCTGACACCAAATGCTATTTGACAGAGGCGTAACATGTTGGAAATTAAACAAGGCACTTTTATTTATGTTATTAGTACTTTATTGATTTTTTGGAGCATAAAGCAAGTTCAAAGCATAAAAATTAAAGTAAATAAGGAACAGTAAATATGACACAAGAAAAATATGTATACAAAAGGTGCCGCACGCTCAACGGGAAGGAGCCTGGTGGGTAAACTGGTACCTATTAAAAATTACTTCGGAACAAATATACAACTCAATGGCAGCTACATATTAAAATTATATTACCAGAATACCAATATAAAGTTACAATTTTTAAATGGGACATCCTACATTTTCTTTTAATTTAAAGTTCTACTCTTAAAAATAATCTTAATTTAATAAAGCTTTCCTATTAGTATCTTTGATAAATACCGATTTGACATTTTTTGAAAATGTAGTGTTTTCGAAACTAATTACTCTTGATTACAAAATAATTAAATAACGAATTTTTGGAAGTTCCTTACAAAATGTAACTTTTTATCAGAATTAATAGAATATTCAAAAAATATACAGGGTGTTTGCAATTTGAAGTTTTCTTACAGTAAAATGTTTTAATCACTGCGTTAATTTAAATGAAACACTCTGTGTAAAATAAAATACTCTTGTGAGATCCTAAGGACCACCCTCGTTTGATTTACCTTTTTGGAAACACTGTATTTTAAGGTACCAATATGAAGGAAATTTTATTTACGTTAAAAGGTTCCCTATACCCCATATCTACTATTTTTAAAACTATTATCAATAAATTTAAAATATCTATTAATAGTTTAATTTTAACAAAGCTATTAAATAAACATATTTATTTGTTAGTAAATTTAAAATTTACAATAAATGTTCAAAATAATGTCCATTTATTGTCAATGACTTTTTTATTTTTTACATTACTTAAATTCTCTAAATTAATAATAGCAAACGCATCACAAATGCGTGTTTTCATATCGTCGGCGGTGGTGACAAACTACATTTTTAATCCCCAAAAGAAAAAAAATTAGAGTGGTTAATCCGGTGATCCAGTGGGCGATTACTTTTGGTCTCTTCTTCCTATCCATTTTTCAGGAAATTTTTGGTTTAAATATGTCCTGACATTATGCGATAAATGGGCGGGAGCACCACCTAGCTGCAGCCACATTTTTCGTCTAATATCCAAAAGAAGATTCCAAGAATCTTTCTTTAAAAATAAAAAAAAAATTATTACAATTAAAATCAAAAAAATAGGGCCTCACCAACCGTCTTCCTATCATTCCACCATAAACTTTAACGAACATCGGTTTTGTCGATCTACCATTCTAAATTGATGTTTGTTTTGGTGTTTTAATAATGCAAATTATGTCTATTAACCAATCCGTTATTTTGAAAAGTAGATTCATTCAGTAATTGATAAAAGTTAATATTTAGAATTGTACGACACGCCACTGGAAAAAATATTGCCCTTTTAGCTTTTAATATCATTAATACAAAAATTAAATAAAATAAACCAACTTGAAGGGTAACATTTATTACTCTGGAGTGAGACATGTACAATACATAAATATCAAGCTGTATAATAACCAAATAAAATGAAAAATATAAGAAAATATATAAAGTATAAATGACTTGATGTTTATTATTTACCTGTAAAACGTAATACCTGGTTATTCTTGTAACTACGACTTTTACACTGATATGCAATACAATAAACCATTGTAACAAACTAATTTTCAAATGTTGTTTAATTAAAAATCACAAATAAACACGAGTAAAAAGCTATGGTGTCGCCGAAATGCTTAGCACCAAAATAATGGCGGCCAATCGATAATTGGCACAGAATACTACGAGTGCTTGATATAATTATTACGCGTCCTCTCTCTTTCCTTGTCTAAGGGCTGATTCCACCGTTGTGTTAAACGGAGATTAAAATGACATTGTGAATGTAAAAATTTCATTTTAAAGTTCGTTTAACACAACGGTGGAATCGGTCTTAAGGATGCTAAGGGTTAATCTAAAGTTAAAATGTTTAGGTTTGCCACAAAACACTTAGGCCCGTATTTATAAACAAAACTCAGCTGAGTTGTCCTTGAACGAAAATCGAAGTTCTGTTATATCGCGTGAATTTAGAGATGGGTATTAACAAATCCGTAAATGTACATAACAGTTACATATTTGCTAATAGCCATCTCTAAATTCCAGTCGAACACCAGAACCACCTAGAACTTTAGAGACGTTGTAACCGAACTTCGATTTTAGTTCAAGGACGACTTACCCAAGTCCCACTCACGTAAGTTCTGTTTATAAATACGGGCCTTATTTAGTTTGCGTCAAACGTACTCTTATATTTTTGCAAAACAAAATTCAACTTTTTAATACGCGTACCACGTTTTGGTGGTCGAATACACACGAGCAATACTGTTTCTTTTAATTTAAGAAAATCTGATGTGTCCAACACATGACTTTCCTATCTAGTTATTATATAGGCTTTTCCCGGTTATTTTTTACAACCTATTGTAGCACCTCTATAAATGTTTAGAGGATAAACTAAATATATACATTTTCCACATACATCTAACTCGAAACATTTTTCTATAGATATTCATTGAAAACAAAAATACTGAAAAATTTAAATTTAGCACTTTTCCTTCAATTTTTCCAATACGGTCCATTTTAGAAAAATCATAAAAAAAACAAAAATTATAGAGATCGATATCACAAATAACTTTTATTTAAACAATTTAAACATTTTGTCAAAATTCTCGAATACGGACCATTTTAAAAAAAAAATTGTATAAAACCAAAATTATAGATAATAATATTGTAAGTATTTTTTATCTGAACAATTTTCTTCTCCAAACATAAATAACAGATATATTCCATAAAATATAAAAACGGCCTCCCATAAATTACCCCCCAAATGTTCCGCCTTCGTCCAAAATCTAATAATTTCACCTCAGGCCAAAACAAAACTTAAGTTTAAAATTTAATGTTTTTTCCTTTATCCGTTTTTGAGTTTTATTCAAAATTCGAAATTTACACATTTTCTCAAATATCTCGAATACGGTCCATTTTAGACAAATTATGTATGGAATAAAAATTATAGAGAATTATATTACAAACAACTTTTATGTTAACAATTTTTATAAAAAAATATTTTTTTTTACATTTTGTCAAATTTCTCGAATACGGACCATTTTAGGAAAATTTTGTATAGAACAAAAATTATAGATAATAATTTTATAAGTAACTTTTATTTAAAGAATTTTCTTCTCCAAACGTAAATAACGGATATATTTCATAAAATATAAAAATGACCACCAATAAAGTACCCCCCAAATGTTCCGACTCTGCCCAAAATCTAATCAGTTCACCGTTCTTTGTATCGGTTCATGAGTTATGGTGGATACAGACAGACAGACACACACACACACACACACACATACACACATACACACACACACACACACACACACACACACACACACACACACACACACACACACACACACACACACACACACACACACACACACATGCACGCACGCACGCACACCGCACGCGCACACACATACAGACATCATCCCAAAAATAGTCAAAACGGATTCAGGGGACCCCAAAACGTAAAAATCCGTCGAAAACTGGAGGTCGAAAAAAATCATGATTCCTATACTTTCCTTATCTGTATACAGTATGCAGCTAATCCGACGTAAGAATTTTGAGAGGTGTTCATCATGATATAGTGGTAAAAGTTTTTTGTTTGTTGTTTTTAGTACGTCCCTGATCCTGCTAGTGGATGTCAGCCTCGTCACCCGGGATATTATTAACACCAGCAAACACATACTTTGATTTTCTTTTACTATACGGATAATGGTCGCACTGCGCAGCTTTCTGAGTGCCTTTTAAAAGGAGATAGAAAACTCCGCCATTTTGAACCCTTATTACGTGTTGCCTACATCTTGGCGCAATATTTTTAATAGGTGCGTTTTAATCATCCGCTTCTGCTTCGGAATTGTCGGTTTTCTTGTTTTAATCTGACAGTTTAAAACGACTAAACCAACAATTCCGGAAGCAGATGATTAAAACGCATCTGATATTTTGCTTGCTGCTGTCAGTGAATATTATTTTTTTTTGAGTCACAGTTTATTGCTAAAGAATCAGTTAGCTCACTCGGATCCGTTGAAAGTTCAAAAATAACATCCACTCCAGCGATACAAATTCAGGATACGCAGAAGACTGCTGTTTTATTATAGGCGGTTGCCATATATTGTATTATCCGAGTTGCGCAGTGTATAAACTGAAACATTGAGATCCAAAGTGCCGACGCAGAGTGAGCGATCTGATTCTTTAGCTGTAAACTGTGTCACAGGGTTCAAAATGGCCGCGCCCTATGTTGGGCGTGTCGGACCTCTCTCTTGCCTCGTATAGTAATCAAATGCTGCGTTTGAGAATCCACATCGGATGCATTTTTTACATCTCGAGCGTTTTTTTATCCACATCGGACACATCTACTACATCTACATCTGCGTTTGTTTATCCCAGATGTACCTGTTCAGATTACATTTTTTACATCTCGATTTGGAATGAGATGTGAATGAGATGTTCGTTCCATGCCAAAAAGTAAGTGTTTTGTGAAGCCTTGTTTGTCAATTTATCCTTTGTTTATGCTAGCATGAATATAAAAGTGATTAGTTTGTTTAATTTTTGTTTATATTTCAAATTTAGGTTGATTTGTAGTTTCAAAAGTCAAATTTAATAAGTATAAACTTCTTCCATGATAGTCTTTGACATTTTATCACGTGACCAAATAAAGTCTAGAGCGTTTGTTTATTACATCTACATTCAGATCTAATTCTCTATCACGTGATAAAAAATTCGCAACATCTCAGATGCATCCGATGTGGATTCTCAAACGCGGCAAAAGTATGTGATGCTAGCATAAACAAAGGAAAAATTGACAAACAAGGCTTCACAGAACACTTACTTTCTAGCATGGAACGAACATCTCATTCACATCTCATTTCAAATCGAGATGTAAAAAATGTAATCTGAACAGGTACATCTGGGATAAACAAACGCAGATGTAGATGTAGTAGATGTGTCCGATGTGGATAAAAAAACGCTCGAGATGTAAAAAATGCATCGGATGTGGATTCTCAAACGCGGCAAAAGTATGTGCCAGCAAATATATATCGGCTTGACACTAGTAGGATGAATAATAGCTTTTCTTTTTCCTAAGGTTTATATTTTTCTAATTGGAAATATTTCTGACGGAAATAAACCAAAAATACTAAATATATTCGCAGGCATCGACCTGTATATAATAATTTAGGTTGATTGGTAATTTTTTATTTTATGCATTTATATCGCAGGATACCGGAAATAAATATCCGCCATATCGAGAAACGATCTTGATTCGAAGCTTACATCACATCTTCCTGTCAAACGATCAAAAATGACAACTGACAAACCTTCTTCTTCTTCCTTTTTTGAGCTTAGTTTTTTATTTTTCTATAATTTTAACCTAACTTTTTAATCAGGTGAAAGGTTAACACGCGTGTTTTATTTACAAGAAATTTTAAAAATGGGCAAAAAGAGACGAGGGCGTTCCGTTAAAAAAAACTTAAATCAAAATATCGAATCTAATGATCTTGTTCAAGCACCACATTCCTTTGTTATTCATCGAGGAATATCAGGAGGAAATACTTTAGAGTTGACTAAAGATTTTAGGAAAGTTATGGAACCGTTTACAGCAAAAGACTTAAAAGTATTAAAATTAATACACTTTATAATTAGTCTCTTTTTTTTAACAAGTATTTTTATTTTAGGAAAGAAAGAAAAATACTATTAAGGACTTTGTTTCAATTGCTGGTCCATTACATGTGTCCCATTTATCAATTTTTTCACGAACAGATCTAGGAATGTATTTAAAAATAATGCGATTACCTAGAGGACCTACTTTAACTTTTAAAATACACAATTTTGCTTTAGCTAGGGATGTTATATCTTCTCTAAAAAAACAAAGAGTGGTTGATGCAGCTTTTAAGCATTCCCCTTTAATCGTTTTAAACAGTTTTAGTGGTGAGGGATTACACTTTAAAATGATGGCTACTATGTTGCAAAACATGTTTCCAACCATAAATTTGCCAAAAGTTGATTTGAACACAATTCGAAGATGTGTTTTATTAAATTATAATCCTACTACTAAATTAATAGATTTTAGACATTATAATATTAAAATTGCTCCTGTTGGTGTATCTAGGGGTGTCAAAAAAGTAGTGCAAGGAAAAGTTCCTAATCTAGCTAACTGTAATGATATTACAGAATTTTTTACAAGGTAAATACTTAAAATTTTAAAGGAAAAATATCCCTAAACTATGTTTTCTTAAGGGCAGGCATGATGTCTGAGAGCGAAGCTGAAGATGATCCACAAAATCATGTGGTTTTAGCACAAAAAATAGCATCTAGAGGAAATGTGGAATCTGGGAAATCTGCTATAAGGCTAAGTGAATTAGGTCCAAGACTAACTTTACAGTTGATAAAAATTGAAGATGGTCTTCTAGATGGAGAAGTTCTATACCATGAGTTGATACATAAAACTGAAGGAGAAAAAGAAGAAATAGAAATAAAAAGAGAACAAAAAAGGTAATACCATATCCATTTTTACGCTAATATTTAGTAGTATTTGAATGACCTGTGTCCTTTTATTCAACTGTTGTGGTAGAATTGGAATCAGTACAGTATATTCTGGTATTTTTTCTTCCATCTATGTATGAACTAACAATGTTATTTTTATTCAAAGTTGCTGCAATTGATAACGCCAATCAATCTGTTTCAATTTATGGTTTTTACTTTCTGTCTGTATACAGATAAGGAAAGTATAGGAATTATGATATTTTTTTGACCTCAAGTTTTCGACGGATTTTTACGTTATGGGGCCCCTGAATTTGTTTTGACTATTTTTGAGATGATGTGTGTGTGTCTGTATACTCGATAACTCATGAAAGAATAGAGAAAAATACCAAATTTTAAACTTAAGCTTTATTCTGGATTGCGGTGAACTGATTATATTTTGGGCAGAGTCTGAACATCTGGGGGAGGTACTTTATAGGGGGTCGTTTCTATATTTTATGGAATAATCTGTTATTTACGTTTGGAGAAGAAAATTCTTCAAATAAAAGTTACTTCTTAAGATATGTTTACATCTGGCATTTATTGCATGAGATTTATGTCTGACAGTTGTTTAGTCCAGTGTAAACACAAAAATTTCTCTCGAAGACATATTATTGAGTGTTTACACTGGACTAAACAACTGTCAAGCATAAATCTTATGCAATAAATGTCAGATGTAAACGTACCTCAATATTCTCTATAATTTTTGCTCTATACAAAATTTTCCTTAAATGGTCTGTATTTGACAAAATGTAAAAAATTATCTGTGAAAAGATTAGATTTTGGGCAGAGTCGGAACATCTGGGGGGGGGGGGGTACTTTATTGAGGGTCGTTTTATATTTTATGAAATATATGTTATTTGCGTTTGGAGAAGAAAATAAAAATTACTTCTATTATTCTCTATAATTTTTTTTTCTAAACAAAATATTTTCAAAATGTTGATAAAATGTAACAAAAATTTTTTAGAAAATTATTCAAATAAAAGTTGTTTGTGATATCATACTCTATAATTCTTGTTCCACGCATAATTTCTCTAAATGGACTGTATTTGAGATATTTGAGAAAAAGTCTAAATTTCGAATTTTGAAGAAAATTCAAAAACGGATAACCAGAAAAGGCCTGTAATAACTAGACAGGAAAGTCATGTGTTGGACACATCAGATTTTTTCGATTATATGTGACAAATGAGAGCTGGATTGCAGGAATTAATTATTTGTCCTATTGTGAGACAAACCAAAAAATAAGGTACATAGGTACAGCAAGGAAGAATATTTGGGGAAGGGGTAGGGGTTTCATTTTCACTAGGACTATAAATAGTAAGTACTATATTCAAATTGAACTTGTGAAATTGTAAATATATCATAGTAGTGCTTATTATTTTTAGTCTTGTAAAGGAAAAAGACTAACTAATTTACAGTTTGATTTATGTAGTATCTCTTGGGTAAAAAAAAACAAGTCTAAGCAAACCTTTATTATCATATATTAAAAACATTTTTATATATTGCGAAAGTTGTGTTCCTTCCCCTCTCCCCATCCCACTAACTTCTGTATTGTAAATATGCAAGAAAAGGTGATTTTCCATTGGTACAGGGTAGATACTCTCTTGAAAACTTTAAATGGCAACAGAGGTTGACTATTAGCTCATTTGAAATAGTTTTTAATTATCCATTCTATGGGTTAAATAAATTTAAATTTATGAAGGATATAGTTAAAGATCCGATTATTAAAAGAGCTGAGGCAGGAAAGAATGTGTCTCGAGCAGGGACATAAGTTTGTGAAGGCTTTTCGCAGTTCTCTCACTTCATAAACAGGATTTGACCTGTATGAATTTTCATTAAGTACTAAAGTTAATTGGGGAGGTAACACTTTACTTTCGCACTGTATAATTGGTTTCGTGTTTTGCTAATAATGATTTTTGTTTAGATTTGTTTCCTGATTTTTTACCCTGGAGATACTATTAAAATTAAATAACATGATAATATGAAAAAATACATTAAAATAAATGGTACATATAGAAATTAAAAATTTCCTTTAATTTTATAGTTTTAAAATTTACGAACTTCCTTATTTAAGTTTCTAAGGTTCACTGTATGGTAGTGTACTACAAATAATAATTGTGATAATATAGTAGATATATTATTCTTTATTTTTTCGGCAATTTTTTTTTCTTTAATAAAAGGATCGAGGGCCCTTCCCTGGAACCGCCCTTGAGTTACAGTCAAATAAAATATGAAGACAAATTTTAATCCAAACTGTCAACTATTATTTTTTTTAATGATTAACCACAAATAAAACAAATTCAATACAAGGCGTTCAATGGCGCGTCGGTGAAACAGCGATTCCAACAAATTGTAAAAAAAGGACACATGTATACACTGTGTATCAGAGAAAAAGTCCACCCAAAAAATGTATGAAACTATCTGTCTTGTTAAGTTTCTTATTTTTTAATTACGTAGAACGGGTTAGTTTGCGTACTTGCGAAGTCATGCCAACCCTGTAAAGATCATAAACAAATTTTCATGAAAGTGACTTTTCTCAGAACTTTATGAACTTGTATTGTGTTCTAAAGAGTATTGAAGGTATTTTTGTACTACACTGGTCTTTGTAAAGTGTAATCCTTAATAATGGATAAAAAATATCTATAAGCTATTCAGATTATAACATGGAGCAAGTCTACGGAATGTAGCGAGACAATTAAATGTAAATGTGTGCAAAAAAACACACCAACGGTTTCTTACGACCGGCTCTTATCAATGGCGACCCGGTTCGGGTCCTAAAAAAAACAACAGCCAGGGAGGATAGCTTTCTCACCATTGCTGCTTTACGAGACCGAACGCAAACTGCTAGAATGCTCCAAAGCAGTCTTCAGCAAGCTTATGGAACAGCCGTCAGTACTTCTACTGTTCGGCAAATTTTAAGAGAAAGTGATTTAACAGCTTGCAGTCCAGCTACAGGACCCTTGCTTACTGCAGCACACAAAAGACGCAGACTTGCTTTTGCTCGCGAACATATGAATTGGACACTGAATGATTGGAAAAATGTACTGTTCACAGATGAGTGTAGAATGTGCATATATGAAAAAGATGGCCGAATTAAGGTTTACAGAAGAGCTGGAGAAAGTTATGCTGCCTGTACTCGGTCACCTCGAGTTGCTTTTGGGGGTGACTCAGTAATGTTTTGGGTAGGAATTTCTTTTGAGGTACACACGGATCTCATTATTGACAGAGGCGCATTCACATCATGACGATACATAACCGAGATCCTAGAAGAGCATGTAATGCCATATGCTGGGTTTGTTGGCAATAACGAGCGACCACACATGGCAAGGGTGGCCTCCTCTAAGCCCGGATATTAATTCAATTTAGCATGTTTGGGAGCAGCTCAAAAGGCGTGTAAAACGTGGCATCCTATTCCAACAACACGCGAAGAGCTTCGATTGGCCCTTATCATAGATTACGTAATGTGAATAGATGGGAAACTCAATGGTAAAATTATGAGTCGATGTGCTGCCATCTATCAAATTGGAGTGGTACTAAAATTCAATATGGCCGCCACGAGCGGGCTTTTTGAAATTTAACTTTGTAGTAGCGCAAAAATGTAGTGAAGAAAATCAAATAAAGCAAAAAAAATTGACTAGTTTCAAATCATAAACATATTTACCGTTTTGTGATTTGAAACTGGTCAAATATTTTGCCTATCTTTATTTGATTTTACTTCATTATATTTTTGCATTAATTTCAAACTTGAAATAAAATGCAATTTATTTTATTTTTATTACAATAAATTAACGCCGCATCATAAAATTTGTCTATTTAAACATGGAAATACTCAAACAAATATGCATTTACACCATTTAAATAATGAAATATTTATAAAACAAACCTATCAAAAATGTTTTCTTTTACAAAATCAGCATATATGTAAGTGCTGAAGACCTTTATAAAAGTTTTGCTACTTGGAGTGGCAAATAAGTTTGAAAAAAAAAAATTGAAGCATCATCCTTTTTTACTAGTGTTTTCTTGTTTGATGTCAATGGCATTGAATCAATTTTTGATATTGATGGCTGAGACATAAGTATTTCATCGATCGACAGGGTATTTTGGAGGTCCAACATTTTCTTTACAACAATGATCATTTAAAAACTGAAAACAAAAAGAAATTTAAATAACAAACCAATTATTTTAACACTGAATCAAAAACAAGTTTGTAAATATTACTTATGCCAAAGAGTGATTTTTCTTAAGATACTTATTACAAATTATTTGGTTATCCTTAATATGACGACTTCATATTTAATGTGGTATAAATTGAATCACTACCAATATCTGGGAGTGCTTTATTGTTTGTTGCTGAAATCCATCTTCCCATCTTTTGAAAAATAAATCTAGATTCTAGGTGAATCAAAATTCCATAGCCATTTTAATTTCTCTACGTTTGACGAGCTGATAACTGACATGACATTACGATACGAGCGCCATTCCGTTAACTGGAGTGGTATTAAATTACCTTCCTCATGTTTTTCCATTTGAGTTACCTGTCCCTGGCCCTTATTGAGGAATGGACCACTTTTCCTCAAGCAAACATTCAGACCTTGCTGATTTCTATGCCAAATCGAACGATGAGTGTCATACAGAATCGGGGTGGCAATACGCCGTATTGAAAAGTCATTTCTTGCTTCTTAATTTCATTATTGCAAAGTAAACTGTAATTTTTCAATAAATTTATGATTTCTCAATTTTTTTGCTTTCTTTTCGTTTGTAACTTATGGTAACATCGGATAACACGGTAAAACAATAACTGACTTAATACACAATAGATTTATTGTTAAATATAAGATATATTTAAAAAGATGAATTATTTCGTATTTTTTTTTTAGGTGGCCCGTTTTCTCTGACGCGCAGTGTAGTTTAATTTTAATATTGTTTCAGAAAATTAAAAGAAAAGAGGAAGAAAACACAAGAAGCTAATAAAAAGGCAAAGGATGAAACTAAACAGAAATTAAAGGATCAATCAATTAAGGGTATGCAAAGAAAAGGAATTTATCCTAAAACAGCTGAAGAAGATACTGCATATAATCAGGAGGAAGATGATGATATTCAATATTATAAAGATGATGTAGGCAAAGATCCCGATAAAGGTAGTTTTTGAATCAGTAAATTCATATATTTTATGAATCTAATTTTTTTATTTTTAGACTTGTTTCCATCTAAGACTGGAGTTAAAAGAAAGTATGCCCCTTTACACTATAAAAGTAAAAAGATGAAAGTACATGAGACGGACAACAAATCTACATATAAAAAGTCGCATACTAATGAGAAGAAAAAAGAGTTTAAAACCACATTTAGAGGAAAAAATAAACTTAATAAAGACAAAATTAATTCAAAGAATAGGGACCAAAGACCTATTGGAGGAAATTTTGCAAATAAATCAAAAAGCAAAAAGAATTTTAAAACTAAAAATAGACGATAAGTAAAAAAGATTTATTAAAAATAAAAAAACATTAATTATTGTTTGTTTTTTCATATTTTTCTCTATTTTCTTGCCTAGTTTTAGCTTCTTTCATTCTCCTATCCTTCCTAGTTTCTTCTCTGGCAATATAATACCTTTCTCTGAAGTCAGATATTTCTGATTCAAAAAACTGTAATTCTTCAGCAGTCGGCTCTCTAATCTTTTCAAATGTCAATAATCTCCTAGAAGTAACTTTTGACAAACCCTGTTCACAGTTGCCAGTTAGGGTAAAACAGGGATGTGAGGGTAAGCATTTTTCATTATAGTCCTCTCTAAAATCAGTTCTTAAATTATATAAAATTCAAAGTTTAAAAATGATTCAGTTTTGTAATAATGATCCACAAAAAATTGAATTGAATCAGAACTTACACTTTAAAAATTATACACATACGTGAATTTGTTTCAAGCTGTACTTTAAAAATAATTTTTTTGTGGATCACTCATACAGGGTCCCTACTATTTCATAGTTTCATTTTATTCTCAAAAAAATCCAAATGTTGTAACGCCCAAAGTGAAATCATACTGCGCCAAAGAAATAACAGATGACTAAATAAAGAAGAAAACTTTTACTTAGATGCCTAAATGTCTTATTTCTATATTTTCGGCTTTTAGTACATAATTTAACAGCTGAGTGAAAAGTTTATTAATATTTTCTTGCAATCTAATTTATTCTAAAAACCTATAAATAAATTCCTAAAATATTTACCCAAAACCATCCAATAATCGAACAACTACCTCAGAATAATCTTAAAACATTCTGAACCTGAAAGCATGCCCTAACGCAGTTGAAAAATAAAATATTTTCCAACATAATATTTATTAAACAAAACAACCTATTTCCAAAATAAAACAAAAAAATTGACAAACTAAAATTTAAAAAAAATAAATAACTATGTTTAACTGACATTAATTCTTTTTTTATATATGTTCAGTGACAATCTTAAAACTATAGAAATTGATAGGAATTAAAAAATACAAAACATTGATCTATTGTTTAAAAAGTTGGTAATTTTCAAGTCCCATGCGTGTGTGATAACTTTTAAAAATATTGTTTTGTACATAAGTCACTGATTAAAAAAAGTTTTTTTATTTATTTAAAAAAAGGGTCATTTAAAAACGGGCTGACGGACCAAATTAGTATGGAATGAGAGCTTTTGGTTAAGAAGCCAAAAATTCAGCCAATTTTAACGAAGCATTTTACATTTAAAACCAGTCTCCTTATATAATCAACCTACCTAAATACTGGAAACCAACAAACCACACAACCACCAACTTTAAGATGCTTCGCAGCAAATAGCAATAAGTCCCTGTATATATTAGATATTCCATAATCTATCTTAGCTGGAACGTGTGTCGATAAATGTTCTTCTTTCACCTTATAGTTTTGTTTGGTAGTTCCAATCTTTTCAGTGGCTTCTCTTATTCCGTATGGGGCTAAAAACTAGTTGAACGTAAATTTTGTTGGAATAAAAAATTCAATTACATCTTACGATCTGTAATGATGGCATCAAATTTAAATTCATCTTTCCAGAAAGGTACTGAAAAATCATTGACTAATACATCTAAGTACCTATGGCCCAAATTATACTGCTGCATGTTGGCTCTAATACTCTCATCCTGTTCTCTAACCTAAAATTTTTATATTTTTAACAAAGACTTGAGCAATATATTCACACAGTTGCAAGAATGCTTGTTAAATCTGTTAATAGTTAATGAACTTTATTAAAATGTGAGTAATTTGGCCTTCATGTCATTCAACAGTTCACATTCTCAAGTTCTGTCAAAAATTTTCGGTCACATACATTTGAATGAATATTATAGCAACCGGGTGCTAGTGTTTTAAAATTATTCAAAACGTTAAAAAAATTATTGACGTAATGAACTCATGTAGAAATATGAGCGAGACTCTTTTTAAGGGTGTCCATAAATTCATTTCAACACAAGCAAAGCAGGACCGAAGGTTTGATCTTGCCAAGACTGTATACAGATTTTCGAATATGGTCCTCAAAATAATATTTTACAAGTTGTTGAATTTTTTTGTACATTGTGCAAATTCTGAGAAAATATTGAGAAATGAAGGCTATCCATCAAGTGACATTGCCTTATGGCTAACTGTAAATAAAACTGGATTTGGAAGTAAGGAGCTTATCTCTCATTATTCTTGTAGAATATGTTTTCATTGGAAGACATATTGCCGTTGCAAGGTCATTGAAAGAGCTTTTGCCATATATCAGTTAACATAGCAAGTAATAGAAGCACGATTTTATTTCAAAGGGAAACTGTATATGTATCGTTTCAGCAATCTGTCCAAGGTTATGGCGTCAGCATAAATTTCTTTTCTCCTTGTCTTCTTCTATTGTTGTATGTGCTCAGTTTTTCACAATCTACCCAGTGCCAGTTTTTCGTTTTTAAAAGTTTTTATTTTACCTAATAATCAGCCATAAGAGGCCTAACACGCCCTTCTTAGCAAGCCAGATAGTGCTAGTGGAAAACAGCCCATACAGCTAAAACAGATTGCCGAAAAGATAATTTACAGAATTTCCTTTGAAATAAAATCCTGCTTCTATTATCTGCTATGTAAACTGATAGTCATATTAAATAATATTGGTTTTAATTTAAAATTATATATATATAAATTATTATATTTGATATGGATCCTTATCTAAGAGACATTAACTATGAGCCAATTGAAACAGAAGAGCTTAAGAATGTGCAGGAAATTAATAAGTTACATCAAGAACTCAATCCAAAAATGTTAAACTTTTTCACCAAAACATTTGTAGTCTAAATAAAAATCTGGATAACCTTAAAATATTTCTATCGCAACTCAGTTTCAGTTTTGACTGTATCGTTCTCACAGAAGCATTTTATATTTCCGATATCGATATATTTAAATTGATTGACTATGACATAGTTTATAACGAGGGTGATATAAATAGCCACGATGGAGTAATAATATATATTAAAAAAACGTTAATACATACATCTGAAATAATCCAAATAGGACCTTGTAAAGCCATACAAGCCACAATAAATATAAATAATTCAAATAAAATATTAATAACATCATTGTATAAACCTCCACCTGTAAAAGAAGAAGAGTTCGTAGATCACCTTTGTACATATCTGGAAGAAACACATAGAAACTTAAATATTAACAGACACATTTTTGTAGGCGATATTAATATAAATATCAAAAAAAATTCAGATTTGGTATCAAATTACTTAGATAATTTTGCGGAATTCAACTTTGTATCACTAATTAATAAATATACTCGAATACAGGGTAATTCAAAAAGTTGTATAGACCACATATTTTTCAAACAAATAATTACAACGATATTAAGAACTGTAGAGCGGTTATTTATGATACTAGAATTACCGATCATCGAGCTAAATTTGCATATTTTCCTTTATACACGGAAAAAATAGAGAAACATAAAATTTTAAAGCGTATTAATTATAAACAATTAAATTTAGATTGTAAAAACTTTGATTGGTCATTGTTTTATAACTTAACTGATATAAATGCAAAATGTAACTATTTTTCAGAAACTATTGATGAACTTATTCAGAAAAATTCCTACATAATTAATCAAAAACAGTTTTTAAAAAAACGAAAAGAATGGATAACTCAAGGTATAGTAAATTCAATTAGTGAAAGAAATAGGCTACATAAGGAACATAAAGATGATTTTGAAAACCTATCAAAAAAATTAAGATATATAGAACCTTGACCAATCAACTAATAAAAAAATCTAAAAAAGATTACTACACAAAAAAAATTGAAGAAAACCAATTTAGTTCAAAGGGATTGTGGAACGTAATAAATCAGTTACAGGGAAAGAATTCCAATGAGAAAAAAGAAATAACAGCAATACAAACACAAAAAAAGAAAATTGAAACAAAACCAGAAAAAATAGCTGAAGAGTTTAATGATTATTTTTCAGAGGTGGGTAAAAACCTAGCAGAACAAATCGTGACTCCAAATACACCTTTTCCTTTTCAAAATATTACGCAAAACTCATTTTTTTTGAGACCCACAACTGAGGAAGAAATAAAAAAATATATTAAATCCTCAAAAAATAAAAAATCCCCAGGTTTCGATGGGGTGCAAGCAGAAACAGTAAAATAAATATTACCAGGTATATTACCGGTGTTAACGCACTTAATCAATCGGATTTTTATCGAAGGTCATATCCCTGATAATTTAAAAAAAACGATAGTTGTTCCAATTCATAAAAAAGGTGACAAAAAAAACGTAGCAAATTATCGCGTGGTACTCCCCTGAAACTTTTTAAAAATTATTTATCAGGCAGAGAGCAAATTGTTAAAATTGGAACATCGTATAGCAATTCTAGAACTTTAACCTACGGTGTACCCCAAGGAACCGTATTAGGACCAACCCTTTTTTCGCTATATCTAAATGATTTATTCAATGTACAAAGTAATGGTCACATAATTAGTTTTGCAGATGATACGGCCATATTATATGAAGCTGAAAATTGGGATGATCTAAAACAAAAAACTGAATATGGCCTTGCAAAAATAATTGAATGGTTTAGTCATAGGTATCTGACCATTAATTTTTCAAAAATATTTTTTATGCCCTTTACTAGTTATGAAAATAATCTCCCTGTCTACGATGTCATAAATATAAACTCTAATTACCAACAAATATCAATACATATTACTGGCAGCATGAAGTATCTAGGCATCACACTGGATTGTTACCTGCGATGGGATAAGCACATTAATAATGTAACAAATAATCTAAGAACACTTTTATTTAAATTTAATTACCTGAAAAAACTGTTAAATATATCTCATCTCAGACTATTATACTATACCTTAGTTCAAAGTCGCATTCAATATGCTATCTTATCGTGGGGCGCTACAACAAAGAATCACACAAACAAATTAGAAATACTACAAAAGAGAATATTAAAAATTATACACAATAAAAAAACTCGATATCCGTCGGATGCCCTTTTCTCTGAAATAAATATATTTGATATCAAACAGTTATATGTTTACACATCACTTATGTACACTTATAAAAATAAAAACATTTTAAAAAAAATTAATCATAAATATAACACCAGAATTAAACAACAAGGTCATGTGCAAACTTACCTGGCAAATAAATCGATTGGACAAAGACATTTTAATTTCTTAATAAGTAAAATTTACAACTTTATTCCAGATATGTACAAATTGTATTTATTGACGATAAACTCAAAACATTTATTCAAGCAAATTATCAAAATTTTTTTATTAAATACTCAATTAACTTTAATTCATGCAATTTTTGAGTGATTAGTGGTCGGATCCGAAATTGCGAAGCGATATAATACAAATATATTTAACAATCTTACACATTTAAGCTCTATTAAAAATATTTTATATATAATGTAATTATAATTTTTTTTTAAGTGTGCACATCTGTTTTAAAATTTATCATTTATTATTGTAATTTTATTATGATATAAAGTAGTCGAATACCCATGCGCATCCTACAAGGACATAAATGGATTTATTCGACTCCTTAAATATCAATATAAAGAAAAAATATTCAAAATACAAAAATATGTAATATTTTTATTTTTTTTTTAATGAATAAACATTTATTTATTTATTACAATGCTCTACAGGCAATCCCAATTACAGAGCAGGAATAAAAGAACACATACATTATATAGACTAAGTGGTACAAAATATACAAAAATTAGTAAACAGCTAGTAGGTAAAATACAATACAGTACAATTTTTTGTTAGGAAATGACATTTTATTTCCCTGAGGTTGCATGAGAAGATATCAATGTCACTACTCACGCTATTCACAATAGTATGAATAGCTAGAATAGCTAATAGTATGAAATGGAGAATTTTTCAGAACATTTGTGCGAGGTACAGATATGTGAAATATGTTAGAATTTCTAGAGGATACTCTCGGAATGCAGATATCAATTTTTCTCAACAGTTCAGGAGAATCAATTAAACCGTTAACAATTTTGAAACCTAACACATAACAATGGTATTCACGTCTTTTTATGAGGCTTAAAAAGTGATATCTTTGAAGAAGATTTTGGTTTGGTATTCCGATTGGTGGATAAACACCGTCCTCCTTTAAACACAGTAATTTTAGAAACCGCTTTTGAACTGCTTCAATTCGATCCGTGTGAAGTTGGTAAAATGGACTCCAGACGACGCATACTCAAGCTTTGATCTTATAAGAGAGTAATATAACGTTTTTAATGTGGCTACATCTATGAAATCCCTGGTGCAGCGAGTTATAAAACCATACATACGATACGATTTTTCAATCATTTTATCTATGTGACATATAAAGGTCAATCCGGGATCAAAAATTACCCCAAGATCTGTAAAAGTATCTGGTCGCTGAAGTGAGACATTATCTATTAAATAATTATACTTTATTTGGTCGGTTTTTAAAGAAAAAGACATAACTTTACATTTAATTGGATTAAGTTCAAGTTTATTATTATTACACCATTCAACCACTAGATTTAAGTTCATGTGAAGTTGTTCACAGTCGCCAATACTTGTCACACGCTTGTATAATTTTAAATCATCTGCATACAGTAAAAACTGCTCTTTAATTACACTCGAAATATCATTGATGAAAAAATTATTATTATAGATGGCGCAAAGCTCTTGCACCGCAATGTCTTCCGATGAAATTATTGCAATTTTTATATCTGTATAGATAATTGCAAATAAATTTAACCAAAATTATTTTTACCTTCTGTTTTATTCTTGAAGGTCTTGTTCTTCCATGGAGCATCAAATAATCAATGTCTGTTCCTAAGACATAACCTCCGAACTGTGCAGCTGCTACTAGCAGTGAACCAGATCCAACAAATGGATCTAATACAATGTCACCAACTTTAATTTTTGCTTGATTTGCCATTAGCAACGATAGTTGTGCATCCATACTTGTATTACCTATAAATTTTCTCGTTTTTAGTGATAATTTTTTAATCAATTGGCGCAAACCGCTTGAAACCTACAAATAGGAATTTTTTCGATTAATTTGTTTTCATTTTGGGGGTTCAAAAATGATTTTCATTATTTCGTAGGGGTAATTGCTAAAGAATTTATATTAATATTAAACACCTGCGAATGAGCCAGCTCGGGACTATCTACAGTAAATTAGTGTTTACATTTCGGTTTTTAGTAGGTGAGTTGTTTTGTCGCCCCATTGAAATCAAAGTAACTTTTTCTGAGAACCAAGGCAACAGATTTAAATCAGTTGCAATAGTTGTGCTACTGTAAATGTTTATCAGGACTAAGATTTCTTGCACCTCAAGGGCTATCCATAGTTTATGTAGTCTACCAGAAAAGAGCAAACTAGACAGTGCTTTAGCAAATGATCAAAGCATATCCACAATAGATCTGAAAATGAGGTGGCTTTACACGGCCCGATGTACTAATAAAATGTAAACATCTTAAGAGCTGCTTTGGCATACAATAAAATTTAAAAAATAACATTGTAGTAAAAATTTAATGATTATTTACTTTTTATTTATTTATGTAGTAGTTTACATTTATATTAAACAGTAATATAATTAATTATCTTTAGGAACAAGAGAAGATAAATCACTCTATTACTTAACTACTTAATTCCTAAATTGAGGTCACCTCTAAATAATATTTAAAATGAAAACTGCTACTCTAGTGCACGATTGTACTTAAAGTACTGTGTGTGTGCACACTTTTTCTTATACATGTATTTTTGAGGTTTCACCATTTTGACTTAAAAAAAAATAAAAAAATATATTCTTATTTAAGCTAAGTATAACAGATTTTTGTACTAAAGTAGTAGAAATGTGGTCTGCACAACTTTGGCGATAACTCGCTTTACACTTGTAACAATCCACGCTATCTACCACCTTTTTTTTGCAATAATTACACTTTTTTTCAGCTTTATTATTTTTCACTTGTTGTTCCATGACATAACCTCATATATATTTATTAAGTACTAAATTGTATCATGTTTTTACTTACCCATCTACCAAAAAATACATCATATGGTAACTCTGGTGGATCGTTGGCTCTAGTACCATAATATTCAATATATTGCAAAGTGATGTCAGGATTATTCAAATTTACTGGTCCACAAAGAGGTAAATAATCGAATGTCTAAAACAATATACTTAACAAATTTTGTTCGAATATATTTTAAATAACAATTTTAAAATAGGTACAATGACATTTAACTTCTGCAGATCATGAATATATAAAGAAAATCATGTTAAGAGAGACATTATTATATTTCCATAATATGCACTGCAATGGAAGACATATAAGGCGCATATAATATCTGAAGAAATATAAAAATACTGAAATTAATATACTCAGATAAGATACGGCATCCAGTAAATATATCAATAATAGATATAAGGTTCACAATGTTAAAACACATACAACAAACCGTCTGATTAGACATTTAAGTAGCTAACATTCCCTATCTAAAGATAATTTGACTATTCAAACCATATATGAAAGTTTGTTTAAACCCACATAAAGTGCGAACCGATATGACAATTGCCTTTTATTTTTGATCTGTTTGCTTGCCATTTGAGAGTGACCTCTGTTGTGTAATTTATAGTTTTGGATTTACTTTTCTTTTTATATTCATCAAACCCATCTGCTTCAACTACATTTATGTATCTTGAATCTATTTATTTATAGGCAAGCCTGTTTCAATTACAAATTACAATTTAAAAAATCACAAATATTTATGGTGCTGTAGTGCAACAAAGACATTATACATGTCATATAAACTAGGAACGTTTAAAATAACAAAATAGGTTAGTTGAAGGTTAAAAAAGAAAATACACAACAAAAAATTAGAATTATAGCTCAGTAATTGAGTTTTGAATGATGAAAAGGGAATATTGAACAGCCTGAGATCATTGTGCAAGTTAGCTAATCTAAGCATTCTTGAAATGCAGCTGTTAAAGCTTGGTTTGATCTATAAAGGTATATAAAATGTTTGCAGTTGCCTAGTTGGAGTTTGAACAAAAAGATTTATTTTCTCAAGAAGTTCAGGACAATTGCATCTACTATTTATAATATTAAAAAGCAAAGTAAGGTCTCTCTGTTTTTCCATAGTTTCCAAGGAGATGATGCTCAGAAACTTTTCTTTCATATTCACAATAAACACCCAATTTAAAAGATATCTCTGAGAAAGTTGTGCTGTTGTCTATTTTCCTACTATGTTATGTAGTATGGAGACCAAACAGAAGAGCAATAGTCAAGGTGGTGTCTGACTAGCCAAACAATAAAGAACTTTAATTGCAGTTGTGTTGGTAAAATTATGGGACAACCTTTTGATAAAACCCAACATTTTCATGGATTTGTGGACAGCAGTAGATGTGTTAAAGCTTGAAGTGGGATCAAGAATAATTCCAAGGTCTTTAATTTGATAAAAAGAATCTAAGATATGCCCATTTAAGATATAGTTGGAGGTGGGAACAGTAAAAACACATGATATGGCATTTATGTCCATGTCATTTAAAGAACACCATTCTAATAAATTATCGAGGTCACAGTGAAGTCTACATCATCATGGGTTTTATTAATTTGGAAAATTTGTCAAATAATAAAGCTTTGCTGTTAGGGATACAATGAATTATATCACCAATAAGTTAAATAGTAAGAGTCGTAGACGTGACCCCAGATGTTACTTGAAATAAGTTAGAATAGTGGTGATTAGCTCTAACCATTTGAGTTCTATTATTAAGATAGCTACCAATCCATTGCAGTAATACCCCACCCAGACCATATTTTTTAAGTTTTTGAATTAAGAGTATGGTTAACCCTGTCAAAATATTTGGAAAAGTCAGTATAGACAGAATCGATTTGTAAACCTTTTTCCAAGGATACTGACAAGAAGTCGATAAAAATGACTAAATTTAACAGTTGATTTTCAAAGAATCACAATATCTCAGGTGCATCCAATGTGAATAAACAAATGCAACAAAAATAGCAAATTATAAACAAACAATAATTTAAAAGTTAAACCATTCAAAATTTACCTCTAACTTATTAACTTTTTCCTTTTGAGTAAAATGCCTACAAAAAGTCTCCACCTCAATTTTAAATGATTTATTAGGCTGAAAATAAGGTTTTAATGAATTAATTGGATAGTTTTTTAATTTATTATGCAAGTCTGGGATTGTTTTTGCATGTGCCCAAAGTTCTAAACAATTCCTAAGGGAAACAGATCTACTTGCTAAAAGTTTTACATCACTTTCTGAGTTAAATTGGACAATCCAGTAAGGTTCCTGCAATAAAAAATGCATTTACTCGTAAACGTTTTGAAAAATACCTTCCTACTTACAATATCTTTTGGTTCTTCAATAAACTTCATTTCAATTTTAAGGAGAGATAATAATGACTTAATTTCCTAAAACAAAAAAATACTTATGAAATAGAAAAAGGTAAAAACTAGTATTTAAAAATTACTGCAAATCTGAATTCTGTATGCTCTTGGGCAAACCACAGTAAATAAGTCCGCCATGATTTATTCATTATGATTATTTATTCTAATATTTTGTTTTTATTTCATTTATTGTAAACATTTGCTATGCCTTTTTGCTCTTCGAACCATGTGCAATTTATAAATAACATAATAATAATGGCCTTATAGAAAGTAAACAGCCACGGGTACAAAAATCTTCTTCTTTATTTCAATTTTACGTCCGTATTTGTAAATAGAACTCAGCTGAGTTGTCCTTGAACGAAAATCGAAGTTCGGTTATATCGCGTAAATTTAGAGATGGGTAGTAACAAATCCGTAAATGTACGTAACAGTTACAGATTTGCTAATATCCATCTCTAAATTCCCGTGTAACACCGGAACCACCTGGAACTTTAGAGGCGTTATAACCGAACTTCGATTTTAGTTCAAGGACAACTTACCCAAGTTCGACTCAGCTTAGTTCTGTTTATAAATACGGACCTAGGCCCATATTTATAAACAGATTTTATGTGAGTCGGACTTGGGTAAGTCGTCCTTGAACTAAAATCGAAGTTCGATTACAACGTCTCTATAGTTCGAGGTGGTTCCGGTGTTACACTAGAATTTAGAGGTGGCTATTAGCAAATCTGTAACTGTTATGTTCATTTACGGATTTGTTACTACCCATCTCTAAATTCACGAGATATAACCGAACTTCGATTTTCGTTCAAGGACGACTTACCCAAGTCCAACTCAGCTGAGTTTTGTTTATAAATACGGGCCCTGGGGTAGTATTCTCCAATGAACTGGAGTGGGGTAGAATGCTTGTCAATAGGTTTGAGATGCGACTCTATGGGCAAAGACAGGTTATTTTTCCTCTCACTCGGGAGTATTTATAACAACCATTTTCTATTTCACTTTGTTATTGTCTGATCCACCAGCATGTGGATTGAACAATAACAATGTGAAACAGAAAATGGTTATTATAAATACTCCCGAGTGAGATGAGAAATAAAAATGGCTGCGCCCATAGAGTCGCATCTTGTTATATTAATACAATATGCACATTGGCTTTCTACCCCACTCCAGTTCATTGGTATTCTCGAGTCACGAATATAGATTCGCATGCGAGATTTATGATTTGTCTCACTTGGTTTTCGTTCAACAGAGTGAGACACATTGTAAAACACGTATGCGAATGTCGGTATTCGTGATTCGAGAATACTACCCCTGATCTAATAGTTGCTGTGGCTAGTTCTGTAGTGGTAAGGAAATATCGGACCCTGACTGTTTTTTGCTACGTTTGAAAAGTACCTTCCGGAGCGGAGTAGAGCCAGTAGATTTTTTAATCATCTAGCAAATTTGTCTATGTGGAATAAAATAACGGCCTATGGATTTGTTTGTTTCCGTATCCGGCTTTTATTAAAATAAACCTTTCTTTTAAATAAAATTTGATCTCTCGTCTAGTTTATGTAACATATATTATGTTTATAATATAAATACAAAATACGTCTTATAAATAAGGGTATATACATCTACTTACCTCTTACTGTTATTATTTTGAGTTCAATAATTTCACTACTTCACTGAGGTTTTTTCCACGGCACAGCGCTTTCGTCAAATGCATTCAAACAAATGAGATGGATGCGAGTCCGAGCTCTAGTGACCCGTTCAAACAGGAAATTTGTTGTTTTTTTACCACGTGCATATCGTAAACACGTATTTAAGAGTAATTGTGATTAGAAAATGTAAATTTAAATAATATAATTACAAAGTACAATTCCTCCACAAATTTTGTAGCAATTACAATTTCAAATTACTATAAGAAAAAGAGTACTTAAATACAATTACATGCAAAAAAAGTGATTACTTTTTAAGTAGGAGTTATCCAGCTCTGCCAATAATAACAACTGCCATGTTTTTAAATCATAAATACATGTTTTTATTCAAAGTGAATGAATAAAAACCAGTGAACTATATATACAGTTCACTGATAAAAACACGGCAATTTTCGTTCATGATCGCGGCTATTAACTTCAGCTCATATTCAGTGCCCGCCAATGGAAAACGCTATTAGTTCAAATAAGAGGTACCTAGTTTTCTTTCTTCATTGGTTCCGGCTAAACTTAAGTTTGTGTTTATTTTGGGTGAGTATAATTTAACAAATATTTCAAACTGCTCGATATCTAAAGCCATTTTCGACCAGTCCGGTTTTGATCTAATCGCTTAAGTCCATCTCTACCTTATTTGGGCCTTTTACGGCTTCCATTTTTTCAGTTTCCAAGAATATTCGATAAAATAAGTCAATGAGATGCCCATGCTCGTCATCAGTTTAAATGAACCGTCCATTATAAATTATGGACTCTCCCATGAATGTTTACGAATCATATAAAAACAATTCTGGTGCAGGTGCCTATGCCCGAAACAGCGATTGTTAGTCGAAGGACGTTAGAATGTTCGATAGCAAGTCTGGAGCGCCAGAACTATAAGTTTTGCCGTTAGAGTATAGAGTTCTAGTTAAGATATCGTTTTGTTCAAATAAATATTGTCAATGCAAATTAGTGTAACAGTAAAAGATATAAATTGTCAGGGCCGGGTCCAAAGAGAGCCCTCTCTTTGTGGTGGCTCCCCTATCTGCCCAGGTAGGGGAGCCACCTACACCACAAAGCCTAGGCATATAGTTGTCAAAATCTACTTGAGCTACTAACTTTTCATACTTAATATACATAAAAACAATTCAGTTGGTTATTTTTATCTTCTTTCCTTCAAAAAAATCTGATGTGTCCAATACATGACTTTGTTGTCTACTATGTACTCGTCTATGGATTCAGAATCCAGAAAATATTTTAAAGAATGATTAAATTACCCACAATCGCAAATGTGGTTAAATTTTGTTAATACTCCCTGACGATATTCAAATTCACACACAATCGTTTGCTTAAGATACTAGTGGTTATAACTAAGTCCATATTATTAATTTTCGTTCAATTACAATAGTCTTTTTTGCCTAACGAGATTGTTTTATTTTAGTTTTTTTACATGTCTTTTTCCTCTATTTCTTTTTTCTTAATTCCAATTTATTGTATTGTACACAATATCATCATTCAACACCATGAATCCATGTTCATGTTTTACACTGTCATTATTTTTTAATTCAAAATTTTTTGTGCTTAACAAGCCTATTTAAGATCATTAAATATATGTGGTATTTGTTTTCGGTTTCATTCTTTCGTTTAGAATATATTGATAATGACAGTATAGTCCATAATTTTTTAAGTGATGGAAATAAGATGGTGTATAAGTGTTAATAATTTATATTTGCTTAAATATGGTTACATAAATATTGAAAAATGACTAGAATATTCTGGATTTGTGCTACCCTCAAGCATCCATGGGTTTATTTTAATATAAAATACTTTATGCTTACATTGCTTCGAAATCAAACTCTTGAATCATACTGAAACAAAAATAAAATATTTGTGTTGGCAAATGATCAGTCATTTATAAATCGGTAGGTGATCATACAAAGTGAGTTGTCACTTATGCGGTCATTTTCATTCATGGACAAAAATGGTATTTTTGGAAATAATTCTTTATGAGCTCTTTAACGATACCAAATATGTTGAGTACTATTTGATCGGTTATTTATAAATCGTTACGATACCAAATAGTTTTCTGGATATTCAATATAATATGACCAACTTATACCATTGTTGACCTTCAATGCTCAAGTTAAAAACACAAATTTCTAGGGTAGAACAATAAGGACGTGAACGGTTGGGAATATACCGGTCACATTCAATAGTGACTTTGTCACTTTCTGTCACATTGGTCACTTTGGAAAGTGATCGTGCTCAAAAAAAAAAAAACTATAAAACTTACTCTTCTTCTTCCTCATTGTTATCAAAATAATCACATTCTAAATCTTTATCTGAAATGATTTCAGTTTCTGCTGCATCATGTAAGTCTGAAATACATAAAATAATTTAAAAATAAACATAACAATATAAAATGTTCTACAGGGTGATTAATTAAAAATGTTGCTGGTTTAGGAGATACTCAAGAGTAAAATTTTATTTAAAAAATTTTCAGTTTTAACATAAAAATTTGTAGTTTTAGGTTTTCTGACATGAGAAATATAGTTTGTATTTTATTTTGTGACTGCTCATAGAGGGCGCTAGTATATCAAATACGGTGGTGCCCAAATTTCTAATTTCAGGGTAATTGAGTTATTATATCCTAGTGCCCCATCCACGACCCTTATTTATGAGTTTTAAACACTTAAATTGTAACAACTTCTAAAAACTATCAGAGTTGGATAGTATCCGGATACTTTATGTGTATCCGAAAGCTGTACCCGGATACTTTTCAAATTTTGTATCCGGTATCCGTGACCAAATTTGTAAGTATCCGGATACTGGATACTTTTTTCGGCATTCGGATACTTTTAAATTATTTACCACAATCGTAACTGATCCAATCCATATTATCTCTATTAAAATATATAATCTAAATACTTTCAGCTACCCTGTATAATTAGAAATAAAATACGCATTTTTCAATATTACAATATTTAAGACACAATATTGCAATTGTGTCTTAGAATTTCGCATAAAATGTGTAAACAAAATACATTTATATATCGCTTGAGAAATAAAAATCAAGTAAAGAATAGGAGAATAGATTCCTCTTAATAGAAAAAGAGTAGACATTTGGAATTTAAAGATAGTTCATGTAATTTCAGTATCTATTTTGTTTAAAATCCAGTTTTTTTAAAATGATATAATTAAAAAAAAAAATCTCGAAAAATCAGCTTAGATAAAAAAAATGTAAAAATAAAAGAGAATATAGAATTTCGTGTAAAATGTCTCTCCAAAATTTCATTTAAATCGCTTGACAAATAAATATAAATAAAATCAGCAGGTTATTACTTCCATTTAATAAAAATATTAAAAGTAAAATGATATAATAATAGCTTAATCATTAGATTTATATGGACACGACACTGGCTGGTTTTTGGCGCGGTTCAGGCGCGACTCGTTTTATTTACACGCACCTTTATGTTTTATTGTTCATTTTGTTTTAATGTTTTATATTCACAGAATAAAAATAATAAACAATTTATTGAGTAGTTTTTTTCCTGTTTCTATTATATCGCTATCTATTTTTGATAATTTATTTATGCCTAGTATTGTTTATTGTTACTCGTATTCAATCTTATTGCATAATAATTATAACTTTTGGTATGAAAACATTATTTTAACTTACTTTAAAAGTATCCGTAAAAGTATCCTTTAAAGTATCCGGATACTTGTATCCGAGTACTTTTTAGGTGAAAGTATCCTAAAAAGTAACCGGATACATTGTAAGTATCCGTATCCGGTACTCGGATACTTTTTTCCTGTATCCGACCCAACTCTGGACTCTATAAATAAAATAGAAACTCGCAAAAATACACTCAAACTTCCTACACTCGCCAAAGTATATCGATTATAAGACGGATCTGCAGCAGCAGTGGGTGGCTACAGCTTTTTACAAGATGTTGCAAAAGTAACAAAAGAAAGTTCAGTGCAAGTAATAAACAAAAATAAGTTACGAAGAACACGAGAAATTTCAAGAAATATAATTATGAATTCTATAAATTATCAACCTATAAAAACTATATACTTTGATGGTCGAAAAGACAAAGCATTGAGTATTGAAGAAATAAGATGGTAGACCTCATATAAAAACGTTAGTTGAAGAACATATATAATTTGGTACAAGAGCCACGTTCAGTGTTTATAGGTTATGCAATACCTTCATCAGGATCAGCAAAAGAGCTACTTCGAAGAGTAGTTGACTTTTTACAAGAAAATGACTATGGCCTGCCAGGCTTACTGGCAGTGGAGTGTTACGGAACGATAGTCAGCACATGATCAAAAAATGGGGACATCACTCAACTTGAATTTAGGACATCCTTTATGATTCATCTGCTAGCTTTATGCCGTTTTCAGGTCCTTTGGGCAAGCTTATAGTTCAATGTGAAAATTTGCCAGTATAAAGTTATTGACTGTAAATTACCTGAAGTAGATTTTTGCCACTTAAGTACTGATCAGAATATCTTTACATAATTTGCTTTACAATATCCTTTGGCCAATGTCCTGCAGATTTAGCGAACTAATCCAGGAAAAGTAGGTCATTTCCGATGGCTTACTTTGGCAAAGAGGGTTGAAAAGTACATCGATGTTGAGTATTGAGTAGAATGAAAGGAAATTTAAGAGTGCCTCTTGGGGATAACACATGGAAAAATCGATTTTTCTTAACATAAAAATTTTCCGACCCCAAAATGTTTTTCGGATTAGTGACGATATACGTTTTTATACATTCGATGGGCTTGTGTGGAAAAATCGGTTAAATTCTCGATTTGTTTCCTTACAAGATTACGCCCTTATTTTAACCCTTTAGCCACTTGCAACAATAAAGCCTTTGGTTTTCCGAAGCCTAGTTTTATTATTCATTTAGTGAACACGGTTTGCATGAAAATATGGGCAATAAAATATCTTTAATTTTTGTGAAGTAAAATAGAATTTTCCATGTTATCCCCAGGAACCATTCGTAAATTTCCTTTCATTCTACTTAAAATCGATGTACTCTTCGAGGCTTGCATGCAAAAATGGGGCACCTAAACCTGTTGCTATCTGACAGTATATCATCTAATTCGAACTATTTATTTAAACTTGCTTGAACATTTAAATGAACTACACGAAGATGTTCTACTCGCCCTAAGGCCATGGGGCGCCACCACATTACCTTCGTTCGCGGCAACAATCCTGAACTGATTATGAATTAATAATCCATACTTTGAGCGCATGCCCGATTCATTATCAATTCTGAATTTTTAACGCGCGCACAATCCCTATTATATCTCGGTGTTTCAGGTAGGTATAGTCAAGCGGTTCAAAACCAATAATAATTTTACCGCGAACGCAGGATAGAACCAATAATTCAGTTCTTTTTGTTCCAAGAACGCTTTTTAACTACTGCGCATGCGAAATCGTTACTGTTAGTTATAATTCGGTTCAGGATTGTTACCGCGAACAAAGCTATTATTCTCTGCCTATGTGCCAATATCTAAATCAATATTTTTCTCCATCGTTGATCGTTGGATTGGCAGTGAAAGTCAATTTTTTATGGCCACCTTGTAGTCCAGTTTTAAACCTATTTGATTTTTCAATATGGTCACAAATAAAATAGTTTATAAAGAACAAAATAATTCGATCGACGAGTTGCAAAATAAAACAAGTCATGAATGCAATTAAAGAAAATATACACGTTTTGTTTAATATTCAAAGGTTGTAAAGTGTATTGAGATAGATAATGTCTTTTTTTAACGTCACTTTACTCACTTCATAAAAAATTTATAAGAAAAACATATCTTTTTAAGAGTGAAAAACGCAAAAACCGATTGTGGGATCTATTAATATTCGAATCCCATCTTGTAAAATAAAACGGCAGTTAGTAAGAGGGTGTATGTGAATATATAATAAAATAAGTAAATCCATCATGAAAATATAATAATGACAATTGTATATATAAATGCCTGGTAACCGAGGTCGTCAAGTAGTTAGGTGGGTGCTATTAAATCTTGCCTCCCGCTAAGCTGCCAAAAAAGGTAAGATTAATTATGTGTGACGTGAATGTCGATATATGAGTTGGAGTTAGTATGTAGTGCTTCCAAGTCGCTACACCAATATATCTAGATAATTTAAAATAGAGTACATTTTTTATGTAAAATTGAATGGGCTTTCAGATTTTAATGGACAAAGAAAATATAATTTACTGAAGTAACAGGATGCCACTAGCGCCCTCTTTGAGCAGTCACAAAATAAGTTACAAATTCGTATTTCTCATGTCAGAAAACCTAAAAATACCAAATTTTATGTTCATGCTGTTAAAACTTATAAAGTTATTGAGAAGTTTTAAAATAAACATTTCTCCTTGAACCAGCAACATTTTTATAAGGCATGTTGGGCTAAATTTTCATATTTTGGTTCTTACTATCTGTAGTGCAGAGGCTGCCCATTCTTAATTAATCACCCTGTATATGTATACTAAGACATTATTATAATACCTGATAACGGAGGTACAACAGCAGTACTAAGATATTCAGTATTTAGATAGGGAGGCAGCTCATCCTCATCTTCTTCTTCACTATCCAACTGCTGAGTATCCACCATTGTCAACCATTGTTGGTTATGATTACGGAATTTTTCAATTCTGATTCTTTCCGCCCAGGTTTTATCATATTCAGAAATTATATTAAGGCAAGTATTGCATAATTTTCTAATAATTTTATTGTTGTCTTGAAGCAAATCGATTAAGTAAGCTGGTGCTTCTACAAAAAAAAAAAAGAAACAAAATAGAGACGCTATAAAAATACATAAGAAACACGTACCAGTTTTATTTACAATGTAATCAATATTTGAACCATGAGACAAAGCTATAAGGAATACATAAACAATTTGAAGCACGATTTCATCATCTTCTTGATGTGTCTTCAGCAAATCAATAAGTAATGCTAAAATATTAGTTTCACAGAACAAATTTGAGCAACCTTCATCAGTTGATGCCGTACCCAAAAGAACGATAACCTGAAATATGTTTTAAATGTGATTTTATATTTAAATTTTTGGTTTGACTTACATGTAATACTAACTCAGCGTCGCTGTTGTTACTTGTAATTATGTTTTTCGTCCACCTTATCATATCAAAATGTTTAAATATTTCAGCCCAATCGAGGTCAGGCAAATGAAGATTACTTAAAATTCCAACACATTCCCTAATAAAGTCATCATCTTTGGACTCTACTACTGCTTTTGCTATGTCACCAACGAATTCCTAAGAAAATTAAAATATATTATTTACATAGAAGGTTTAGACTATACATTTTGAGAGAGTAATACAATTTTTTTAGTTGGAAATCAAAGTTCTTAAATTTTTGATTACAGTAGCACTTCTTTATACTGACACATAATCAGAGTTGGGTAGTATCCGGATACTTCTGTATCCGGATACAGTATCCGGATACTTTATGTGTATCCGAAAGCTGTATCCGGATACTTTTCAAATTTTGTATCCGGTATCCGTATCCGTGACCAAATTTGTAAGTATCCGGATACCGGATACTTTTTTCGGCATTCGGATACTTTTAAATTATTTACCACAATCGTAACTGATCCAGTCCATATTTCTCATCGCCAAGGATGAATTTGACGATTCACCCAGTATATAGACAGTTGGGATTCAGCATCTTGCGGCACGTTTTTACAGGAAAAATCCTGCAAACCCTTGTCCGGTGTTAGCGTCACGAATTTGTGGAGTTTCCATTAGCTCAGTTATGTTTCAGTTGGCAAACACAAGAGACGGTTGTTCCTGTGTTTTTATATAGTTCAATATAACTAAACTTTCTGTATCAGTTTTAGTGCCTAACTATACGCAAAGGTAAGTAGGTGTAGGTACCTAGAATTTTTTTGTTTTGTAAAATGTCTAATTACATTATTAGTTCTTAAAATGTAGTCGACAAAATACATGTATGACGTTGTTGCTCATAATGTTACTGATCATATGTTATTTATGTCGTTATTAACATCAATAAAGTATACGAGCCTAATTTGCCTATGCCAGAACGAAACATTCAGCAATCTCTCACTCTTTTCGACGCTCTCGACCCTACCAAGTACCGCTCGTCGGAGGATCCACAAAAAATGGATTGTCGAATACATCTGACACTGACGAGACTATCGAAAGGTTGTATAAATATGACAAGTCGCACCAACAACGAGCTTATTTCGTTAGATTTATATGGACACGATACTGGCTGGTTTTTGGCGCGGTTCAGGCGCGACTCGTTTTATTTACACGCACCGTTATGTTTTATTGTTCACTTTGTTTTAATGTTTTATATTCACAGATTAAAAATAATAAACAATTTATTGAGTAGTTTTTTCCTGTCTCTATTATATCGCTTTCCATTTTCGATAATTTATGCCTAGTATTGTTTATTGTTACTCGTAATCAATCTTATTTCATAATTATAACAATTGGCATAAAAACATTATTTTAACTCACTTTAAAAGTATCCGTAAAAGTATCCTTTAAAGTATCCGAAAAAAGTATCCGGATACTTGTATCCGAGTACTTTTTAGGTGAAAGTATCCTAAAAAGTATCCGGATACATTGCAAGTATCCGTATCCGGTACTCGGATACTTTTTTCATGTATCCTACCCAACTCTGCACATAATAGAGAAATAGAAAAGGAACCAAGAGACATCAAGAAAAAAAAAAAAAAAAAAAAAAAAAAAAGAAATCCGAATCTTAATTTACCTAACCTTTAAGGCGTAGAGCCAAATTTTTTTGTATGGAAAGCCGAAGCTTTATCCGTTAGATTACAGTCGCTTGTCGATTTACTTTGTGAAACGGTATTTTTTGAAACGATGAGAAAGTCAAAGTTTCCCGATGAGTTTATTGTATTCATACTTTTACTAAGTCAGGTTGGATTTACTAGTTAAAAGTGTGATCTACTGAACTTTGATTTTTTCAGTTAGTTATACATTAACTAGTGAATGTATACATTCACACAGTTTATGCTTTAACTGTGATATAAATGGAATGTCAATGAAAACTATCCATCTCAAATAATTTTACAGGTGAGGCTTTTATGAAAAAATACAAAAATAAGCAAAAAAAAATGTCTAAACAAAGACGTCATAGGAAAATAATAAAAGAGAAAAAAAAGGGGGGAAGAGAAAGAGCTTGAACAAAATCGCATAACATTTTTGGAATCTAATATTAGAGGAGAATAGAAGAATGCAATTATATTCAGGGTGTTCCATTAAAAAAAAAAAACATGGGGTGGCCATGGTGAAAGTTACAAGTAGTATACATGAGCAAAAAGACGTCCCCTTCATATGATTTTTAACCAGTTTTTATATTTTTTCATGAAAGCATCACCTTTAAAATTATTTAGGGTGGATAGTTTTAAATGAAATTCGCTGTATAGATAAATGTATTCTTTCTCATACAATTACAAAATACAAGGGAAAAAGATATTTAGACATGGTAGAATACATTGTAGAAAAAAACTATAACAAATTCAGATCACACTGTGAAAAATCCAACTAGTTCAATTGTTTGCATATCTCTGATCCTATTTCAATAATTCATAAAATTATATCTAAAAATTTTGAAAGAAATTTTTCTATCATTTAAATTGAAGCTGAGAAGAAAAAGCCAAAGATAACAAAAGATTTCCGAATATCATCAAAAAATCTCAGGTTATTATGTACTATTCGAAAATATACAATCAAGGCTTCCTTGAAAACTTATATCCATAATGTCATGGCAAGTCAAATTATTATTAATTTCCCCCTTTTATTTTGTTTTGCTCAATTTTTATTTTTGTATTAAATAATTTTCTTCTTTCAATACATTGACTCCATGACTTTCCATTTAAGTGTGTCTGATGATAAAGTAATCACTTCGAAATCGGTCGCCAATAAAGGACCTTTCTTTACACATTCGTACTCAATTATTGATATATATTTATATTTTAAAGCTGTCAATAGAATTGGTTTTCTCTGACAATAAAGTATATTTTGACTGATCAATTGATACATACATAATAAAAAGTATTTAAAAACATATATTTACACTTTTAGTGCCACTGACGCGCCAGCACGTCATATTTGTCTTTATATGCCAATAAAGCTCTAGTGCGTTCAAAACTTTATAGTATTATAAGTTCTAATATTGTCGGATCTGCCCCTAAGCATCTGTTAGGTTTGTGGAACATACTTCAATAAAAAATTTACTTAAAAAAAAACTAGTTTGTAATTTTTATTTTTAAATAAATGAATATGATAATTTTTTGTTATTTTTGTTCTTTTTTTTTGTTATCTCTGTTATCTTTTATATTAATTTTGTAATTATTGTTTTTTATAATATTCACATATTTGTCACTTTTAGTATATTATTATTTGTTGGGTTGCCCTGTAAAGAGATTTATATTTGTTGGGCAATAATGGCTATTTTTTGCTCTGGTTATTAACCTCATGTTCTGTGTATGCATTGTTACTGTTTCCCAGCACCATTTTTGAAACAGCACTGTAATTAGAACCCAACAGTGATTGGCCGAGTGGGGAATCATACCTATGCTTTAGAATTGATATTTAATTTATTAAATTAAATAAAAATCCTGTTACCGTCGGGATTCGAACCCGAGCCCTTTCGATCTCAGAGTCATGACTCCAACCACGGAGCCAACCCACCCCCAAATAATGGCAATTATTATAATTATTATTAAATGACTGGTCTAAAATATATACAAAAGAATAAAGTGACCTAAAACTGATTGTCCAAATTTAAAATGTCATTATTTTCTCTAAAATCGAGGGGCACAAACCAGCCAAGTCCATTTTGACAAAATGTTCAGGAGGGATGAAAAATGTTTCAATTGCACTTATTTTGGGCACGCGTCATTTTCATCCAGGGTAGGGGGAGATTCAAATATACAATGGTACAGGAATAGCACATTTTAACTAAAGTCTTAACAGCATCTCTAATGTTTGTGGCCACTTGTGAAAGTCTAAATTCGTCTATGTTTCCTCATTTGAGTTTTACTGATCTCTAATAGCGGCCTATTTTTTTGACACTATATATATTTTTTTATTATTGTTGCCATGAAACTTGTAAAATAAAAATATATTACTTACAATGAACGCTGCAGCTGAAGATGAATTTTCAGAAATATTTCTCAACATTTTCATCAGCATCGCGTCTTGGTAAGTGAATGCTCTCATAATTAAAGCTTGCAATCTGTTCTTTTTAATTATATGTTGCGCGTTAGATGTATCAGTAGCTAAATTTATGCATAATGCCACCATGGTTTTGTCTTGTTCATTCCCAACATTCAATAAAAGCATATCAGTAATCTAAAATTACAAAGGTAAAAAAATGAAGATTTCTTGGTATTAATACTTTTTACTTTATGTACTCCCAATATTTCTAAGCACAAAAAAATAGACTTACCAATCCGATACAATCAACAAAATTATGTTTTACTTCATCTTCATAACTGAGATGGTACAATATTTTAAGTACAACCTCTTGATGTTTATCATCGCCTAAAAAAATAATAGTAAATTACATGTAGAAATTTCTTCATATTTTTGTACAAATTTTAGACCAGAAACTCACTTAAAAGGCTCATAATTTTCGGCAACAGACCAGCTTTAATCATCTTGTACCTAGCCTTGTGATCAAAAGACATATTGAACAGCAACTTTAAAGTTAAATGAACTAAATCAGCGCTATTGGAATTCAACATTCGAGGTAATTTTTCAATTACATTTGAGTTTCCTACAATCGTTTCTTTGTTGCACTGCATTATTGACAATTTTTTTAGGAATGTAATGACTAAAATAAGCAAATCATCGTTTTCTCTTTCTAAAGCCTTTGCCAAGAGACCAATGATGTTTCGCTTTGACATTTTTTCTTCGACAACTTCATCTTCAGAAATGTTTAGTAATAAGTAAAATGCTACACGGAGTAAATGTTCTTGTTTCTTGACTAAAGTCCGAAATCTTTTCAATTTCTGTTCATCCGTGAGTTTTCTATCGTCTATTCCCTCCATGGACGTTGTGAGATCATCATAAACACTACCTGTATAATTTAAAATATTTTGGTTATTTAAATTATTTTGATAAACAATAATTTACCTTCCATAATTTGACTTATATTACTATCTGAAAAATTTCCAGATTTTGGACGTACAGGTTCTGGAATACGACTTCGAGGTATATCAGACATGCTAGCACTACTTGGGCAAGGTTTTCGAACAATTGGTATGTCTGACGGTGCCTCAGAACCCTCAAAATCCGCTTTCCATCGATCATACCGTCGCAATTCATAGTCAATTATGTCCATGCATATTGAGCCCACCTTAAACATTGACAAATAAGTTTTAGGATAATTTTTAATAACGGTATTTTTTATTTTTGACCCAACATACCTTACACTTCAGAATAACATCATGGAAGCACGAATACATAGAAAAACAAAAAAATGTAAATACTAAATGAGTACTTAGAGAAATACTTCTCTTCCAATCTTCTCTCAAAACACGTCCCAATGCACTGATTAAAGTTTCTGAAAAATATTAAAAATCAAACAGATAAAAAAGGAGCCAACATCAAAATATAAAAATTATAGTTGCCTCCAAATTCGGTGGGAAAATGTACACCAAAAAAGTTTGGCAACATTGTTAAAATGACTGGATGAGTGGTTGTAAATCATACACTTACAGTGGATTATAATACAGAATCATATTCAGGCACCTATTTTAAATTTGAAAATTTTATTATAACAAGTTTTTATCGAATTTAAAAAAGTAAAAATGATTATTTGATATGTGTGTGCCATAAGTTCTATATAAATTTATTTATATAATAAATACACTATTATATTTGTTCTAATTCATAGATATACTATCTTACTTTCTGATAACATTAACCAAAATTTGGTTTTATTCGATTAGAAAGTAAAATTCTTAACGGCATAATGAAGCATATACAGTGTGTCTACTTAAGATGAAACCATATGGAAAACATTTTTATTATTGATTTTAGGAAAAAAAGTTATTCTTGATAAAAAGTCCTGCATGACCCAAAACCTAAAATACAGTCATCACATATCAAATTTTTCAAGCCGTATACGAGGTTTGTCAAAAAATATGAATTTTGCTCAAGAGTAAAATACGTTTATTTTTGACAAAATCGAAAATTTTCATTAAGAAAAGTTGATTAGAATTGAATATTACATTCAAATATGCAATTACACCAATCTATCTGAAAAAACAGATTTTCTTATTTTTTATAAACACTACACTCTACACATTGATTGTAAATATCTGAAAACATTATAAATTACGTTAGCTACTATAAACATGATACGCTTTCCTTTTGTTGATGTTTGTGAAGAATTTAGCAAATTTATTAATGAAAATTTTCGATTTTGTAAAAAAATAAACGTACTTTACTCTTGAGCAAAATTCATATTTTTTGACAAATCTCGTATACGACTTGAAAAATTTGATATCTGATGACTGTATTTTAAGTTTTAAGTCATGCAGGACTTTTTATCAAGAATAACTTTTTTTCCTAAAATCAATAATAAAAATGTTTTCCATATGGTTCCAACTTAAGTAGACACACTGTATATTGTGTACCTGACTCAGGTACATAAAAATAATCTTTACACTTTCCCACCAAATTCTGAAACAACGATAGAAATTTCTACCAAATTCATTTTGGACACTGATAAAATAAGTATATATATTTTTAATATATTTTAATATATTTTTAATATATTAAGACACCTCTCTGCGTCTTTGCCCACCGGCAGGATTTTTTACGAACCGAGAGGCAATTCCTATATGCTGATTTCACAGAAGGTTACACTTTAAAGTTATTATATTGAACTCTGGTCAGGCCTCACCTTGAATATGCATCATGTGTTTGGTCTCCTCAGTATAACATTTACATTAATAAAACTGAGTAGGTTCAACATACATTTTTGAAATTTTACGCTTATAAAATGCACTTAACTGATCACATATATGAATCTCTTTAATTAGATCTTGGAATTGACCCCTTACATCTTCGGCGCGATTTCAAAGATATTTTGCTTCTATATAACTTGATTAATGATCACAAATCCTGCTGCTCTTCTTTTGAGCAACATTGGCCTACATGTACCTCCGAGATCTACTCAATCAATGAAAACCTTTGAGGAAGTTGCTCATAGAACAAACTATGAATCTCATTCCTTTTTGTCCAGAATAATAAAAATGTCGAACGATATTGTGCAAGACTTAGATTTCTTTGTGGACATTAAGTTATTTAAAAAAGAATTAAGATCATTGTCCTCTTGATTTCATAATGGTGCTTAAACCGTTTTCTATTTTTAGTATATATTTATTTTCTTTTTATTGTAAACTTATTACTTAGATCTTCTATACTTGTTAATTTTATACTGGCCTTTTGTAAATCATGCAATATATATTTGTAAATGAACTTCGGTCCATGTAGTTACAATAAATAAGAGGACCAAGAATACAACCCAAAGTCTGTCTGAAATATCTAGACATATGTATTGATAAGGGTGGATCCTGCAGAAACAACATTACCAGGACTATGGAGAAAATGTCAATATTAGTTAGTGTGCTAATTAGAATCCTACCAAACTTAAACGGCTAATTTAGAAATTTTTGATGGCATCATTTGACTCAATAGATTGAGAAAACCTCACCACTCATAGATATATTAACATCAAAACAAGGTTCTAAAAATAAATTTGGTAAATTGTAAACTATTTTTCCTACGACCAATTAGGAAAGTGACACATATCACACTATATAGTCTTATGGAAAGTGCCTCATATCTCACGCATATGAATAAGAATTTACTTTCCACCCATGTGCCGAATATGCTACTTTCCGCATCAGCTGTCACAAAATGTCGAACGCATCATTTCTATTTTGATCTATGTAATGTCCATATTAATACTAAAATCGATATGATTGTTAAATTATGGAAATTGTTGTAAATTAGATCCTAGATATTTATCTTTAACAATTATTATTAAAATAATATTAAAATAACTAAGGGGGCGTCCATTAATTACGTAAGGTATTTTTGAGGATTTTTTGACCCCCTCTCCCCCCCTGGTGAGATTTCGTAAGATTTTCCTCAACTCCCTCCCCCCTCCCCTAATCTCTCGTGAAATTTTTCAAAATTTGTGTTTTGGGTGTAAATGCGTTGGATTATTAAAAAAACAAACCCAATATATTTTATTACTTTTATTTAAGACTAAAAATTTCTAGAAACATTCTTTATTTTAATTTAATTTTCACGCAATTTTACACCGTTTTCTACTAGAAAAAAAAATACGTCACATTTAAAAGACCTCCTCTCCCCCAAGTGAGATTTGGAAAGATTTAGCTTGATCCCCTCCCCCCTTGAACACCTCACGTAATTAATGGACGCCCCCTAAGTTATGTTTGCTTTTTATTCTGGTTAAATACATAAGCCATTAAATCAATCAATTGACGCAAGGCCTATTAGCTCAGATGGTAGAGTATCAAACTTTATTAACTTTGCCATTTGAGACCTGGCGAGCGACCGCGTTCAAATCCTTGCGGGGGCAGATTTTTTTTTTTGTTTAGAAAATATGAAAATTGAATAAATACGATTACTATTGTTTTTTTAAATTCATTTTATTTATTATAATATAAACCTCGTTTTACATTTCCGCATCAGCTGTCACATAATGTCAAACGCATCATTTCTATTTTGATTTATGTAATGTCCATATTAACAGTAATATCGATTTATTAAATTATTAAAATTGACGATTAACTTAGATCCTAGATATTTATTTTTAACAATTATTAAAATAATTTTAAAATAACTACATACATCTCATTATTTTGGCTTTTTATTCTGTTTAAACTTAAAATCGAATTAAAAGTGCATTTGACATAAGACCCATTAGCTCAGGTTGTAGAGTAGTTGCAATTTGAACTTTGGCTTACACGACGGGCCCGCGGGCCCACATTCAAAACTTGGTGGTTGCAGAATTTTTTTTTATTTTTGTTGCGAAAAATATGAAAATTGAATAAATACAATGACTGTTGATTATTTTTTTAAATACATTTTAATTATTATAATAATAAGAAGCTGGTTTTACATTTTTTGATGAAATTATTTTGTGGCCCTAGGAAAAATATTGTACATCACTTGTGTGAAAAGTGATTTCCACACTCGGCTTGTGCCTCGTGCAACAATATTTCCCGCTCGTGTGAAAAATGTCACTTTCCACACTCGTAATGTAATATAACTATTTATTAGTAAAGGACAATTTTCTTTAGATGTGTTTTGATGAAATATCTAAGTTTGTGTATAAAGAATAGGAGTAATGCTTTTTGAATTAGATCAGTAACTACTTTTATAAGTTTAAACTGAGTTTACATGTGTTAGTTTCTTACCATTTGTTGCTAGTGCTTCCAAATTTTCTGTATCTCTTGCTAATAATTGAATAAGCTGGGCACCTTTGATTTTTTCTGACATACCCTCATACAAGAGGTCAATATAATCAGATAAACTATTATAATTTGCTTCTTGCACCCCATTGGATATTTTTTCTGCTACAATTTTGTCTCCATCTCCCAACATTGCAGAGTTTCCTAAGTAAAATATTACATGTAAAACTACCTCAAGTTCAAAAGAAATGTTTTGTGAAAATAAATATTTATTGAACTTAATACCCATTAATGATTAGTAAGCAAACAATATATTATACAAAATAAGCAACTCAAGGACTGCTTTAAAAAGGACAGTATTTTAGAGTCTTACATAAGAGGTGTGGCTAAAAACAACTGTGAGGGCGACAAGGTCAAAAAAAAAATGCCATGGTTTCTTCACCAGGACAAAACTGCAACCCAAATGTCTGTCAAGATGTTTTGGCAAAGTCCTGTATTAGCATATTTATCCTAATTACTGAATCTCACATCATGTCTCTTTTTTAATACCCAATCAGCACTGAAAGGTACCATATTTAAGACAGTAAAGAGCTGTCAAAGAAAAAGTGACAAAGACCCTGAAAAAGCTTGTTCTCAAAAATATGGTTAAGATTAGGTACTGCTATGGCCAATTTAAATGTCGCATGGAGTGGTGTAGGGATCTTGGAGGGAAATATTTTGAAGACGATAATGTTGAAATTGTGAAAGAACAGAAATAAACGATTTTATAACACTAATTTGGTATTTTTAGTTCAAATCCCACTAAGGTCAGATTTTTTTAAATTCATAATTATTTCTCATACCCAGGTAGAATTCCCCATTTGACCATTCACTTTTATGTTCTAACATACAAAAATACTAATAATAGTTGGTAAACTATAATAATCATTCTCTGGCTATCCAATGTTTGTATAAAAATAAACTTTTAGAACTATAAATTAACACCACAACTTTCAAGCTTATTCTTACCTCTATTGCCATTTTGCATTTTTCGTTTCTTTAAGTAGTAGATAATTTGTTCAACTTCAGGTAAACGTGAATGGTGAATAAGTTCACATTGATTAACAACTTCTTTGGACAGTGCATGGCAATCAGTTCTACTGTTAATCATAGGTAATTCAATAATCTTTTTTAGACTCTAAAATAATTTAAAACAGTAATTATAAGATATACTAAACCAAACCTGTTTAAATAAGCAAATAGTTCAAGAAGTAATTGTTGTGTATGGTAAATATCTTGTTGTTTTTTTGTAATGGGATGGCATTAAATATCTTGTTTTCAATACAATTATGAATCTAGTGGTACCTTTTTCTCTCCATAAAGAACATTTTCTTTGGATGCTAGAATCTGAATATCCAAATCATAATTTAAACAAATCGCGTCAATATTTGGGTGAACATCTACTGATCCTGGTTTACGTTCTCTACAAAAGATCAGGAAAATATTTTAAAGGACAATTTTAAGTTTAATTCAAAACTTACGTTCTCATAAATTTGGCTTCCTCAGGATCCATTTCAAAAAACAACTTACAAATGTAAACAATACAGTGATAAACGGCTTGAAAAGTTATTAGCAAAAACACAATAAAAATATTTAAATATATTATTTCTATTACCATGCAAACTTCAAAATTTTATTGTTGTAAGTGACAGTGACAGATGTGATGTTTATTTCGCATTAGCCTTGTGCCACGGTGGCCTTCGTGCACTACACTTGATGCACGTGGTCAGCACATACAGAGGCCAGATTAGGTGCGGTCGTTTATTCAAGCTCTGTTCACTCTGTCCGTAAGAAATCAGCTGAGTTGGACTTGGGTAAGCTCCATATCTATGATAAGTCGTCGTTGAACTAAAATCAAATTCGGTTATAGTTTTAGTTCAAGGACGACTTACTCCACTTACCCAAGTTCGACTCAGCTGAGTTCTGTTTCTGAGTTCTGTTTATAAGTTTCTTTCGTTCGTCCCACTGGTGTAAGAATGAACTACACCAACGGACACTAAACCTTTCGTTTGGCCCGGGGGTCGATTCTCGACTCGTAGGAATATTTTCCTATAGGAATTTTTGACATTTTTATATACATCGAAAATTTATGACATTTCCCTACATATAGGAAAGTGTCACAAATTCCTATAGGAAAAGGTTCCTACAAGTCGAGAATCGAGGCCCCGGTGTTAAACTCACTATATACACTATACCTTTCTGTCGGCGATGTGGTATCCACTGGTGGATATTTTCTCCACCAGCTATTTAGCAGGAGTGAATTACACTCGACATGTGTATAAGGAATAAGGAGGAAGTAAACTTCTAGGTAAATAAGGTGGTATAATTGACACTGGTGTAGCCTGCCCCAACAGTGAACGAAAAACCTTTTATGTGCGAACTCAACACGTAACGAATCGAATAGACAGAGACATTACATTCAGTGGAACAAAGATATGCTTCTCAACACATGCCGTATTAGGCATTCCAAACAAATGAATTGCCAGTGGGCAGGTTTGGTATATCTAAGGGTGGCGACATACGGTGTATTCTATCTACTTTACGTAAAATCTTGAATAATGGATTACATTTAAATATTTTATGTCAAACACAATAAAAATAATATTTAAAAAACCCACATATACATTTCTTCATAAATTGCCAGGCTTGACGACTACTACTTCGAATAAAAATAGCGTCCAAGTTGCAAGACTATGTCGCTACCCCCTTAGATATACAAGAATTTCCCACTGGCACCTATTGTTTGATAGGTCGTTGGAATGCCTAATTGGAAGATGAGAATCCCAATGCAGTTCATTGATCCGAAATCCGAACTCACCTTTTGTGACTTCCACTTGACGTATTGACTTTTGTTTCTGTCACGGTGACGAATTCTTTACTGTTCTATGTTTTATGGGATCCATAATCCATATCCAGTCTATGTTCTGTGCAGTCTATGGATCAGGATCTGCACTTTTTTATGTGGTTGGGAAAAATAAACCAAAAACAAGAAACCATATTTATAATAATATACCATATAAACCATTAAAGAAGACTACGATTAATAATTTCCTTTTAACTTTGAAATGGGCAATTTCAAAAGTAAGTTCCCTTTTTGTCTGTGTATTTGGTTTTTAAATTTTTTATTTGTTCCCTACAGAGGATTTGGAAAATTTAAGACAGTTTAGAGAAAATAATGATCGAAACAGTAGAGAAGTGGTTCAGATTTGGATAAATTCCATTGGTTCAAATATAGATAAACTTGGAAAAGAAAGTAAGTAATAATAATAATAATAATAATAATGTGCTTTTGCATTACTAATTAAATCGTTTTAGAGCATGTAATATTGGAACAAGTATGTATAGCAGCACTAGATTGTTTTCAATTAAAAGTAGCGGAAACATGTATTAAAGGGCTCTATAATGAATTCCCAAATAGCTGCAGGGTTCAAATATTGGAATCTATGTTATATGAAGCTGATGATAATTATAATAGAGCATTGCAAATTTTAAATAATGTCATTAAACATGATGGTACAAACAGTTCAGCCAGAAAAAGGAAAATTGCAATGTGTAAGGCTCTTGGGAGGAATACTGAAGCTATCAAAGAGTTAACAGAATATCTGAAAATGTAATTTTTATGAAATTATATGAATCTTAGTTTATTATACTTTATATATTTTTAGTTTTATGGCAGATGTTGAAGCATGGCAAGAACTAAGCGAATTGTATATTTCTGAATTTGATTACAGTAAAGCAGCATTTTGTGTAGAAGAGCTAATTTTGCATAATCCACATAATCACTTGTTACACCAAAGATATGCTGACATTAAGTACAGCCAGGGCGGATTAGAAAATATAGAAGTGGCTAGAACTTATTATTACCAGTCATTAAAATTGAATCCTAAGAATATGAGGGCACTGTATGGAATATATTTGGTAAGGATTGTGCAAAACTTAACTTTTATTGACCTTATATCTATCTATCTATCTATCTGAATTAGGGCGTGGTTCAAAGCCCACTTGTACTGAAGCTCTGGGCTTATTGACCTTATAACTAAGGGTAGGTATATATTTTTATAAAGAGGGAACAAAAAGAGGTTTAATTTTTTTCATATTTATTTAGTGAAAATTTATGAAAAGTATTAAATATAAACTTGTAGTAAATATTTAAACAAGAAACTAAGGGATAACAAAAATCTTTCCTTGAATGTTAAATTCAACTATAAGGTTGAAGACCACTTATTTATAAATGCCATCATTCATTGTTTTCAGTATGGCAAAGCACTATTGTTTGCAGATGATTTAAAAGTTTTCCTATTAAAACCATTTATGATGCCCTCTGGCTTCAGTCTGACCTTGATAATCTATCAAACTGGTGTTCCTTTCGATCCCATGTACCAACTACTACTTTTGATTATAACTTAAATGGTCATGTCTGTTAATCAAATTAAAGACCTTGGAGTTATTCTAGATCCCACTTTAAGCTTCAATCGACACATACCTAAGGCTATCCATAAAAATGTTAGGTTTTATCAAAAGGCTAACACATGATTTTACTGACACAACTGCAATTAAAGTCCTTTATTGTTCACTAGTCCGACCTCACCTAGATTATTGCTCTTCTGTCTGGTCTCCACATTACATAACGCACAGCAAAAACATAGAAAATGTGCAACATAAATTTCTTAAATACATAGCTTATAAATTGGGTGTCCTTTGCGAGTATGATTTGATAGAGAATTTTCTAAATATCCCCTCTTTGGAAACTAGGAGGAAACAGAGACCTGACATTACTTTTCAAAATTATCAAAGGCAGATGCAGCTGTACTGAACTTCTAACAAAAATAAATCTTTATGTTCCAACACGCTCGCTCAACTCGTACAGCAACAAACATTTTATGTACCTTTTTATTGTTTAAACCATACTTTTAGCAGCTGTATTCCAAGAATGTTAAGATTAGCCAACACTCATAAAGATCTTGAGATATTTAACACCCCCTTTCATAAATTTATAAAGCAATTACTTAGTACTGAGCTTTAATTTTTGATCTTTAATTTTTAATGTTTAATGTAAATATTTTATTCAACCTTATTGTCTTTTGTCTTTTAAATCTTTTAAAATCTTAACCTATTTTATGAATTATACCATGATTGTATTTCAGCACCATATATATTTCACTACATTTTAATTATAATTTTGAAATTGTAATTTATTTCTCAAATGGGCTTTCCCGTAAATAAATAAATAAATTAGGTTATCTTGAGGACAACTGTTGCTCTGTATAGCTTGGCTGAGTAGTTATATTGTCATTGTGAACCCCCAAATATTTTGGTTACGAGCCGCCATTGGTTAGTGTTAATTTTTTTTTGTAACACACAAATACAGTTCAATTTTCTATTTTTAGACTACATCTGCTATGCTGAATACTCAGAAAGTAGTAACTGGTAAAAAAAAGGATGCTGCTCAGAAAATTCTGGATTGGGTGCTTAAAGAAATTAAGGAAAGATATTCAGAGAATCAGGTTTCTGATATAGAAGAATCTTTGGCAGCACTAGAAATTTAGAAATTTCAATTCACCATTCCTAGCTCAAGCTGAAGTTTTTAAGTATTCACCTTGTACTAATTATAATGAAATTTTTATAAAATATTTAATATATTGTAAGTGTGAAGTATTCATAAACAATGAATAGAAATTACATGTTTGTTAATTTATCTTTATTTTCAAATTTTTTAAAATCAAAATTAACAAATTCCAATCATTTAGAACTGGTCATCAGTAATAACTTTAAAAAAAGGTTTCAAGAAAACTAAAAAATTAGTATTTCATTTCCAAATTAAAATTAAAAAATTTAATGACATTACTGTTATATTAATGTAAAAAATATATTACATTTAAAACTAACTATTAATACTATTCCATGTCCTTAACGCCTAGGTGCTCATTATTAAAGTCATCATTTTTCAAATTGTTTAACTGATTACCAATACTTTTCAAACTTTCCATAACTATTAAATGGTTCTTTTCCTGTTGTGCTTTTATTTCGGTCAGCAACTGAATTTTAATCCGGTCTAAAGAAAGATTATTTTTTACTAAAAACTCTCCAGAAGATGTATTTTTCGGCTGGGTGTTTTCAACGTCATCTTTTTCCTCATCTTTATCTTCACATTCTATATTTTCAGTAATATCTGCTTCCATTTTTAAGTCTTGTATTTTATTTTCCTTAAACCACTTGTGCATATGTTCAAAATATGGCCAAGTTATGTTTTCTGTTGATTCTCCTTTAGCCAATTGTTTGTAGCGTTGTACTAAATTTTGCCAACATTTACTTAATTGATCTATTGAATATTTGCCTTGGCACTGTAGAAGAGACTGAATTATCCTAACAAAGAAATATAGTATTCAGTCCACCCACCCACTATTTTTTATTTTATGATTTATGGTGAAATTTAAGTTTAATTAAAAAAATGCATATGATTATTATGACATTTATGTCAAAAAATTGTATACAGGGTGCTTAAACAAAATCAAACCAAACAGTAAGTTTGAAAATGAATAATTATTTTTTTCTTCAAAACAGCATTGCCTTTATTGAAAAAATAATTTTATTTATAACCACATTTGGACTTTTTAAAAGTTTCAAAATTACCATTGTCTTTTATTTTACATGTGGACTGAAAGAAAATATGGTGACACTTTAAACTGCTCTATTCCTTATGTTACAGTGTGTGTAACAGCCAAATGGAATAAATTCAGTAGTTCAATCCCGAAACACGTACATTTTTAGATTATAAAATTTCACCCCTACCTTCAACCCTTTTTATGACAGTTGCAACCCCTAAATTTGTAAAAAGGAAGTAGGAGTTTGTAATACCTCATTTTAAAGGTATATTCATTCTCTCTTGTGGTTTTCAAATTTATTGCAAATATTAACTGAAAAAAATCATCTGATCAATGAAATTTGTTACAACACTCTGGTTCGTTCTTGTTCAGCAGTGGCCTTTTTCGACGGTATTAACATGTAGTTTAAAACGCCTTAGCAACTTGCAGTGTGATTGTAACTGCATGACATTAATTGCTGTAAGTGTTGTACGTGTCAATTGAATTTATAAACTACAGTTCAGTCACATGGTTTATTTGACAGAAATACATAAAATAATTTTACAAACGATTGGTTACGAATATAAAACACGATCGGCCTCATGACAAAATGGCGTAAATACAAAATAGTGCAGGTCATAAAAGTGCGTGACAAAATATTCCAGTACTATAATTAAAAAAAAATTAACCAATCTACCTAACCTACAGTGTGGCTATGTTTTTTTTATTTTGTCATGTGCTTTCATGTCCTACGCTATTTTGTCCTGGGCCATTTTGCCCTGCGTAGTTTTTTCATGGAACCAGCACAAACACAAATCGAAGTTTTTAGCTTATTTCAAGAAAAAAAATTCCGATTTGACATCTTCATCTCAAGGGATAATTAGTAAAATTGAAAAACAATTTGGCCAAGTTCGAGCTCTTAGACTGACTAATGATACCAAATTGGATGTAATGGTGTCAGCCATACATTGATCACTCGAATATTAGAAGAAAATAAAATGCATCCCTATAAATTGATACTAATTCAGGAGCTCGTGGAAGACGATTTTGATAGAAGAACGCATTTTCGTGAGAAAATGTTAGATAACAATGCACTTTTCCTCTTCACTGCCATACTAATCTTCAAAGCTACTGGACTCATGAAAATTCTCCACTGGATGTGAGAAGAACATGGACATACACCAATACCCTGAAAAGATTAATATTTGTGCAGGGATAGTTGGAAACCATGTCATTGGTACCTTTTTCATTGATGACAATTTGAATGGAGATAATTATTTATAGCCCAAAAACCCACTGCAAATTTTGGCTGTCATCTGATAATGAACTGAAATATGTCTCAAAGGCATGCAAAAACATTGTACTTTACCAAATGGCACCTGTGCCAGTCACTATCCTGACCCCCGTGGGTACGCTACTGTTGGCACATGTGCCGTTTGATAAAGTACAATGTTGTTACATATTTAATTTCGTTATCAGATTAGGGCCGCAATTTGCAGTGGGCTCTCCTACTATTAACACTGCTTCAAAATAATTTCGTGCTAACGGCAAATTTATATCCTAGTCAAGTAAACCCAACAGTTCCGGCGAATATGATATGGTTACAGCAGGATAGAGCACCACTACATTACCAAAACAATGTCCAGCAGAACCTCAACCTAATATTTCCAAATCGGTGGATAGGGAGGCGAGGATCGATAGAATGGCCAGCACGATCACCTGATCTTACGCTATTAGACTTTTTCTTATGATGACTAAACCACCCGATTTAGTTTATTGTTTTTAAGAAGAAGAAGAATAATGTTTGCGATTACATTGGTCACGCCTTATATTTTGATTAACGTTAGAATACAATTTTATTTATGATCAGGATGCTGCCAGGACTTCCGTGCATTTTCAACATATCAAGAACGAAACTTTTCTGTTAATTTTTGCAATAAATTCTAAAATCGCAGCATTTTTGAATAGAGAATAATAATAATACTCTCCCTAATTTACCCCGTTACGAGTGAATTTCAACCCCTGAAGTTGACTGAACGACTTGTGTAGGGGAAGGGACGGCTATTATTATTATTATTATTATTATTATTATTATTATTATTATTTGCCGTGGCGCTCCGGGGCGACTTGAAAGATGATTTATGGTGCCATTTGACTTACAGGTGAGGAAAACCTCACCCACCATTATCGATATCTTTCAAATGAGGTATCACAAGCTTTTCCTATTTAGAAATTTGGGGGTTGAAACTGTCACTTGAAAGGGGTTGAAGGTAGGTGTGAGATTTTCACGTTGCAGATGTCATTTTATAATTTAAAATTGAAGTGTTTCAGGAATTTTTATAAATATGCACAGTAATTGAGCTACTGAATTTATTCCATTTGACTGTTACACAGATGTGTAACAAGAATGTGGAAGGGTGCGAATCCTTTCCAGGACAGAGTTTTTTCAATTTTTTACTTTGTGAGTTCAAAAATAGTTTTCATTATTTTGCAAGGGTAATTTTGAAAAATTTATTTGGGAATTTCCAAATAATTTGTAGGTAGGTGAGAAGGTATCTTTATTATTTTTGAGAATTTTAAGTAAAATGTAGCCTAATAATATAATGATAATAATCTAATTTTTCATAAGTTTCTCGGCCAGAGAAAATAATTATTATTTATATCTTAGTACTTCTAAAAGGAGTGACAAGAGATAAATTGATTCTTAAATGTGTCATCTAAGATGTAGAAAAATTTTACCCCCTTTTGTGAGGTTTGGTTTATTTTTATAAAATTCTTTTAAATTGTTGTTAACACATTGTGAAAAGATTCAAGTGCCATGGTTTCATTCCAGTGCAGCTTCAGACAAAAAGGAGCGAATAACAAAAGACGGAAATAAGGCGGAATATTAAAAGAAACAAGATCTGTGAAGATTATTATTCGGCTCCAAAAGAAAAAATCGGAAAGAACTGTGCGATGAGCTAGAAACTGATCACTGATCTGTACTACACAATCACTGGTTGTGATTGAGTGGAAGACAAAAATGTATCCTCAAAGGCGCACACATTCTTTGAATGAGGCTGAATTTAATTTGTGTTCTAGAGTCCCGTATTTATTGGATTGTATTGTGTATTATTTAAGTAAATTATTAATAATTGAAGACTATAACTTCAAAAGGGCCTAAGTGACAGAAGCATAGAAAACCGTTATGAGTTAAATAAAAATTATACACATCATATACGGACATATATATTCGCCAAGTTTATCCCACTACAATAAATGGATTTCTTTGAAAAAGCACTTAGAACCATTTGGATATCTTTAGGGTTGGTATATCAAACATTTTTATGCAAAAATGTATATTTTTTAAATTTTGGCACTTAGACCCTTTAGAAGTTATGGTCTTCGATTATGAATAACATTTCAATGACAATTTAGTTGAAATTATGAGTTTAAAAAGCTATAAAAATCCATATGCATGTAAATTGGATGCTCAAAATCCTCTAGAATTACAAATAATGCTCGCCGAGGCCGTGCAAGTTTCCAAATAGAACATCAAGATAGGGGCCAAACAGAAAGTTCTAAATACTGGAAAATAACCTTTAAATCGTGAATAACAATATGATTTAATTTAAAAGTGGTTTTAAATAAAGTATGATACGAACCTTGGCGAAAACAAAAACTTTTCACCTATGTAGTAATATACTATTTATTAACTTACATCCAACCGTCCCTTGCAGTATATTTTCTTCCAGTAAATAAGTGCCTATGTATATACCTTAATTCTATTAATTTTTTCATAAAAGATTGTCTTTCATCTAAAAGAAAAGATTTAGTAAATATTTGCATTTTTATTTATTCATTAAAATCATTTAAATTTAATAGATTATTACGTTTATATCGTTTTCTTTACCTTTAAATAATACATTTCGTTTTTAAGGCTGTATGTCACGATACTAAATTAAGTACTAAACTTAGCACTAAATTAAGTCATTAATTTAGTACTAAATTTAGAACTAAAAATATTTTTTTCCGTTTGCAACGATACCAATTTTTAGTACTAAATTAACTATAGGCGCACGCGCATTGACGTATTAATACGTGAATTAAGCAGAGAAATGAAATATTCTGGGTAAAATAGACAAGTGAAGTAAAATGGTGTTTTTATTATCAATTTGACATGACAACAACCAAATACAGCAATGCTACTATAAACCACGAAAAAAACACAATAAAATCTACAAAATTAAACAAGCGAACTTTATTCAAGTCGATAATGCAAAATTTTCGCTAATTAAAAACAAAATGGTACAGAAAATACCGTCGTGTCAATTTTTTCTGTGAAAAACTTCTGCGCAACATTTCGACGCACTTTTAGTACTAAATTTAGTAGAAAATAGAACAAGTTCTAATTAATTAATGACTTTTTTTAGTACTAAATTTAGTACTAAATTTGCTGTTTGCAACGTACATTTTTTTAGTACTTAAAAAAATGCATTAATTTAGTTCTAAATTTAGTACTTAATTTAGTAACGTGACATACAGCCTTTATATGTAAAAAAATGTAGAGGGATCAATAGTTTATATGTATATTTTGATCTGCTTAAATTAAAATATTTTTAATTTTGACATTTAAAGTCATGTTTTCATATGACTCAACAATAATTGCGCACAATGGCTTATTTTTCTTAATTAGTAAGAACTCCAAAAAATTAAGTACATTTTTTAAATAACATTTTTTCGAAATATAATTCACGAGAAAATTATAATTAGCTTTTGTAAGCAATACATTTGTTAATTTTACCCGCTTGGCTTATAATTGCGGATATTAAACAACCCTATTTTTACAGGATACGAAGCAAGGTCGACCTTCACCCATCTGTTTAAAGGTATTTTTTATTAAATAAAATATGTTAATGAATATCGCAAATGGGTTGCCTAAAAAAATAATGTCAAGGCTATTTTTTACTTTCCTTTCTGTATACAGATAAGAAAAGTATAGAAATCATGATAAAAGTTGATAGGGATGTCATTCTATATATAATTTTTGAATGGGCCGTATTTGAGAAAAAGTGCAAATTTCGAATTTTGAAAACTCAAAAAAGGATAAAGGGAAAAATTAATTTTGGACATAGTCAAAGCATCTGGTGGATACTTTATAGGGTGTAGTTTTTTATTTCACTTTAAGAAAAAAAAATAGTCTTGACAGTATTTTCTTAAGCAACCCATTTGCAGTATTTATTAACATATTTTTATTTAATAAAAAATACCTTTTATCCATTAAACATATGGGTGAAGGTCGGCCTTACTTCGTATCTTAGAATATAACGGTTAAAGGGGTCTATTCTGTAACACATCCGTTAAAATTTAGAGGCCTTTAAAAATTAAACTTTTAGCGGCCCGTTAATTTTTTTAACCAAAAATGGTATTCTGTATACACAAATTTTAAAGGCTGGTTAAAAATTATTTATTTTAACGGATTCCCTTAAAAATAGTAGGAGAACACTTGAGTACATCGCATTTAAGATTTATTTGAACTAGTTTGAAAACATAACCATACAAATCCTCAATTTTCAACTCAAAACCGTTAAAAATTAAAGGTGAATTTTAACATCCCTTTAAAAATGATTGTTATTTGAGGACTATTTTAAAGGAATCCGTTTAAATAATGACAGAAGTAAGTTAGTGAATACTAAAATATCGTTAAAATATAAAGGAATTGTTACCGAATAGACCCCATAGGGGTCTACAATTCCTTTATATTTAACGGCCTTTAAAAATGTTTTCGTAACGAATACGAACATATTTTTAAAGGTCGCCAATATTTTTAAAGGCCGTTAAATATAAAGGAATTGTTACAGAATAGACCCCTTTATCCGTTATTGATACTCTCAATAGGAGTATATAATCTGACAACTTGACTTGGAATTTTCCATAACTATCTGAAACTACTCGATTTCTTTTGCAAGCTGCATCGAAGGCTTGAATATGAATATAACGGCGCCCGAGTAATTTCCGAGCATATGGCTTCACAACTAAATACACTATTTTCTAAGTAGCGAGAAAACCTCTTACAGGTATAAAAAAATGAAATGAGTGACTCCAAAATCATGTGTTTTGTGGGAGAAACTTATATCGTTACATAAAATTGGGCATTTCCTAAAAAAGCTATTTATTTCAGTTTGTATGTACGAGTTACACCATCGACACTAATGTGAGATTATTTATTGGCCCTCTCAAATATAGATTGATTTGAACACAAGTAGCATGTTTTTGAAAGATGACATGTTCCTGGCCCCAAACTATCCCCACTTATGCATCTACGGTACCTAACAATTTTTATCGTCTTGTACAACAAACAAATTAATACATCTAGTTTCATTACCATTAGTAATTGACTGATTAAGAGACGAATCAGCAAACTTTCCCTCATAATCGGTCTCCGTTTCTTTACCAAATGCTCTATCCATCTGTTCATAATAGGGCCAGGTGATAGTTTCTGGATTTAATGTAGTATTTTTTATTTGCTACAAATATAATATATAAAAAATAAAGAAATACTGCTCAATAATATGGAAAAATAAATACATATTATAAATCATAATTACTATCAGGTTTTTGATAATTTACAAACAAAAATTCTCCAAAGACTCGTTTTGTTGTACTATAGTACAGTACAATACTGAATACAACAGTCCTACAAAGTTCTCACCCCTCCCTTCAAGTTGAAATTTCCAAAAATCCTTTTTTAGCGGAAGCTTACGTTATAAAACAAGTATTAGAAATTAAAAATTTAAAAAACCGACTTCAAAAACGTGCAGATGCCATCACCACATCTTAACCAAATTTATATGGGACCACCCCTGAGGTACCCCCTTACTAACAAAAAAAGAATCATATAAATCGGACAAGGTGGTAAAGCATTATCGCTAAACATACATAAAAAATGAAGAGTTTGAGGATTTTCTCATGGACCCAATTATTAGATTTTGACCAAATTTATATGGTACCACCCCTGAAGTAGCCCTTTTCTAACAAAAAAAGAATTATTGAAATCGGACACCGTGGTAAAAAATTATCGCTGAACGTACATAAAAAAAAATCGCGACGAATTGAGAACCTCCTCCTTTTTTGAAGTCGGTTAATAAACCTATGTCAGTCAGGTCGAACGATTTTATATACAGGGTGTCACTATATTCAACCGACAATGCTCTACCCTTGAGATCTCGTTAATTGATTAATTTTAATATACGAATATGAACCCTTAGAGGCGGCTTAGTTACTGAAATACAGAGTGTTAAAATTTTTAAATCAATTCAAAATTTGTCAATCAAAAACATCTTTAAATATCTTTTTTAAAATTTGATCCTGTAAGATCTTAAATATACGAACTATTAAAAATTTGTCACAGGCCTACTAGATTAGAATTTAGAAATATATAATTTTTACAAATTATCTAAGTACATGCAGACTTTTGTTTAGGAAGCAAATTTCTACATTGTATCATTTTAACTCCATAGACAGTTATTACTCTTTTTAGCTAAAAATTAACAAGAAATTTTAAAAAAATAAAAAAAATTGTTCCAGTGATGTAAAAACATAGGGAATAAAAGTGGACACTAACCCTGATAGCTCGCCATTGGTTTTTTCAAAAGTTAGTGTATGCCCAAAATATTACTTTCAAAGCTCACATTGCTTACTAAATTTGAATAAAAAGATTTAAAGGCATTTTTGATTTATGACAAAGTTGGTCGAATACAGTGACACCCGGTATAAGGATACCTATACATACGGGATGACAATTAAAAAACTTAAAATTGCTGTCTCATGAAATATAGAATTCAACCCTGTATGTACCACTTAACCTCACCAACAAAAAATAGAAACCCCTACTTGACATCATTGGAAAGCTAGTAAAAATGTTTTTCAATTGTCCTAATTTGTATGGTTTCAATGGACCTAATTTATATCTTATGTTAATCTAATATACATAATAGAATATTCTCTATTTTTTTGTACTTTTTAACAGACTTCAAAAAAGGAGGAGGTTCTCAATTCGTCGGAATATATATTTTTTTATGTATGTCCAGCGATTATTGTTTTCTACGTCGTCCGATTTCTATGATGGCACCTCAGGGGTGGTCCCATATAAATTTGGTCAAGATCTAATAATGCGATCCATAAGAAAATCATCACTCTTAATTTTTTAAGTATTTTCAGTGATAATTCTTTACCACGTTGTCTGATTTCTAAGATCTTTTTTGTTTGAAAGGGGATACCTCAGGGGTAGTTCCATATACAATTGGTCAGGATCTGATGATCTTTGAGAAAATAAAAATCTGAATTATTATGGTCATCTGCATGATTTTGAAGTCGGTTTTTTTAAAATTACTTTCTAACTTGTGAAATGTAATCTGTATTTTTTCTTTTTCTAATTTTGTATAAATAATATTAACAAAAAATTGTATATGTATTGAAAGAAAGAATAAACATTATTATTATTAGTTAAATCCTATTCAATAGTACATAATAATGAAAAACTTATTAAAAAAATGTTATTTTTATCTAAATTAAATATTTTTAGACCAGGCCCATGAGTAAGTAGGTACCTACAAAGTTAATTGTTTTATTAAGTTTTTCTTTTCTGATAATGAGATATAGCCATTGTTTTTAAAGTTGTCACCCTGTATTATGTACAGGTACAGCTCTGCCCTCCTAAGCCAAAAAGCAGTATCTAAATTGAACTACGAAAAATATACATACCTCACTCAGAACATTAAAACAAAACCTAAGAAAAATTTACACATCTTAACTTCATTTGTATGTACTAAAAGACTTAGGGATATGCCATTATTACTTACCTAAATGGCTGTATATTCTTATACGCCACAAAAACATCAAAAGTAATATCCAAGAACAAGAAACAATTTAAACAACATTTAGAAAATTTGTTTTTTTCGAAATTCTCTTCGACTGAGATATACATTTTTTTGGCTTAGGAAGGCAGAGCTGTGTGTCAACAACCTATGTGGAAAAATATCGAGGTATATGATATAAATAGGTATATTTTTAGAGCAATGTTATAATTTTTTTGTAATTTGTCCAAATTTAAATCACCTGTATAGGATATTAATTAGTATCATAAGTGTGCAAATATAATAATTATGATTTATTTGTGGTTAGTGTAAATAACACTTTATACTTAATCCTAAAACCTCTCATTAAAATACCCTATATCGAGTCATTAAATTCATCCATTTCTTCTTAATCTTAGTGATAGAAATATATTCTGGTGCACCAGATTCTTTAAGTTCCTCAAAAACTAGTCTAAAAATTAAAGATTATAGCAAAAAAATGAAATTTACATTCTACAAATCTTACTTCCAGCCTTCAGATGCAGAATTCCGTCGTCGCGTGAATAATTTAGAATATTTCATTCTTAAATTAATCAGCACTTGTACCCATAAGGGGTCGACTACAAACAATCAGTTTATCAATTATAAATAATAATATAAAATAATGACTTACACTTTGTACATTTTGAAGCATATATTTCTTGTACACTTGCAGGAACTGATACAGGCACTTCAGTTTCTTGACTTTCCATTTTAGACTTAGGAACAAGTCAAGTAAACAAATTTCAACTTTTTAAATACTAAGAAGATTACTGGATTGTCAGAACATTTTAATGAAATTAAATAATATACAGGATGATACATTATTTTTTAATGTGCCATTAAATGACTGGTAACTTTAGTAATAAATTGAACTGGATACAGTTTTGCAGAATCAAAAACCTTCCAATCTGTAGATTTTAGATTCGTTTATTTAACTACATTACATTAATTTACGTTTGTAGCAAGTCTGAGTAAAATCGAAATTTAAAAACATATATAGTACCTACACAAAAAAACATTCATATAAATAGTAAAACTAAAAAACACACAAACATAAAAAATAGGTGTGTGTATATATATTAATAAATTTTCAGTGTGTAATTGTTACGAGAGGAAAAAAATTCAAATTAAATATACTTCATGGAAGCCATAAGTGCTTCACGTATTCATTGACAGAGTAGAAGCAATAACTCAACAAAAATGCTTTTAATTGCTTTTTAAACTGATTAGTACCAGGCGTTTTGAGATCTTGGGGTAATAGATTGTATATGCTATAGCCCAGCGAATTATTCTTTGACTTGGTTAAACAAAAATGATTAGTTCAAATATTGTCTGCCTGTCTAGTATCATAATATTGTGCAAATCGGATTGTCTTGTTAAACTATTACTCTGTCTGTGAATTTCAGTCAAAACAGCAAATAGATATAATGTTGGCAGATGCATTATATGAAGTTTTTTTAAACAACGGTTGACAATGTTCACGAAAACCCACACTAGCTAATAGCCTTATTGCTCTTTTATGCAACTTAAAGATCTCAGCTGCACCAACAGAGTTGCCCCAGAGAATAATTCCATAGCCGATGTGGGAGTGAAACAGACCAAAATATGTTGTTTTTAGAGTTTGAAAACTTGTAATATTCTTTAACTGACGGATAAAAAGGGGGCTAGCCAATTTATTTCTTAGATGATCCACGTGATCACACCAAGATATGTTACTATCTATATATACCAAAGTAGATTAACACTATCTGAACTCACTCTAGGAATATTATTAGAAAAGTAAAGACTTTCTGTATTGTCCTCATTTAATTGAAGTTTGTTGGCCATAAACCACAATTTCGATTTAGAATCTGTCGTTAGAAATCTTCATAGGATTTGAGACATTTTTATCAGAGTAGATGTAAGACGTATCATCTGCAAACAATACATAATTATAAGGTCGTATAAAACTAGGCAAGTCATTAATATAAATGATAAATAACAGAGGGCCAAGAACAGAGCCTTGTGGAACACTATGTTTAATTAGATTAAAGTCAGACTTGCAATTATTGTAGGCTACAGTCTGATATCAATTTTTTAAATAGGATTCAATTAATGATAATGACACATTTGTTTTAAAATTAATATTGACTCAAAGGTAACTCACTTTTGGATGCAAGCTTTCAGCCACTATGGAAATATACAATACTTGAATAGATTAGTAATATATCCCTGCATATTTTTTGCAACATGAGTTACTCACTTGATATCATTTTTAAATTTTTATGGCTACTGCTAAAGTGGTGCTGAGAAGCAATTACAAAGCCTACAATATAACAAGACGCCTAAAATTATTGACTTGAGCCTCATAAACTTAAAAAAAAATCAGTTGGTAACTTAATTTCGTAGACTTTAATGCCAACTGCCATTTTTTAAAACCAAGCTCCTTATAAAAATATCAGTTTTCACCTTAAAACTTAAAAAAAAAACATTAAAATTTGTATCCAATATATTGCCTAGATATCAAAAACAATAAATCTTAAGAAATTTTAATAAAAATTACTTTTGAAGCATACAAACATTTATTATTATTGAAAGAAATTTAAATTGTAAATATAATCAAATAGAGAAAACTAATATGAACTAATCTATTTTTTCTGTTTATCATCCGATTTGTCATCTTTTTTTTTGTCCTTAAGACTTCCGACAGCTTGGCGAATTGCTTCCGACTGAGGATCAACACCAGGTAAATTTTCTAAAACACTTTGTAGAAAGGCAGGATCATTCATAACTTCAGAATAGTCTTCATCCCCTTCGACTTCCATAGGTTCATCTTTTGAAGCAGATGCACTGGCTGAACTTTCTTGTGCATCTTGCATAGACATTTGCATAGCAAAAGCAATTTGTTCTTCTTCAGTCATGTTAGCAAAATCAACAGAAGGTCTAGTGATGGTTACATTCTGGTCATCACCTTGCTCCATAGACATTGCTAAAGCTCTCTCTAATAGAACCTCTTCATTAGGTTCTTCCTTAATTACCTCAGATTTTATACCAGCCTCAGTACTAGATACATCTTTAGCTTTACGTGCATCATCCTCCTGTCTTTGCCTTTGCTCTTCCATGGACACACGAAGGGCAAGAGCTAATTCAGGATCTTCATTAGGATCTACTCCAAATTCAAATCCAGAACCTCCTATATTTGCACCACTACCATCTTCTCCTTGAATAATTGGTGAAGAAATCAAGGCATCAGATAAATGAGGACCTGGAGGGACAGTTACTAAATGACTACTAGTACCATCTTTACCATTTAGAGTATTGACAAAAGTTGTAAGAGCATCTGCATTAGAACCATCTTCTCCAAAGCTGACAACATCAACATTAACTTTCTCTTTCTTAAGTTTTTTAGCTAGTTTAACTAACTCTTTTTCTTCACTAGCTACAGGACTGCCTACAAAAGCTACAATACGCATTTTGTGATTTTTTCCTTGACGATGTTTGAGAGCCAAGTGAGCTATTCTTATTCCAGTGTGTAAATTTATTTCACCGTGTGGTTGAACCTGGTGCAGCTTAGATAAAATACGGCCCACATCACTTGTTAAAGTTGCCAATACTTCCACTTTTGCTAAAGTCAGCAAACCAACATTATTTTCTGGATTAGATCTTGTTTTAGAGTGACACACTAAATTTACGGCATCTTGCTGGGCTTGTAATCTGCTGGGTAGGAAATCTCCATTTCTCATGTAATCACTGTTGTCCACACATATCATAGTACTTTCAAGCACCATTTTTATGCTCGTTTGATTTTTTACACAAAAACTATTGAATATAGAAATGAATTAATTCCTTTCATATAAAATGACTAGCACTTTCTCAAAATGTCAATGTCAATAAAAAAACAGAACCTTCAAACGTCAAAGAGGACCGCTACTAGGCTTCATTCGTTTAATCTAGCTCCATATTCTATTGGAGTAGGTGCGTTCGCATCACAACCCAATGTTTTATAGTTATATAGATTGATCATCCATAAAAATCAAAGACGAAAAGCGGGGTTCAATCTGCGCAGTTTTTTCATCTAATAAATACGATGTTTATGTTTTGTCTCGGTCGTAAACAAGTAATTTACAGAACCGTTTTCGAAATGAGAATTTTTGTGTTTAGTTTTTGTTTCAGATTTTCTTATTTTTATAGATTTAGTCTAAGGTAGAAACTTAGATTATAACCTCTTTGGGTAGAAACCAATTATTTTCTAAAATATACGATTTTTTATATTAAAACGGTGCAGAATGTGCTTACAAGAAAACACTAGGTTGTTCTGAATATTTGTGAAATAAATACTTTTATTTCTAATTTCATTTTTAAAAATACAAACGTTCTAAGATTTAATTTTTGGTAGAAAATAATTACCTCAAAATATATAGGCGTCATTTTTTCATGACTACATATTGCAAAATATGCCGTAATTCGAAAAAAATTTAATTGTCAAAAAGTACAAGTGCCAAAAAATTCCCAAGATTAAAGTGTTAAAACTTCTATTTCTGAAGTAGGTACACAAAAGTTTAATCATTTACTATTCCTTTTTTCTCTGTCCACTATTTTTTCCATCTCTTTATATTTGCCTCCATAGAAGAAACTTTATTTTTTATAGAGAACAGAAATTAAAGAAATTATAGCAGAAGCATCATCAGAAAATAGAAATGTTTCCGGATCCAAATCCTCACTTCTATTGTTTTATCAATTTCCCCGTCGTTTCTAGTTCATGTTTCTCTAATTCTCGACGCACCTCCATCATTTTTGAATCGCACAGTTTCTATTTATTTTCAGTAACCTAACTTCTGACACCAATGTAACGTTTTTGTTAATTTAACCAGTTTATTATGTATTTACGCTATATTCACTAATTTATTTACAACTTAATTTTCTTAATGATATATGATTTTAACCCCCTCTAACGGAATAAAAACTGTTACGTATTGTAAAGTGTGATTTTAGTTGATTACGATTGAAGTTTGCATTTCTTAGCGTTAGAGATTTGCACAATTTGTGTCATTAAAATATGTTTTCTTATATTGTAAATTAAATTATTAATAAAATTAGCTTCCACATATTGGTCACAATAGAATTCTCTTGATATTCAATTAGTGGATTATTTAAGATGATTTCAAATTTTTTACCAAATATGGGTGTGACCAGTAGTTTTCTGGCAAATAAGTGGTCACTTTTCATTTAAAAATAAAAAATAAATTGCGATTTAATGTCATTTCCCGAAAAACTTGAAGTGCGATAGGACGTCATAGAATAATTGAATTAGTTCTTACTCCAATGTTAAAAAAAAGTCCTTCCAATATCTTAATCAATATAACGAAGATAAGAGGGAGTAAAACTTTTAAGTGCACATTTTTGTTTTGAGATTTTATTATTTTATTGTCATATTTTGCTTAAAATATGAACAATAATTTTTAATACCAGGACACAGTTTATTTATTCTTTCCAATTTGTTAATTCGGCCAATAATCTTTTTTGCTTAGCTTCTCCAACAGGTTTAAAATGACTGTTTATTATTTCTTCAGTTACATCTTCTAATTTAGGTGGTTTCCATATAGGAGTATCACTTTTGTCTTTAAGAACAATTCTTGTACCTTGAAAATAATATTACAAGAAAGATAAATATTTATTAAAATATTACAACAAAAACTTACCTTCGATAACATCAGGAAAAGAATAAAAATTTACAGTAATGTTGCTTTCCATAATTAATATATCTGCCAAATTCATATTCCGACCTATTTGTAACTGCTTCAATATCACTTTTAAAGAAGTTGGCGAATATTTATTTAATGTATTAAGAGTTTCTCTAGCCAAACTTGAACCGTCGTCCTTCAATCTTGAAATAATTTTTTCAACTGTGGGTCCTGAGAAACAATTCTCAATATTATTGAATACAGGATTTAAAGAAAGTTCTGGTACAGTTTTTTCGCAAATGCCATCAATAATGCTTTTAATATGATCAGTATCTGAGCAATTTAAAATTGATTCTTCTAATCTTTTCAAGTTTTTACTATGGCAGTAATGTGTAGCAAAACCAGCTTTTAAAACATCAGATCCTCTAAGATTGCTACCAGTTAAAGCTAAGTAGTAACCAAGTTTATTTTTGGTTCTATTAAAGAAATGTGTAGCTGCAGCATTAGGATGGAAACCTAGCTTGACCTCAGGCATAGCAAATATTGTTCTTTCAGTCGCAATTCGAAATGGTGCAAATGCGCAGATTCCCATTCCACCTCCCATTGTGTAACCATCCATTAAGGCTACTATAGGAATTTTATATTTATAAATTAAATAAATATTCACATTTAAAAACATAACGACATCTTCGAGATATTTAGTATCATTTTTTTCACCAGCTGCTGCTAGTTTTATCAAGTCTCCTCCTACACTGAATGCTTTTTCACATGCAGATTTTAGTATAACTAGAGATTTCTTGTTTTCTAGGTTTCTTAATGAAATGATTAATTCTTCAAGCGATTTGTCGGACATAGCATTTAGGTTTTTTGGCCGATTGAGAATTATTAAGGCTTTGTCGCCAATTTCTTTAGTGAGTACATGTGGCTGGTTGGTGGAAAATTGATTAATAGTTTTTAAGAAATTAGTTTTTCTTGTTAGTATGGCGACAGAGACCTGAAAAATACATTTTTTTTTAAAAATTATAATTATTTAGCTTACTTTTAATTAAAAATTAGTGATTCTAGTAGAGAATCATCGATACATAATGAAAGTCAACTAGATGTTCGTCTATATTTACAAATATAACGTAAATTTTAATAACACTTTCTAAAAACCAATTTAATTGTCAATTGTTACGTAAACTTATAATTTAGTAAGTCAAATATTAAATTAGTAAAATGTATATGATTGCAAAATATATGGGGACTGATCCTCTGAAATATTGTTCTAAAAACCTTTTAAAAAAACGGCAGGGAGTCATAAAATCAAATCTTTGTGTTAATTATTTATAAAATTGTATAACGGTATAACGATTGTTTAATTTAAAAATAGTTTATTTATAATTTATTTATTTATACTAGTTACTGATTATTTTTTATACTTAAGCACCATTTATATTTCACAGTTCTAATTTATTTAAAAATATTTCACTTTAACTTGAAAACATTTATATTCAAACTTAAACTTCTATCGACAAAGTCGCGCTATTTCTACAAAAATGTAATAACCTAGAAAAATACAATCCTGACTAGAAGTTCTGGAAATTCTACGAGAGAAAACATTCAAGTCGAGTCTTTGATATGGCCAGCGGCGCGAGATGAAGGTAGACAGAGAACAGGGTCGGTTTTCAGACGATCGCACGACAATAGTTATATTTTATTAATAACTTCTAAATGTTTAAAATTAGCTAATTACCGCCTTTTATAAAAAGAATGTTTCAGACGAAAGTTTTATAGTTTTGTAAGGAAACAATTTTGGCTAAAATCGTTTTTTATGGCTAACCATAATATGGCTAACTTTTTTTTCGACCAGCAAAATTTTAAAGTAGCTGTTACTCAAAAAAGTCCAATAAAAAAAATATTTCCCTCAAAAGTTTCTTATTTTTTATGTACTTTAAGAATATGGAAAAAAAAGATGAGGATCCAATTTAAAAAAACAAAGTCCACCTCGATATTGCCATATTATGGTCAGCTATAAAAAAATGAGTTTAGCCAAAATGTTTCCCCCAAAAAACTATAAAACTTTTGTCTGAAACTTTTTTTCTAAAATGTATATTTTCGGCGGTATTTAACTGTAACACTTTAATTTGAACACCCGGTATATTAAAGAGCCATCCACAAAAAATATATTTCTAAAGTAGGTACCTACAAAGAGAGCTCCGAGTCTGTGATAACTATGCTGTAACTTTACTAGATGAAAAACAACGCTTTTCCGAGTTAAAATATAATCAGAAAGAAGCATTTTTTAAATTATAAATTTTTTTACTTACTTTTTTTAACATTTTAAAAAATGAATTTTATAAGTAAGCACCTATATTATTAATATTTTCTACATATTTATTTTTGATTCTGTTTTATTCCTAGATACGAAAATTCAAAATTATTCTTATCACTTTTACAGAACTGTGGACTATGGGTCACAGGGTTGCCAGAACCATTATGTTTATTTATCCCAATCTACAATAAAAATCCACCGCAACCTCATAATAAAAATTCCCTAAAAAAAATTCATAATTCAATAGAAAAACCCCAAGAACTTTAATTACTATATAAAAAGGTTGATACAACAAAAAATATTAAAAGTATGTAAAGCTGCAAACAAGAAGGTAAATTTTTAAAAAAATAAATAAGTTTGAACATTTGAATAACGCAAAATGCATAAAAAATACAAAACTGAGTAATTATTAGATTAATGTTTAAACATGTTCAAAACAGATTCTTCCTTCAAAGAGAAATGGTACATTTGAAATGGTGCTTTTTAAATATGACTGCAAAAAACTTAATCGATTTCATTTCATGCTTAAACCACCTTAAAATAAATTACCAGTGTTTCAACCAGGCGCCATATTAAATACCCCACTAAATAGTAATACTGTACAACAAAAGTGTCACCAGAAATTTTTCAAAATGAATAAAAAATCAAAGTTGGAGGTAAATCTCCCAGTCTGGCAACGCTGTGTGGGCGACCATGAGATGTGCGATGTGTTGTGTTGTTTTTGCTTGATGTAATGTACGGGAAATTATAGTTTTTATTGTGGGAAACGAATAACAGTGCAGTGGCGTGTTTTCAATCGCATGCTAATGATGAAATATAATAATTTAATATCTTTACAGGGTGTCCCTACTTAAAATTAATTAGGTGTAATAGAATGATTGGAATATTACGTAAAAAGGGGCTGATTGTAACAGTCGAAAAAAATAAGATAAACGTGTCTCAAACGCGCTTACCTTCTGTGTTGCATCATATTGTTCGTCGGATGAAGTAGGTGGTAGTATTAGTCCAGTAGCCAAGACCGGGCCCGGTTACACAGTTTATATAATAACGTTTATTATACAGGATTTTATAATAGCGGATTTAACGGCACATACACACCATAAAGCGTTATTGTCGGGGCAATTGCTGTAGGTCTTCTTCTCGTCCAACGGCGCTTTTGTCTTACAGTCAGACGAAGCGCATGTGTGGGCCAAAGTTTTAAGTAAGCGATTTGAGACAAAGCGCGAATATTTAAATAATAAAATAGGAATTAATTCATTCTGGAACATTAGGTATATGGGATTTCTGAAACGGAAGAACGATTGTACCAAAATTATCAGACTGTTATCTATCATAAAGAAAACTATTAAAAAAAAAAACGACAAATTTAAATCGACGACAACCCTACCCACAATTGAGTAGACTGTAGGAAGAAGGTAGGTAGAGGTATAGTGGGGACATTTGTCGCTTTTTCTAATTTACCTCTTATGATTTTTTTCGAATTTGAATGTGCTGTAAATTGTGTGAGACATATGCTATGTAAGTTCCTAAAAATCAATCCATATTTATTATACATACTAGGTAATAGGGCAGGCTAATCTCAAAAACAGAGAGTGTTAAAAACTTGAAAATCGATATTTAAATTATCTAGAAAATCAAGTTAGGTGTAGGTAAATGAAGATTTTTATTTTTTTTTTTCATCAGAAAACGAAGAAGTTACAAAATGTTAAAATTGGTTTATATATTATAATCAGTGTCTGTATCTCAATAACCGAAAATGGTGGTTTAAAAATAAAGAGATGATGATACGCGAAATTAATTTTCTAAAATTTTAGTAATTAATTTATAACTGTCCGTATTAATAATTAACAACGAATTACCCAAGACCTCTCTCAGAACCTAGGGTAACTTTGGAATTCATAAAGCTGTTCTGACGACGATATGCCGCGAAGCGGTGTAGGACTTTCTGTTTACGGCTTGTTTCGTATTGCAATCCGGATTATTTTGAAGATCTGGGTCAACGAATCTGGATGAGTTGAAAGATTTGGATCAGTGAGCTGGATCTCGGTTCAGTCGAATCTTTAAATCTGGTTTGATGTGATCTCCTCGAGTTTGTTGATATCCTGATAAATAGGCCTTTTCACCATGTGATGAGCGCAAGCGCAGCTGTCATGTTGAAATAGCGCCAATTTAAAAGTTACGTATTATTTTGATCAACAATGGCTGGAAAAGCAATATTATCTCTACATACAAATCAATCATTAGAAAAAATCGTTGGAAGCACATAGTTGTGAGCAACTAAAAAGGTTCTTGAAGTGATGTGGACGTTCGGAACAAGGAAAAAGTGTGGTGATTGAGAGGTTAGGTTTTAATACATATTAACTGTGTAAAAAATTAATGAAAATAAATAATAATTATAACTCTATTCTAATTAATTATCCCAACCAACTATTTAAAATTGCAAAAACACTTTAATATGAAAGTTAATCACGAGTATAATTAACAAGATAATTTATTTAAAATTTTAAGGATCAACATGACATTTTTAATAATATTACTGTGTATACCGAAGTAGTATTTAATATTAAAAAATATTGTGTAATACCAGACAAGGATTTTCTTCTGTTGAACCACTTTCTCCATGAAAATGTAGTGAACAAATATAAGTATCTTTAGTAACATCATCCATGAATCGATCGAAAACCTTTGTCACTTCGACCACATTTTTTCACTCATAATTCTCATTTTGAACATGTTTTAATATGTATTTTGCCTAATGATTTGATAGTTTTTTTACGATATTGTAGGCAAGTCTTTTTATAAAATAATAATTTATACCGTTTGTCACTTTTACATACTCATAACAATACCGTTTAGTTTTTCCTTTCCGTAAAGATAACATAATTAATTGATTGCAAAAATTGAGTTTTGAATTAAGACACTTATTACTTTACTTTTTTTATCCCATTTTTTAAACGAATACACTTAAAATTAATATTTATCGATTATAATTTTTTTCACGTGGACATTTTAACATGCTTGTTTACAAAAACAGTACGAAAAAGATGGCTAATACTGACGCAGGCCAACAAAAAAAAAATTGTGATGAAAAGGCCTATCTGTTGATATCGGAACATAAACTCTTAAAGAGCTTAGTTACTGAGATACACGATGTTAAAAGCTTTAAATCAAAATTTAAAATTTTCCATAAATGAAGAACGTCTAAATATGTTTTTTTTTCAAATTTGTTTTACCAAGATCTTGTCAAATATACGAACTATTACAAATTTGACACATGCTTACTAGACAATACTAGATTAGAATTACACCATTTATTTTAGCTTCATAAAATATTTTTCTTATTTTTTTAAAATAAAAAAATAAAAAATGTTTGTTCTGTGGCGTAAAAAGTTGTTTATGTTTATGTTTATGTTTAAATATTACTTAAAGAGCATATTCGTCACCAAATTGAAAAAAAATATATTTAGGTGTCTTTGGCAAATTTTGAATTTTATGATTTTAAACTTTTATTAACACTGTGTATCGCGGTAATTAAATGAGGGGTCGGTCCAGTTTAAAATTTTACAATCTCCAACTTAGAGAATTTTGGGGTAAAGTATGTTTTTTATATAATTTTTCCCGCTGAATTAGAATACAGCATTAGTTTGTAGCAAATTGTATAATTTAACTTATGCTTTTTAATGTAGAAAATCTACATAGTTTCAAAACGAACGATTTTCACTAAATAAAGCTTCTTATAAAGATAATAAATTATATGAAATTAGTTGGAGTGTACAATCTTTATTATGTTATTTTCAAAGTGTACAATCTCCAAATAAAAATATAGTTTAATTTTGCACTGTATTTGGATCAAAAATGTCAAAAATGCATAACTGATACCTCAGCAATACAAAATCTCGAATTAATTTATCTTTCAATTTATTTAAGTCTTTACAGTTTCCTGTAAAATTTGTTCATTTGGAGATTACATACTTTGAAAATAGAACCCTCAAATCCTCTTTTTAAGGGTCCATGTTCCTATATCGAAAATCATCAATTAACGAGATCTCTCTGTATATATTCTAGTGATTACAGCTATTACAGCTATCAAATTTAAATTTTGTTTATCAATATAAAAGTAAACTGGATACGCTACTGCGGTGACTTTCTTAAGTATGAATATTCGATGAATAAAGGGTTAACCATAGGCAACTCACATTACAGTAATAAGTAATTCTAGCTGCACCATTGTATTAAGATTTACAGGGTGTTTGTAAATAAGTTAATTTGTAGAGTTTGGTATGTATAATTTACAAGTATAATGTAGCTACTTTAGGTGTACAACAAAGGTCCAACTTAGGATTACTACAATTATACCTTATATTTATTAATGATCTTCTTAAAACTGTACAGAAAAATTTCGAAACCTGAAGATGTCTAAAAATTGGAACTCGCTTTGAATATCATCAATTATTGATGTCTGGGCAATTCTTTTCAATTAAATATTTCCAGATATAAAGTATTTTCTTTTTTCTCGTCAAAATTATCATCGTCTTAAAAGCTTGTAATGAACTAAATGACTAATAATTAATATTTTGTACTTTTTTTTATGCATTTCCTTATGTTATTTTTTTATTTCTTCTTCTTATATTTGCAAATCATTTATTTTCTGTCATTGGGTGTTGGAAATAAAAGCATTATTATAATTATTAATCTTATATTTTTGAATTTACATTTATTTGCAACTTACGTAGCATTTTTCTTTGTTCTTCACCCGCACTTTCTTCAAAATGTTGGTTTATTAATTCCTCCGTAACAGATTCTAATCGTGAAGGATTCCATTGAGCTATTTCACCTTTATTTATTAGAGTTGTTCTAGTTCCTAAAAACAATTACCTATATAATTAATATAATTCTTGTTACAACCTCATTCGAGTAAACCAGTATTGTAAGTTCAAAATAAAATTTCTTAGAGCTAAAAAAATAACTTAACCTGCGTTAGAAAAACGCAATATGTTTCTATTATTTTTAAATACCTATTTTACCATAAACTCACCTTCTATTACATCTGGAAAATGATAAAAATTCACAGTCAAATTACTTTCCATAACTAAACATTCCTCCAAATTAAAATGTCTGCCTTTTTGCAACTGTCTTAATATTACTTTCAACGATGTCGGCGAATATTTTCTCAAATTTTCAACAGTCTTCTTGGCCCAATCAGTTCCATCTTCATCTAATTTTTTTAAAATATCCTCAACTGTAGGAGCAGCAAAACATCGGTTTATGCTATCCATCACAGGAGCTAAACTAAAATCAGGAATATTCCTTTCACAAATATCATCTATAATCTCGTTAATACTATCTTGCTTGCTTGAATAAAGAATAGCTTTTTCCAATGTTTCCAAATTCTTACTCAAGCAGTAGTGAGTTGCAAAACCTGCTTGAAATACATCAGATCCTTTAAGTGTATTTCCAGTTAATCCTAGGTAGTAACCAAGTCTACCTTTCGCTCTATTTAAAAAATATGTTCCTCCGGAATTTGGGTGAAAAGCTATTTTTGATTCTGGCATCGCAAACTGTGTGTTCTCTGTTGCTATTTTGTAAGTAGCGAAAGAAGATATGCCAGCTCCTCCACCAAATGTGATGCCATTCATGAACGCTATTACAGGAACTTTTGAAGTATGAATTAAATAAATATTAATATTAAGGTCGACTATTAGTTCTGTAAGCTTTTTCCATTGACCATCTTCAAAATAAGCTTTAACTTCTAATAAGTCCCCTCCTGCGCTGAATGCTTTATCTCCAGCACCTTTCAAGATAATTAAAGATTTTTCGTTGATACATTTCCTTAAGGACTCTGTCAGTTGTCTGTTTAAAATGGTTCCTAGAGCGTTTAAAGATTTGGGACGATTGAGGATTATGACAGCTTTATCTCCCACTTCTTTGGTAAGCACATGTTGATTTTCTGCAGTTGAGAGCATTCTGCAGGCGCTTTTTAGATATTTGCTCAGCCTGGTGAGTAGAAAAGAAGAATTCTAAAAAAAAAAACGAAACAAACATTACAGAGAAAACAGTTTGACTAAATTTTTTAAAATTTTTACTAGATCAGTTAAAAAGTTTAAACAATTTATCTGAAAAAATCAAATATTAAGTTATTCTAATTAAACAGGGTGTTCCATAATGATATGCGAACATTGAAGGGTGTGACTATACATGAAAAATTAATGTATTTTGCTTGTAAATTGTTCAAAAATATTCCGTTCCGAAAATTCGGGATGCTAAAGTTTAAAAAAAAAGGAAATTAATTAATATTTTCGTAACCGCGTTGGATATTTCAATGATATTTAGTACGTTGTGACAGTTAATAAAGGTATATATTTTTCAATGTAAACATAATTTTCAGCTTTAACAGTGACGGACCAATGGCTTTTTCATAATTAAAAATTATTTTACATTTTCCCGTTCAATTTAAAAGAAGCTGTTTTCCACACAGACACCATCGCGAAAATGGTCAAATCAGATTCAGGGGACCCTAAAACGTAAAGAACTGCCGAAAAAGAAATAATGCTTAACTTATACCTTCCTTCAGTGGCGGTTTGCCCGTAAGGGCACTTGGGCACGTGCCCTAGTATAATAAACAAACACAAAATAACTTACATATTTTATATTTTCCTCAATGCCTATTATTATTTTATCTAATATTCAGCGCAAACCGCGTTGACATGACACTGGACGACTGGGCGTTGAGCGACGTTCCGAGAATTCCGAAATTAAGTGGGCACAGGGCACAGTAAATGTGTGCCTCTGTTGTTTTCTCTCTCATTATGATGCGAAAAATAAGGACAACAGCAATATCGCTTAGCAACAGATGAGCACATGCGATGGATTATACGTCACAAGCGGGGCGCTGTCCTCATCGTGACGTGCTGTACCCATGGCACAGATTACCTAGACCAGATACGAATGTACGCAGCAGCATTTTTACCGGTTTCCTCAAAAAGGCGATGCCGGTTTCGGCTTAAGGTGCGCGTTTGTTGGACCATGATAATAATTTATTTATTGTGATTATTAAAAAACGTTAGTTGGACCATTGGAATAGTTAAGAAATAAAACTACAAAGAAAAATAACTTTTTTTTATAAAGCAGTCAAAAATATGAAGAAAAAAAATCAATAATATTTATAAATGGGACAAAATTTTAATTTTTCTTTTGGTTTTGTCTGACTTTTTCGAGGAGATTTTAAATTGCCAAACACCTTCAGAGTCGTACGCTTTAAAATGCTCCTACAAGAAATTATGAACACAGAATTCGATAAAAAACTATTAATCAGACTAAAGGGTTGATAAATTTTGAAAGACAGATTTTAGTTTCTGGTTATTTTTCTTCAGCAAAATAATGCCAAATTACGATATACTTTTTGATCAACTGCAGAGTAGACAGCTCGTTGCTCTCAATGTTAAGATAAACACATCATCAAATTTTGCAGCAGCTATTCAAAATATTAGAAATAATATAAACACGCTAATTCATGAAGAATGGCAATCACAACAAGATCCACAACAACTAAACTTAAACGACAACACCCAATCAGGTCCAAGTACAAGCAAGGAGAGACGGTTTGTTGAAAAGGAGGACCCCATTCCTAATTTAAGGATATGTAAGGAAATTTGTGATACAATAGTAGTGCAGGTAAATGAACGTTTTAGTTTTACTACCCACCTAACAATTGCAAGTTTATTTGATAGTGAAAAATTTAAAGACTACCGAGGTTGTTTTCCAAATGAGGACGTTAAAACTGTGTGTAGTTTATTTCCAAACGTAAACAGCTTAAAATTCAAAAACGAACTGTCCATAATTTACACACGAGATGCCTTTGTGCAACACAATGGGACCGTACCGTTATTACAAATGTTTTTTGAGAACAATTTGACAATTACATTTTCGGAATCTGTGGAGCTGCTAACTATCCTGTGTACAATTCCCATAATCACAGTGGAGAGTGAAAGATGTTTTTCGACACTAAAATGTATTAAAACATTTTTAAGGAACACTATGTGCCAAGATAGATTGTGCGCGTTAGCCATGTTATCCATCGAAAAAAAAAAAACGTATTCGGTCAATTCCAAATTTTAATAATCTAGTCATCGATCACTTCGCTAGCCAAAAATCCAGAAGAATGGACTTCAACTATAAGAAATAGTATACAACTGCAGCGGTACCTAGTTAGTCTTCAATTTTGTAATATTTAATTTGTTTTGAAATATATTTAATTTTCATTAAGCGGAGAACTTGTTTTCCTAAGGGAAAAACGAATCCCGGGATTCCTTTCCAGTGTGTGCCCCACTGCCGCTAGTGCCCACGAGCCGCCACTGCTTTCTTTACTAGTTATAGTAAATAGATACTCAAAATAAATGGGGGACCTACAATTATTCAGGGTCAGTATTATTGTTTGTAAGTATTTAATGCTGAACAGGGTTTCATTAAAAATAAATAAAAGTAATCATGTAGGTACTTACAAAGGCAACTTAAAAATAACAGACTACGTACACTATTCCCGAAAAAATTGTCACAATTAAACTACATTAGGTTACTTTTACAAACAAAATAAAAAAGGAATTTTAAATACATTAAATGTGAAGGTTAACAACGTCTGTAAATTTTGTGTTAACATAAAAACAGGTAGGTATATTATTAAATTTGTTACCTGACGACAGAGGTAGATACCTACTTACCTTATGCATTTTGATGTTTGTTTTATTCCTTTTATCTCAAGTTATAAATTGAGGTTATAATATGTTCTCGTTTCTTCAATTTCTCAAGCTTCTATGGTTTAAATAATATAGTGATCCATTTCCATTATTCATCTAATACATTTTAAAGACATTTTTAATGTAGCTATTCGGTATCTAGTACTGGGCAGTAAATTAAAAATGATTGAGTAAGTATCTACTTCTCACAAATACATTTCAGTACTACATTTACTTGTGTAATAATCCTAGAGCCAAAGTGCAAATTGGTGACTGAATTTGTTATTAAAGTGTGCTAAGATACGTATCCAACGAAATCACAAAAGCGCGAGTGTCAGACCGGGGCGCTATAGGCCATAGAAGAACTATAGGCATTACAAATCTTACGTGCCTCCCAAAAATCTGACTTTTCTTAACATTTTTCTAATACTCAATCGACGATAAGTGCCAAGGACGTACCCGAGTATGTAATTCTAATAATAAATGATGCGGAGATAACAGCTGATATGTGATAAATTAAACAATGTTGCCAATGTGCAAGTAATATTTTTCTTGATATTTAATTTGTTACTTTGATTAAATTTATTTTAATTATTAGGAATAAGTACAAAACGGAAAGGACCCAAAAACTATAGAAAAAACATTAAGTTATTAACTTAACCCATAATATTCACTTATAAGCACAATATACATATTTATAAATAATTAACAATATTTTATAAAGTTAGAATGAAAACTATTACAATAATTTCCCTGACATAATATTAAATTAATAGTAGTTAGATGTTTTTTATATTAAAATTTTTTCTATAAAGGAGCGGAAATCTTTTGCTAGTATAAAATTAACCTAATATGAGCCTAAAATTAACCTAAAAATATAGCGTTATCAAAATTTAAAAAACGAAGCTTGATATAGCTCAAGCTAGCCGAATCCCCAATTTTTCATAAAAAGAAAGTAGCGGACATTTTTGTTTGTTGGTATAAATTAGCCTAAAATAAGCCTAAAATTATGCCGTGTCCCTTTTTAAGTTCCAGCAATCGAAAATCGAAAAATCCTATAAACTTGTATTGTCAAGTTAGAGTACATCTATTTTTTCTAATAAAGACAAGAGTAGACATTTTTTTTATATTTGTATAGAATTAGCTTAAAATAAGTCTAAAATTATGCCGTTATCATTTTTTACATTGCTAAATTTTTTATAGGAAAACGCAATAAGTGTCTGTTGTCAAGCCAGCAGAGTACCTATTTTTTTATAACGAAAGGAGCGGAATTTTTTTTAGATTGGTATAAAATTAGCCTAAAATAAGCCTAAAATTATGGCGTACTCAGAATGTGAAAAATCTAAAGGTGCTCCGCTAGCTTGATATCAAGCTAGCAGAGCACCTAATTTTTCCTATAAAAAAAGGAGCGGAAAATTTTTTATGTTGGTATAAAATTAGCCTAAAATGAGCCTAAAATTGTGGCGTATTCAGAATGTGAAAAATCGAAAGGTGCTCTGCTAGCTTGATACGTATATTACATTTACGTATACTGAATCACGTGATCAAAGATTTACTACATCTCAGATGCAACCGATGTGGATATTCAAACGCGGCACAAGTCATGTATTGTCCAGAATTGTTAAAATAAAGAACAGATACATAATTATGTTTCTATTTCACTATTCCTACAATACTCACAGAGATGGGATTAATAGGAAAATAAAAGTACACATTTTTTGACAATAAAATTTAAATTATCTGTGTTTATTGGTACACGTCACATATAAGATATAACATTTTTAACTTTACCAATTATTTCTTTGGCCTCCAGTGATATCTGGACGGCAAAAGTACTTTAAAAGTTTAAAATGGAGTAATAAAAAAAATTTGATTTTTATAGCCCATCATAATAAAAATAAATTGGTCATTAGTTTTTTATTTTGTTACTTACATTGTACAAGTATTGATGTATTTTTAAAGTTAAAGTTCCACATTAACGATATAGTCGTTTTTTAATATCGCTTAATGAAAAAATATTAATATTGTATTATTCTTTCTTATATATTTCAATTTAGATTTATTTGCAAATTACGAAACAATCTTCTTTGTTCTTCACCCATGCATTCTTCAAAATGTTTATCTATTAATTCCTCTGTAACATCTTCTAATTTGGATGGATTCCAATGAGGTATATCACCTTTATCGATAAGCGCAGTTCTAGTCCCTAAAAGTAAATTTTATATTTTTTTAAATAGGTATTTAAAATAATTAGATTTTCCGTTTTCAGTTAATAAAATCTCGCGATATACTATCCGACCATTGCGTGTTCAAAACATACATATTTTTAACCGTAAATCTAAATACGCTCCTGAACAGCCACGCGCTTAAATAAAAACAAAACCTCATAGAAAACTCCGCCGTCACGAGACACCTGCAAACGCGCGAGCGAAAAGTCACGTAGCCATGGCTGTCCAGTGAAGCGTACTGCCGTGCTTCGCTTAAAAGTGGTCTCCAATTTTAAGCTAAATTGAGTTATAGTGCTTAATGCATACAATCCATCATTTTACATATTTTTTTATAGCTAAAAAGTGGTAATGTCTTTTAAAAGTCAAAATATCTGCCCATAAAAATAGTCACATCACATTTATTAAGAAGCTTAAAAGTGGTCTTTAACTTTAAACTTCATTTTCTCCATTTTATTTTTTCAAGCCAGATGCAAAGCTAGAATTTTTCATTCACCAGACAAGTTGAATCTAGAAACGTTTTCATTGTTAACTCACTCTTCTTCTGTTCTTTGAATAAAATAAAAACGCCAACGTCAAAAGAGTGGTCGTGTGCTCAAAAATATTTTTGAGGAGCAAATAATCCATTATGAATTGTAAAAAAACTACATACATACATCTTCAAATGAACAAACATATTTAAACATTCTTAATCAAAAACTTTTTCACAAAATCTTCGTCTGTTCATGCAGACTTCGACTTCAACAGGTAACGACAAACGAAAAGATAGGTTCGATTGCAAAAACAAACGCTATCAAGTAATTATATTCGTTTTCATTGTAGTTTATGTTATTTCCCTCATCATAAATCCAAGCAATGCAGTGCAGATTTGTTTTTATTATATCAGCTGTGGTCACAGCTATGATAGTCTTTCTAGACACAATCCAACACAACGGAATAACCGATTAGTACCGACTTCAAAGGGACCGCGCACATGGGCGTATCAATTTTATTATTAAAATTAAATAAATTAAATTAATAATTGTGTATAGTTCTTCCATTAAACTCGTTCCGAACTCTTGCCGACAATTTTGTTTGATCTGTCACAGGCGTAGATACCTCATTTTATAAATTTAATATTTTTATAAATACGAGAAAGTATTCGTTAAAAGGCGATCGAATGATTATAAATTGGACGGCGTTATACGCCGTTATTTAGAGAGATGAACTTAATTGAAGTCCTACTTGAAACTTAAAAAAAAAATCATTATTATAGCTCGTTAACTTGCTACAACTGAATATTAAATTATAAAACGTAAATAGACGAGTAAAATGTACCTGCCTGTAAGGGGGTTTGGTTGAAACAGGGTACCAGACGTGAACTGATCCCTTTTTTGAACCTATTTCGTTTTTTTTTCTTCCGGAAAATGAAATTTCAAAGCGAAAACCATAAAGGAAAATAAATTCTTTGCAAATAATACAAAACTATAAAATAATTTAGAAAAATTAATTTTTTAAAAGAACTAAATGAATGCGAACTAATAAAATGTTAACAATGAATTAATTTGATGACTCTCGGATTACCAATAATGACAAATAAAAAAGTTAATTCGAATCTAAATCTGAACCATCTGTCGAGGAATCGAGGTTTGTATATATAACTACTGGAGCTATAGAAGGTAAAATATATTTTTTTTCCTCTTTAGAATGTGACTAATGCAGTTTTTCTAAACGTCAGTCAAAGACGGGTCTTTAAAAATGCTATTAATATTTTCCAAATCACATTTGTTAAGGTAGGTGCAAAATTATTACGTCTCAGTTTTTGTTTAACTGAAGACCAAACTAATTCAATTGGATTAAGTACACAATATTAAGGTGGTAACCTCAATACAGTATGACCATCATCTTTTGCAAAATTATCAATACTGTATTGGAATATTCTTACTTTTAACAATTTGTAACAATTGTGGTTTTGTTTTTACGAAAGCAGGACTATCAATGTTATTATCTTTTAAATACTTTGATATATCTGATTTCTTAGAGTCACTACTTGGCTTCTTGTGAATTTGCCGGGAATGATATGGCGCATTGTCCATTATAATGACTGAATTAGGTGGAATATTCGGTAAAAGTTGTTCAGCAAACCAGTTCTTAAAAACTGCTGCATTCATATCTTCATGATAATCCAGCAGAGCTTTATTGACCTATTTTGCTGAAAGTAGCGAAGCGTTTGCTACAAAGCCATTTTCATTTCTGGCATGTAAAATTATGACTCCAGCATCTACATCTACCTCAAAAGGTCTCCAGAGAGCATCTCATATAACACAAATCAAAATTTAACAGAAACACCGAAAAATAAAATTTTTCAAACCGTGTACGCTACTGAACAAAGATAAAACAACTAAAGCAGCCAGGCGAGCCAGCAATTCTGGCCGCTCACTTGTGGACTTAACATCAACTGTAGGTGCGTAGATGTTTAAAACTTAAGTGTGCCACATCAGAGGCTATACTAAGACGATTCACGCTTATTTGTAATGTGATGAGAGTATAGAATTTGTAGCATTCGCATGGCATGTAACGCGAATTATTACGCAATCCTGGTACAAACGATTGTATTGGATTGAGTTTAGAAACACTTTATAGTGTACTCATTTTAGTTATTTTCATTAAGTTCATTGGGAATTAAACCATATACATTTAAATTAATATTTTGTGTTCTATCTATTTTCCCAATTATAAATATTTACGTTAATATTTTGGAATACTTAAAAAGCTAACAAATTTAATGTTAGTATTTTAAATTGCTAATGTAAATTAAACCCAAATATTAATTTGTATGTATCTATGGTTTAATTTTCAATCAACACACAGAACGTGCATTTTCAATATTGTGTGTGTTCACGATATCTGTGCTCATACAACTTTTGTTTAAGCATTTTGTTTTAAGTTATACATTGGTGCCTTTTGTGCGCTTTTAAACGCTTTAATCGACAAATTTTTTAATTATTTAGGTTTTCCTATATTTTTGCCAGTGATTTTGCTGAAAATCTTCACTTTCAGTCAGTTATTTTTAATGTTTGATTTTTTTGTTGCTTATTTGTTATGAAGGTTTAAATAAAAAAACAACCTGTGTGTGTTTTTTCACATTAAATCATGTTAAGTATCATTTTTTTTTTCCATTTTAACAATACCTACTTGAAATGGTATTATTTATTAAGCAAAAATACATATCTTTGCCATTATTAAAAATTTCCCATAACGACATATTTTCTATCTAATCTCCTTTTTATTTGTATAGGTACTAAGGTACTAATTAATGTCTAGACAAAATCTGTATTGTAATATTCATTACAATGCAGATTATTTTTGTTATTAGTCAAAATTATTAGTCAAAATTAATCAAACATTTTATTATTGAAGGCACAAGTGGATAAAGGTGTCATCCGAGTGTCATGTCACAAAAATATTATTTCGAGAAAAACAAGTTTAAAGTTTTACAGTTGCATTATGATATATGGCTCGTGATACCTTCCTATCTGATGCATAGCCGTTATTTATCAAAATTGGAAATCAGAACTATCACAAACAAAAAATATAGTATATTTTAAGTATTTTAGGCTATAAAAATCATTTTTTGAAAAAATATGACACCATTATCCACTTGGTCTACAAGTAAAGAAGAAAAAAAGCTGTTAAATGGTTATACATATTGTTGTGAGAACGCCTAAGCCAACCCTGTTCCGCTCAGCCATTGCAAGCCGCTTTGTCTATGTTTCGATTCGCAGGACAGAGACAAACGCATGCTTCGAGAAGCTACCAGAAAAAGCGGTACGTGGCCGTTGAGTCATATAAAGGCAGTTCACCTAGAAACTACTGGTCTGGTACAGAGCTGGCTTTGTATAAATAGCGCGAGTTTGCCGATAGAAAGGAAGATTCATTTTAAGTGTTGGACAGTACAGACAAATTGTAATAAATAAATTAGAATTAAATTAGATTGGTGAGTTAGTGTCTAAGTATTATATAAATTAATTAGTAAGTTTTAAATAAATTAGAAATAAAGTGTTTTAAATAAATAAAGTGTTTTAAATAAATAAACTATAAATAAATTAAACAAACGTTTCAATATATATGTAAGTGTAAGTGCATACAATGCTGAGAGCATCTTCAGAATGATTAATATAATTGTGTCTTCCCTACATGTTGTGGATTGTTTCTTGCCCAAGTTGGTGCTCAGTATTAACCATTTACATTTTAATTATTTTGGAGACGTTCTCAGTATTGTATGTGCTTAGGTATCAGTTATTACATAGTTATGTAGATACTATTATAATTTTTATTTATATATAACCATTTAACACCTGTTTTCTTCAATTCTTGTAGACCTGATGATGGTCTAAGGCAGAAAGCGGTTGTCAATTCACTTTTTATAAAATTTATTTGTGTGGGATTGATTTTGAGAAATTTTATCTTTAAAATTATACATTAAAGCCATTGGATACCTACCCTCCTTCAGTTACAATACATTATTTTTATGATGGTACCTATATACAGATGAGACAATAATTGACAAAAATAGAAATATGAAGATTATGTAGGTTACCTTCTTCGGCCAAAGCAGCTGATCGACAACTTGCGGGAAATCTTAATTTGAATTACCTTTAGTTTTCACTTTAGGGTAAATCAGATTAATTTTTTTGGGAATCTGATATGCACAGGGGCGTATATACAGGGGGTAATTTTTAAAACTAACTTTTTATAAGCACCTACCAAAATGTATTATTATCAAAAATAAGGTCCCAAATATTACCACTACCCTCAAACTTAAACTTTATTACGCCAGTGGATACCTATGCATCCTTATCTTTCTTATATCTATCAGTAGAAAATTAAATACGATGATTTAAAAATTGTCACTTTCTATTTTTTTGTAAAATCAGAGAGATTTGGTTGTCATTTTATTAATTTCTACTTTATGATTTTTAATAAATAAATAAGCAGATGAATAAGGTACCGATAATATGCAACAATATTTGAATAGTTCATTATAAAAAAATTACCACTTGTTTTTTATTTAGATTTCTGTAAAAAAAATAAATTTTTTGTCATAACTTTTTACATGTTTCATGTTTCGGAGAGACGTTGGAAATTTTTTCTTCTAAAGGGGGCGCCGGTCCGGAAAAGGTTGGGAACCTCTGCTCTAGACCGTGAAATATAACTATTTTATGTTTTTTTTAACACTTTGTTATGCAATAAACTCACCTTCTAGCACATCAGGAAATTTATAAAAATTCACGGTCAAGTTGGTTTCCATGACTAAACATTCCTCCAAATCAAAATGTTTACCTTTTTGCAACTGTCTCAATATTACTTTCAAAGAAGTCGGCGAATATTTCCTCAACTTTTTAACAGTTTTTCTGGACCAATCAGACCCATCTTCATCTAATTTTTTAAAAATGTCCTCAACTGTAGGAGCTGAAAAACACCGGTCTATGGTATCCATTACAGAAGCTAAACTAAAATAAGGGATATTCCTTTCACAAATATCATCTATAATCTCTTTTGTATTATCTTTTGTGCTTGAATAGAGAATAGCTTTTTCTAATGTTTCTAAATTTTTACTTAAACAGTAGTGGGTAGCAAAGCCAGCTTGTAAAACATCAGATCCTTTTAATGTATTTCCTGATAATCCTAGGTAATACCCAAGTCTACCTTTAGCTCTGTTTAAGAAATAGGTTCCTCCTACGTTTGGATGGAAACCAATTTTCGATTCTGGCATTGCAAATTGAGTTTTCTCTGTTGCTATTTTGTAGGTAGCGAAGGAAGCTATGCCAGCTCCTCCACCAAAAGTAATACCATTCATGAAAACTATAACAGGAACTTTTGAAGTATGAATTAAATATATAATATTGTGAAGGATCTGCACTAGTTCTCCAACCTTTTTCAATTGCGATTCTTCATAAGAAGTTTTAAGTTCGATTAAATCTCCTCCAGCGCTAAATGCGTTATCTCCAGCACCTTTTAAGATAATTAAAGAATTTTCTCGCATACATTTCCTTAGGGAATTTGTCAGTTGTTGGTTTAAAAGGGTCCCTAGTGCGTTTAAAGATTTTGGTCGATTGAGAATTATTATAGCTTTGTTTTCGATTTCTTTGGTAATCACATGTTGCTCCTCTGCTGTTGACAGCATTCTGCAGGTGGTTTTTAGATAGTTGCCCAGTCTTTTGAGTAAAAAGGACGAATTCTGAAAAAAAGTAAAAACAGATCTAATGAGGAGGTTCCATAAAACTCTAATCTAATCTAATTGTTTAAAATGACAACCATTCTGTTAAATAATTATTGTTATCCTCTTAATCATTTCTTGGATTGAGACTGGAATTATGTGTTGAAACAAAATGTTTATTTAATCTAATTAAAAAAAAAAAAAAAATAGATGATTAAGTCAATGATTTATAATTTTTTCCTTTTTTAATTATACTAAATGAAAAATTATAAATTTCGTGAAATTAGGCAATTTGTTATACATTACATCATTTATGTTAACTTGATTTCTGAAAATCGTAAGAATCAATTTTAAAAGGAAGAACAGACAATAAGTTGAGATTGACGTTTCAATTAAGTATTAATTTTGTCACGATTTAGGTTAGTTTTAATTTGTCTCCGGGCCGAACTCGCACCACATTTTGTTTATATTCTGAAATATTTTGAAGTTTTAGCGTGCCTGGAGCGAGCTGTAGTGTTGCTGTTTGCAAATATAATTTTTACTAACAAAAATCATCAGAAAAAAGGATATCATTATCATTTGCACAAAAAATGGACGCAATGTTGTTTTAGAAAATATTAGATCAATGTTAAAACTGTGAATATTTTATATGCAGTGTTATTATTAAAAAAACGATTTTCTAGATGATATTCGGGCGCGAATCATGAAGATTGAACCTAAATTGAGTGGTTCAGTACCAGAATTCCCAGACAACACACCAAATCCCAGAGATATCCGCAGAATATCTTTTGTGGATATCCAGTATATCCACAGGATATCAGAAATATTCCGTGGATCTAATATGCATATCCAAATGTCCGTCTATATCCAGGATATAGAAAATATCCTAATGGATATTCGGCAAAATATCTAATGGGTATTTTCCAGAAAATACAAGAAATCACAGAGATATCCACAGAATATATTTTGTGGATATTCAATATATCCAATATGGATATCCAACCAAATGTCCGTCTATATCCCAGGATATAGAAGATATTCGGATATTCAGCAAAATATTTTATGGGTATCTTTAGTAGAGGTTCATAAATAACCAATAATTATTGAATAACGTCGAGAGAAAATAGCAGAGATAAAAATATAACACTCGAAATATTTTCAACACTCTGCCTTTGATTTTGCCCACTAAGGAGAAAGTCATCCTTATTAGGACTCTTCAGCAATAAATGAAAATTCTCGACTCCAGTCTCTAATGGAGTGATTAGGACACACATTTCGATCGAACTCAATTACGGCGGGTCGAGCATGAGTAGATGCGATAGTGGTATCGCCATCTATACTTAGTAAGCAGAATCAAATAACATCTAGTGGATATCCACGATGGTTTGCGTTCGCGCCTAGACTTTGATATATTTAGTAGATGTCCATGGGATATTGCATACACCTTAAAAAAAATAATTTTAAATATCTGAACGGTACTATTAGCCACAATGGCGAGCACAATGGCGTAATTTTTTAATAATTTGCTATATAATTACTATTATTTATTGACATTTGCATGGACTGGACATTCAGTGGATATTGGGATGTTCAGTAGATATCCAAAGAATTTGGTGTGCTGTCTGGGTTAACAACAACAATTTATTAAAAGTGAATAAATGGCGACCAGGGCACTTTAAGCTGTCGAATAATTTTAAGGAATAGGCGCAGAAATAATTTTAAAATAATTAAATACGAAGACCGGTTGTTTTGAAATTTTACTGGTTAAAAGACACCTCTTGCACTGAACCACTTAATTGAAATGGTAGGATTTTTGTACAATATTTTGCAATTACCATTAACAATTAAATTAATTGCAGCTCTGCCCACTATACATTTAAAGACATGAGATGGTTTCATATAAGCATAAAACACAACCAAGACCAAGAGTAAGTCGAAGGACTTTACTAAAAGAACGTAAATTATCTAAAAAGGGTTTTCTGCAGGAAGCCTTAAACAAGAAAAAAAGGGCCTGTTGTATCATCATATTAAGAGCAAACCGAAAACCACGAAAACTTATAATTTTTGTGAAATTTTCAGCAAATACCAATAATAACAAAACTTAGGATGGAGAAACCTTGAATTTTTGTAAACCTTACAAAAGTATTATTTTAAAAATGTTTGAAAGGAATTTCGAAAAAACCTATATTAAATCTATGAAAATTTACTTCTTTTTGTTTTATTAAATATTTAGTAGTTTTTAAATGAAACGATTTCCCACCTTGTTTCTTGAACGTCTTTGTAGATGGCTGCCTTATCGTTGTAGCATTATCAAGACACATAATATCACGAAGTATTCCCAGTAGCACGCATACAAATACAATTTTATATTAGAAAATCCTTAAAACATTTTTGCTCTCGCGAGAAGTCACCGGTATATTCTTTTGATGTTGCTGTAAAAGTAAAGCAGCAAAAAACAAAAATAATTTACTATAAAATTTGAATAACCATATAAAAATACGTTTCTTATGAAAGTACTATTTTAATCTAATTACTAATATTCTCTTTGTCAAAAATGATTTGTACTCACCATATTGAACTCTTTCAATATACAATTCACATTTAAACTGGTAATAAGTGAAAATAATTTAAGTCCCTCATTAAAACAAAATAGATAGTAGGTTTTTACTTAAATATAACATTGATATACAAAATGTAAGGACACATGCAAAACCTACACATTAAATTACATTTTATTTAAATATAGTCAGATATATTAATGATTATATTTATATTTATTTATATTTTTATTTGTTAGAGGCTAAAATTTAGAGTACTTTAAAATATATGTAGTCCGAAAATTGCGTGTACATGGGGCTACCACAGATTTATGGGCTCAAAATAAGTTGAATTGACCAAACTTAGGGTGTGTGAAGTAAGCATCTCATATTTTAAGCAAAGTTCTTATGGCACCCGATATAGTTCTATAGTTCCTGATTCTTTTTATCAATATTCTGTCGAATATCCTCAAATTGTTGAATCCTAGACAGGCGCAATTTTTGTGAAGAATTGTAATCAAGTTTTTAATAGTTTAAAAGTTATAGAAAATTCTCTAATCTTACAAAGTGTTTACATTTAGTTAACAGTACAAGTAGTGCTTCTTATAATTTTAAAAAGTGCATCATAAACCTGAGTTTGTGTTTACCTGTTACCTGCATATATCAAGGTCAGTCAAAAATCAATAATTTCTACTCCCACTATGTACAGCTGTGCAAACTGTTCAAAGACAATCGCCGAGCGAGAATCAAAAATTCAGTGCGATGCACAATATATCCCCTATAGTAATGTAACTGGGATTCAAGAAATGGCTTTGAGTTACGCTGCGGCCAGACACAGGTCTCATGGCGCTAGTATCGTTATTGATTTTTGACTTCGGCACGTTCATTGGTTGACGACGAATTCAAAACAATCTGATCGGAGCGTTACTCACTCCCACTCCTTCTCTTTGTTTAGATACTTATAAAAGAAAGAGATACCAGTTAATAATTTCTATTTCGAATCATCTTTCATTCTTTAGCGTTGAGTTTTTATAAGTGAAGCGTGAAGTGTCAGTGTTGACAAGTGATAATTTTTTGATTTTTTCTTCTACGAAATTTAATATTAATTTTGTTTCAGCGATATTTATTGTGATTTGTGTTGTTGTATTAAGTGCTTTCTTATTTAATATGGGAAACAAAACGTACAACAAACTCAGAAAAAGAGGAATCGAGGAGGGATTGCTATCTATGGCTGTCATCCAAGGGTCTGCGCCCTAGATAATACTTTTCCAGTGGAAAAAGCCTTTAAAATTCAAGTATAACAATTGTATGTTTCCGTTTTCCCTTCTTTTAATGTAGGTGCCAATTTTGAGGTAAGTTTGTAATAATTTTTCAGTTAATACCTACCCTCTTAATATTATAATTTAACTATGATCTTATGCTTTCCTATGGACACGATTCAAGGAGGGAGTCCTATGGCTGTCATCCAAGCCCTAGATAATAGTTTTCCAGTGGCAACAGCCTTTAAAATTCAAGTATAATAATTTACTTTTTTCGAAGTAGATGTCCATTTAAACTAAAATTTTTTATTTCACTTATTGATGTTAGCATTTATATACAGTATCGGCTAATGAACACTTTCCAATACGCTTGGCTAGAATCGAAAATAAAACTAAAGAGTTAGCGCATTAGTTCGATCAGGAAACGAATAATATGAATGTTGCCTTGTGTGCTGTGCAATATGAACAGGCACACAGTGTGATGCATCCCCACGTAGCCGGTTGGCTACGTTCATAGTATTATATTCCTTCTCCCACTAATGCTAACTCTTTGTAGTTTTTACTTGGACACTAGCAAAACGTATTGTACAACATTCGATAGCTGCCACTGTATTATCACAAACATCTCTTAATAACTAAATGATTTCATTTAATAGTTTCTTTTTTTTTTCAGTAAAATGGATATGGCTAGAGTTATCTTCGTCTTTAAAATATATTAAATAAGTTTTATAATTTTTCAAATAAAATACTTTATACAATTTTTTGTTTTTTTACCAGAGCCAATTTTTTTTCAGATCTAACCTCTATAGGTAAAAAATAAGTGATTTAGGTAAAATTGAAAAGTATATTACATGTTCTTTTAAATGTGTTGTTAATCCAAATGCTGCTCTTATTGTAATAGCTAATAATAAAAGAATTAGTATTATTTTTAGCTATCAAAATAAAAATAGCGCCTGGATTTACAGCTCGTTTAATCGAACATGCAATATACTTCTCAATAATTATTGCCGAATGAATATATTTAAAAATTCCCGCCATTCCGCGGCTGAAAATTTACAATTTTGGCGGGAAATTTAAATTTCGCCTTTAAATTATATTTGAATTTACCGCCATATCGAGTTAGTTGAGCGGCCAGACACAGACGCATTCTTGCGCTGCAAACTTAGTGCCAACTCTTTAACAAGTGAGATGCACTACTATAGGGGATATATTGTGGTGCGATGCCTGTAAGCAAGACATACACTTAGCGTGTACTGATTTGCGAGCAGAAGATCGCGTTACTAGGCACAAGATGCGTGGTATAAAAATTCTGTGCAATACTTGTACATCTAATTTTGAATCTTTTGCTAGTCTTCAATCAAAGATTGACAAGATAGATGATAAAACTACCGTTATAAATGGAAAGCTAGAAGCAATTGAAAGTAAACTATCTACAGTTGATTATTTTTCATCCCCGCAGTTTACTAATAAAATTGCAAATTAAGCAGTTGATCGCATAAATCGTGCGAGAAATGTTTTTATAAGAGGTGTACCGGAGATTGTAGAAGATGTTCAAACTAAAAAAGATCATGATAATTCTATTATTCAAGACATTTTGCACACTGTAGAATGTGATCAGAATCCGGTTACATTCTTCCGCGTTGGCAAGGACAATACCAAATTTCCTAAAATGATCAAACTGATAATGCATAACGAATATGACGCAAGGCATATTTTGTGAAACAAAAAGAAACTTCTAGAAAAAGCCTCCACTAAAAAAATAACTATTATCGATGATAAAACGCCCAATCAAATTGAATGCCTAAAAGAATTAAGGACCGAACTTGAGTTAAAGAAAAATAATGGAGAGCAGGACTTAACTATAAAATATATACATGATGTCCCAAAGATCGTGAAATTTCGTCAATAATCTCGATAAATTTTGTTTTTACGACTGGCTATTTCTATATACGAACTTGGCAATCCTCAACTCTAAATTTAATGAATTATTATGCTTTGTACAAAATTTAAAACCGAAGATCATTCTTATCACAGAAACATGGTTAACTTTAAATGATTCTGATTCTATGTATGATATTTTGAATTATTCTCTATACAGATGCGATCGAAGAGACCGTCGCGGTGGAGGTGTCTGTATTTATTTATCATCAGATATTACACAACATTTCTTTGTTACTCCTCTTGACATTAGTGTCCCTAATATGGAATTATTAGGTTTAAAAATTTATTCTAGCTCTATTACTCTTCATTTAGTCTGTATTTATCGTCCCGGAGACTCTCAACTAGCTGAAGATACAATCCTTATTGAAAAACTTGAATATCTGTCTTCACTAGAAAATGTCATTATTATTGGTGATTTCAATTTCCGAGATATTTCGTGGCCAGTTACTCTCACTCCAAGTGATGTTGTAAATTCAAAAAATAAATTTTTGAACTTTGTTCTAAGCTCTAATTTACAACAACTTATAACAGATCCAACACGATTCCGAGTCAACAATATTCCTTCCACGCTAGATTTGTTATTTGTAAATGATAAACAATTATTAACTGACCCTATCATTCAATCTCCGATAGGAATATCGGATCATGCAGTTATCATAAGTCGTATACAGTTTAACATAGAGAACCCATCTCACAAAGATCATACTTCATCTTATGAAATCATCGATTTCGATAACTTAAATCATCATTTATCTACCATCGATTGGATAGAAACATTGGGGGACTCGGGAGATCCGGAAGAAGTATAGAATAAGTTCGCAATTTTTATTACTACTCATAAAATGCAATACTCTAAAAAGGTGTTTTATAAAAATAAATTAAAACCGTGGATCAACGGAGAACTAATATCCTTGATTAGACATAAAAGTAAATTATGGCGTAAATATAAGCGGTCAAATAGTATTGTCGATCTAGAATATCACAAAAAATTTTCCAAGGACCTAAAGAAATTTATAAATGAGGCCCGAGAAGAATATGAAGAGTCAATAGCATGCAGCCAAAACTGTAAAAAATTATACAAATATATTAGATCTTCACTGCCATCAAAAGTATCCATTCCTTTACTAAACAAAGAAGATGGAAGTCCCTGCCAAAATAATTTCGAAACGGCTGAACTTTTAGCTAATACCTTCACAAAAGTTTTCACCAATGAACCTCCCCAGGATCAGTTACCAGATATATCACCCGAAAGAATCCATTCTTCCTTAGAACGGCTCAATTTTACTCCTGAAATTGTCAAACGTCACCTTTTAAAATTAAAAACCAATTCCTCTCCGGGTTTAGATCAAATATCTATTTTTAAAACAATGCTCTAATACCATATTAGTTCCTTTATCTATTATAAATGGCTCCCTGTATTCGGAAAATTTATTAAAAATAACTTATTACAATTGAAACATAATTAAATATTAATGGATCCCTGTATTCGGAAAATTTATTAAAAATAAATTATTACAATTGAAAACTAATTAAATATTGGGAAATAATTACGGTTCGCTAGAACAGAAAGCTAATCGGTCCGGGAATTATGAAACTCCCTGTATACGGAAAATTAATTTTAAAAATAAATGAATTAAATATGACGGTAATCAAACGTAAGAAAATAAATGAAATCAAAGTTTTCGGAACGCCTCTGTATCTTAGTTCGAAACGATCGACGCTCTGGCAATTTCGTTGAACGAGAATGATAATTTTCAGGGCGGTGTTTGGAAGGAGAATGCGTTGGTTAAAGTAAAAATTATTTTGAGACTTGCCAAAGCCGATCAAAACGGTGTGTGAATTAATTATGATAGAAAACGTCGGGCTTCGTTTAATAATTAGTTGTTGATGGGGAAACGGAATGATTCAAATATAATTGAATGAATAAATAAAAGAAAAAGAAAATTACATGAAAAATACTGGGCGCTTCTTAAAAGAGATTGCCAACGGTTTCCCATTAAGGGATGAAATGAAAAATGCTTGGCATGAATCAAAATTCTTTCACTTGTCGGACGAGTGTCCCAAACTACTTGTAAATAAAAAATAATATGCGGTTTCCTACCTTAGAAAAATAAACGGGGTTGTTCAGCAGTCTAACAATATCACGGTCACTCAATAGTCGGTGGAGAAGAGAGAAGAGCTTACGGTTGCCGGAAATCAAAAGACGACCATTCTCAGTTGTCAGCTAATTTATGCTTCTTCCTTAGGCAAGCTTGAAGACCGGTAAGCCAGAGTGAGAGATACCACCACTACAGCTGGCTGTTTACATTTTAAAAATAAAAAAATGTCCTACTAGTACCTAGATAATTGATACGAAATTGAATCTACAAATGCTTATTCGGATTTCGCAAATATAGAAATATTTTAACCTACGATAGGTGATAGAAGCTAGAACGGGATTTCATGTCGATATAGTCTGGTTATCATTAAGAAGCGTTATATATTCTAGAACTCGTCATAATGTGCCAGCATCTCACTATGGTCTATAATTTCTGTTTGTTACTAATACATAAAATTATTGAGCATGAAATAAGGAAAATAAAATGTCCTAAAAAAATGTAGAAACTTATATGAAAAAGTCAATATAAAACTAAAAAAGACAACGGCCACTAAGCGGCGCATTACCTATTCTATGACCTCTCGCACAGTACATACGACTTCCTATTCATTCCCTGTTACACTGATTTGGCTCGTTTACAACTATACGACCGCGTAATAACGTTTGCCATATTATTCGTTTCCTGCTCGGGCTAATGGTAACTCTGTAGTTTTCACTTACACTTTTGTAAAACGTATTGGAAAACGTTCCATAGCCGATACTGCACCTATAATGACAAATATTGAACTAAAATTAATATCTCAAATAAAATATTGTTACACAGCACCCTGCAGTAGCCTGCATCTGTTTAAGGAAACGTGTGAATAAAAGAAGAAATACGTCACCCATAACCCTACAGCGTGCTGCGGTCGTCATAAGTAAAGGTACGAGTAAAAGAAGGAAGAAAAATGTCATTCTACGTCAAGAAAAAACTGGACAGTTCGAGAAGGTTAAAGAAAGCTATTCGCGATTCAAATTAATTTTCGCGCACCTGTCATTTGTCACCTATAAGTAGGATGTTTGTTTATTTACATGTGTTTGTTTTGGGCGGAATTCGTATATGTGATTTTTTTTAACTGTTTTTAGGTAATGCAGGGGTCTATTCTGTAACAATTCCTTTATCCGTTAAAATATTGAAGGCCTTTTTTAAATATTTTCGGATTTACTAAATTACTTCTGTCATTATTTAAACGGATTCCTTTAAAATACATTAGAGGAATATCTTAAAAAATCCGTTTAAATAATGACAGAAGTAAATTAGCGAATACGAAAATATTTTTAAAGGCCGCCAATATTTTAACGGATAAAGGAATTGTTACAGAATAAACCCTATTCTCATTGTAATAGTGTTTTTGAGTTTCATTTAGTGTTAATTTTAAGTTTAAGTCTCGTGCTTTCGTCATAAATATAATATTTATCATGTGTATGACTTAATTTGTTGGAAATATTCACCTATTGGTTGCTACAAGAACATCTAGAAATATGTATTTACTAAACCCAGGACATGTTTTGTTATGTGGTTTAAAGGACATTACAGGTACCAAACGTTTATTATTTATGAACTTATTTAAAAATCTTACTCGACTTATTCTTATATTATGAAGTGAATTATGTAGTACTTTGTATACATGTAAATTGTAATAAAACCGTCACAAATCATATTACAGTTTGATTCTAAACAAAGTTATGCAAAAATTCAATATTGCGAATTTGTAGATATTGTAATGTGAGTCATTTCATTATTCAGTCATGCTCTAATACTCCAAGTCCCTCTACATAATTAAACCCCTTAAGACCAAACCAAAGAATGGACGACATGCATGAATTAGTTCGCTCGCATCTCCAAATCGCCAGCGACAGGATGAAGAAACGGTACGATACTCAAGCTACGGAGGGATGTTTCAAGGAAGGCGAAAAAGTCTGGCTCCATAACCCAAAAAGACAAAAGGGTTATTCTCCGAAGCTTCAAAGGTCTTGGGAAGGTCCGTACCTCATCAAGAATAAAATAAATGATGTCATTTACCGTATAAGTAAGATCCCAAACGGTAAACCAAAGGTAGTGCACTAAAACAGGCTGGCGCCATTTGAGGGTGACCATGAAGAAGAAGTAAACCAACTTCGAGAAACACCAGACCTTGTCTTTGAAGAATTTATGGGTGCATATGGAGGTACTGGAAAAGCCAGATATGGTGTTACGACCGAGCAACAACAAGATCTGCTATCGCTTCCGAAAGACTACTCGCTGGTCCATAGTACTTCCGCCAGCATCAACGACGCGCGAGGACTGGCATATGTGTTCCGTAAGAAGTTTGGTCGACTGGTAGAACTTCAATGTCAGTTACCAGTCCCTGGAAAAGCCTTGAAACTTCAAGACGGGTCACGGTATCTTTTTTATTTAATAACGAAGAACACCTTCCAAGATCGATCCGCCTATCAGGATGTATGGGAAGCATTACTTAGTTTAAGGGAGCACGTACGGGAGTCAAATGTACAAAAACTAGCCATGCCAAAGATAGAAGGAAATCAGCTGGATTGAAGGATCATTAGGAACATGGTGGAAATAATCTTTCAAGATACCGGAGTTCAAATACTGGTCTGCAGCCATTCGCCCAGTGCCCAGGTTACAGCGAAGACAGTCCCTTGTTACTTCCATGCAACTGGAAATTGTAAAACAGGGTTCAATTGCAGATACAACCATTCCATTTTAGTTTCGTAAGAGTTCCAGGAGGAACTATCTCTTAAGGAAGGGGCAATGTAATGTGAGCCATTTCATTATTCAGCCATGCTCTAATACTCCAAGTCCCTCTCTGTATTATTTGGCCTTTGAGGCTCAACTTGTCCGCTTATTATACATAATTAATCCCTTTAAGAACAAACCTATGGGACGACTATGGTGGAGGTGCTTTCGATGATGTTCGAGAAAGAACGAGATAATGTTTCTAGTGTATTGGAGAGAATATGTGAACTTACTAGAACATTCTCCAATTTTTTAAATTTGTATATAAATATTGGTGGAGGAACCATCAGAGTTAGTTATTATATGGACAGTGAAGATAAATAGCGAACAGTTTAGAGACATTCGAAATATATATAAATTAAAATAGTGTTACAAAATAAATAAGTGTTTAAATAAATTATTAATAAACTGTTGTTTTAAAATAAATAAACATCACAATATCTATTTATCGTAAGAAACAAAATTTTACGACTTGCACTTAGAAAATATTAAATACTTCAGTTTTGATTTTGATATTAACACCATATAGATTGCAATTTTCTGGGGACTTTTTCGCATATTTCATTTTTAATGTAAAAACACTATCACACATATTATAACAAATAAACAAATTTAAAGTTAAATAGCAAGAAAAAACTCGAATTGTAATTAATACAATTAAAATGTAAACAATGAAAACGAACGCCAATGTTGCCAAATGATGAACTGATTTTAAAACAAAATTAATAAATGAACTGAAATTTAAAAAAAATCAATAAAATAAATCGGTTTTATAAAAAAAAAATCCTTAAATAAATGTAGAGTATGATTACATATTACTATACACAAATTTTGATTCTTAAATAAAAGGTCTTATCCACTTCTTCAAGAGCTAAAATCCGACGACGTAGCATATATTTGCTACTTTTGGCAACACTGAACGATATCCTACTTATGGGGACCTTCTACAAATTTCCTCCAGAGGGCGTATCACTTAGCTTGAATCGCGAATATAAATCGGTGATCCTGACGTTGACTGATAGTATGTCATACTACATGCCCTTTTAGTAGGCATGGCATACAAATCTGATGATTTTTCACTGAGGACCTTGCCAGACGTCTTGCAAGGGGGTGGATGGAATGGGTCTCGCAGAATCCGATCCAGTTTATACAGGATGGGATTTTACGCGACTCGGGCCTGTTATACTGTGTGTGTGCAGGCAGTCAGTTTTATGATAGACGTTAGGCGTTAATGTTATCAGTTGTATAGTTATTGTAAACGTTGAGTTGAAATTGTTGAAATAAATTGAGATACCGAAAACCTGCGTAAAAATATATAGTTCCAACTTTATTGCGTAGATATTATTTAATTTTTTATGATTCTATATCTATTTTCAATTATTGGTTGTTCCATTTTTAATGATTTTAGGAACTTTTATAATACATCAAAAGCAATGTTCTTCATAAAATACATTTATATAAATACGGATCAATTTGACAAAAATGTTAAAATTCCAATTTAAACAGACGATCTCGTAGCGATATATTTTGGGCATGAATGCAGCGTCTGATCATGGTAATCTTTGAAAATAGTTTTTTACACAATTATTGTTCTAGCTACTTGATGTTTATATCTTCTAGCAGCTCAATTCAGTTATTTATAGCGTCTATATTGTCTGAAAAAGTTGTGCCGATCCGCTCTGTGTTAACGGCAATGCACAAAAGTATGATGTTACGCATGGGTAAGTATTGTTACAGTTTTTTAGCAGCATTTTAGAGTATATCGGAAACAATACATTATTAATTACTGATTTATAGATCATGTTATCAATACTTGACGTAAACACTAAATTCTATTTAAATATTATTTAAAAAAAATGTTTCAGTTCCATCTAATATTATTACTACGATATAAAGTGTAAACCAGGAAGAATGACCCTATATAGTAGAATAGTAATAATATGAAGACTAGTCTTCATAAGTAATAATAATAATTTTGATCTGAACAACTACTATTGACAGCTATTATTTGACTTTCCTTCAGGAACATGATATAAACGTCATTCACATAAATAGTTTGCTCATTTTTAACATTCACATAATAAATTGTAAAATGGGCAATCTGATGTCTTGTGTTTCCCATGTAAGTAACCGATCCCTTTTCAGTTTTAGCATACCTAATGTAACTGGGAAGTGATACTTAAGTGCTAAATCATTGACTTTTCACGTGAGTAACAAACAATATTCTGAACGTATAATATACTTAGGGAACGCTAATTTTATAAAAAAATAACGGGTATTAAACCTGAGGTCCACTACAAAATTTTTTAATAGCGGTAATGATTACTTGATTATAAAAAAATGTTTTTAGCATGATTTGTACTGCTTCTTATTATACTATGGATATAAATAAGCAGGTGTAACATTGCGAATGAACAAGAAACAGACCAATAGCAATAATTTTGGCGCGAGATTGAATACTATGAAAATATAAAGAAATTATTTAAATTTTAGCACTCAATTTATCAAAAAATATACGAATATTTATTTATTAATCAATACTCGCCAGAAAAAGGTAACAATGGGTTTGATTGGCGTCACTGTGCATCTACAGTCATTATTTCACACATTTAAGCAAGTCCGATCCTAGATGGTCAAGCATTTGAATGCAAAATTTTGTTATGCGCCCCTTTCTTACACTATTAACTCATATAACTCGACACACATTATGTATACATATTTTACTAGTGCCTAGAGTACTAATCTCTTACGCCACATCGTGTATAAAAATTTAATTACCTATCTGTAATAAATCAAAAGTATATAAATGTTTACGGTTATTAACATAACTTTACGCACTAGTGCGTAACATAATTGTTAATGCAATAAATCGAATCTATAATGTTAAAAAATATATTTTCTTCTCGATACTTCTTGTTTCGATTTTTTATCTCTGTATAAGAAAATCTATATAATTTTAAACCTAGTTTTCAAGAAAACTAAACAATATTTTCCTGTATTACTTGCAGGGGTTGCCAGATTTACGATAACTTTGTTTTTAAAAAGCGTGGCATTTGAGTAAAAAGCGTGGTATTTAGGTTAAAAGCGTGACATTTTCGTACTTTAGCCTGACGAATGCCAGCAAAGTAAAAAGTGGGATACTTACGCCTAAAGCGGGATGTCTGACAACACTAGTTGTAACGAAAACATGTTTAGTTTTAAAGAAAATTCAATGATAAAGTCAGAGTTATTTAAATCAAAGATACATTTCATTCTAAATCAATGTTTAGAATACTTTTTATTGTATCTTTTCGGTAGTTTTAGTTTCAATTTGTGATTTCTATTCATTTATACATAACGGGCATTTTTCTAAATTTTCACTTGTTTTTATGTCTTTCCCTTTTATTAAAATAACATTTCATTCTAAATCGATGTTTAGAATACTTTTTATTGTATCTTTTCGGTAGATTTAGTTTCAATTTGTGATCTCTATTCGTTTATACATAACAGGCATTTTTCTAAATTTTCAGTTGTTTTTTATGTCTTTCCCTTTTATTAAAATACCATTTCATTCTAAATCGATGTTTAGAATACTCTATATTGTATAAAATTCGGCAAACATTGCCCAGTTTTGCCAAGATACCAACAGAATTTGGCGGGGGGGGGGGGGGGGGGGGGCAAGACCTCCCCCCCTCTGGAGCCGCCCTTGTTTCCTTTTCATTTTGCTTCTCTCAAAAAATAGAGCATTCAATATAAAAACCGATACACGTCATCAATCAGTTGTGAAGTCATAGCCTTGCAGTGTTGCCCAATCTCCAAAATAGTCTAAGAATGTAGGAATTTTTAAAATTATGAGGTTATGTTTTTTTGGCTATGTTATTAGGAACAATTAATTTTAAATGTATAACGAATTCTATATAAAAGCCAATGAAGGTCATTGATAATGTTTAAATTGAAGTTTTAAAAAAACACTGAATTTAATAGTAATAAATTTTGCACAAGAGGTTTAAAATGACAAAAAAAGGTTAGGTTAAGGATGAAAAAACAAACAAATTTTATTTAGGCTTGATTTAATTTACAATAAAAAATAATTATGTTCAGTTAGTTTATAAACGTCCATATTTAAAAGAATTTACACTGTTTGCCCACATTTGTGGGGTAATGGTTCGGAGTGCTTCAGACCACATGTCTATACAATCTCTTTGTGTCTTTCCATCCCGACCAATGTGCCTGTTATAATATTGTTTTGAAATACTTCAAATCAGTTCTATTATATTAAAAATACAATGGTAAGGAGGAAGACGTAACACCTTATGTCCATACTGTTCAGCCAGCATATCAGCTACATATATTTTTGGTGGTTTATTACTAAAAAAATAAAATCATTTAAAAAATACAGAAAAAGTAGATTCCATTACTCACCGTCTAACAAGGTTCAAAAGTTCAGCCTTAAACATGGTGACTGAATAAGATATGTTCTGATTAGTCAACCACTCTTGAATTTGAACTTTAGTCGAATTACTATTCGGTGTTTTGTGTGCCAATGTGCTATGGTATGAAGCATTGTCCATTACAATTAAAGATGGTTCATGCAGGCTTCGAAGCAATTGTTCTTCGAACCATTTTAAAAAATTTTCATTATTCATCTCAACGTCATAATCATAATCATTGCTTTTTGAAGCAAATATGGCCTCGGCACCATCAATAAATCCATTTTCGTTTCCAGCATGAAGAATTATATATCTATAAAAAAGATCAATATACAGTTAACATGTATAATATATTCATTAGTTTTTTTTATTAACCTTTTACCATCAAATTTTGTACTTTTTACACTTTTTTATTGCTGTCTTGCCAAGAACGGTTTATGGTGCCATTTTGGAAAATCCAAGTCTCATCAATAAAAACAAACTGGTACAAATTTGCTTCCTTTTCTTTGGTATATTTTCTTAAAAATTCTGCCCGTTTCAATATCTGGAAGTTCCATAAGACCTCGCCTTGGTTCATCTTTCTGCCATTTGAAACCTATTTCTAATAATAAGGTATGCAATGATGTGCGACATCCATTGAACAACTCCTTCTCATTAAGTTTCACCAACAAAGAATCTAAACTTACATGCTCCTCTAAAATCATACAATAATTTTTAATTGTTTAATAATAATTTATATATGTACATATACACTTACTAGACTCGTACATGCTATAAATAACATCTCGAATAGCACTGGTATTCAGAATTCTTGTGTTGGTAACTTTCTTTTGCCTAGGGCGCTTTTTTGGTAGTGACTTTAGAACTTCACTGTTCTTTACAGCTTGTGAAATAGAACTAAGAGTAGAAAAATTGAGATTAAGTGCTTCTGCGACACGCTGAAACAAAATCATTATATTAATTTGACGGTGATACATTATTAATCAACTCACTTCTCTTACAGCTGTTAAAGGTAACAAAGGCCCATTATTATCACGTTCTTTCTCAAAATAATTTATTAGAGAAGCCACTAGTTCCTTTCAGCGACTATTTAATTGTTTTGGCATTTTTCAATGAAAAAATACACAATAAACCAACACCACTATTAAATTCCTGATAAATTTGTTCTGAAAAGAACAGTTTGTTAATAATTTAATCTAAAATACAAATAATTTGTTGAAAAGAAATCGATCGATGCAAAATAATACAAAACAAATAATAATTGACAACAATGTATTAAAATTGAAAGCTGACACATTTGATGCCAACTTTTATTATGAAATTCACTAGAAAGTATTCCGTTAATAATCTGCCTACAGTACATTTACTACTGTGATATGATAAAAAATACATTTTTAATATGCAATTTTATAAAAATGAAATCCATGCCTCTAAATTTATTCATTTATTTGCAAAATAAAATTTAATTATTTTTATTAGTGTGTGTGGTACCAATGTATCGGTTTTTATATTGAATGCTCTATAGGTATCTATTTTCGAACATTACTTATTTGTTAACTATGTTTTCTTCTATACTACATTTCTACCAGTCCAATTGAAGACGTGTAATAAGAACAAACGGCTGAGATTCGGTATTCAAATTGAATAAACGAATTTCGAATTGTGTTTTTATGTTTATTATTTTAGAATTCCCCATCTCAAGTCACCTTTGATATGACAAGACTAAGAAACAAAAATTTGCCGATCATCTGGATTACAGGACAACAAAATACTGGCAAAAAGACATTGGGTCAACTCATTAAGGACAGATACGAATTCGAATACATTAATATTACTGATTTGTTAAGAGAAGAGGCCAGTAAGGAAACTAAGAGGGCTCAAACTATTAATGAAGCTTTAAAATCAAAGAAGAAAGTTAGCGATGTAAGTCATTAATTTTTTCTGCAGAGGATTTTATATTTACCTACTGTTTAATCTATTTTTTGTCAATCTACAAACTGGCATATTTTTTACAACTTTGGCACTTTCCAGAAAAAAATTACGTGTAGCAACAATGTCCACAAAATTTTTTCTGGTGAAAAGTATATGTCGATATCTTTTTCCGTTCTAGATTTAAAAGTTATTAAAATTTGTCAATTTATAGATGGACTCCTTGTATTTGATATTGCTTATATTTCTAGAGTACAATAATAGATCTTCTAAAAGAAACTCTTACCGATTCAACAAACGACAAAGGATTCGTGATTGCGAATTTTCCAAAAAATCCGAAGCAAGCCGAACGGTTCATCAAAGAAATTTCCAATGTCAATTTTATTTTTTACTTTTATTCAGAAATACCTTTGCTAATAGAGAGAGCTCAAGAAAAATCTGGAGTAGCATTGGATCCTGAGACCTTGCGTCGAGACATTGCAGTTGCTACTAGAGATCTAAAGTTATGTCTATCAAAATTTACGTTAAAAATTGAAAGTGTAAGTTTTATTTTTGACTATTAACGATTTAGTACTTTTTTATGTAAATCTATAATAATTCTACAACACAAAATAATAAGAAATATTGTTCTATAAATTTAGGCATTTTTTAATACTATTTTGCTTGTAGATAAATACAAGTGGTTTGCCAGAAGAAACTTTTGTTAAAGTCGAAAATGCTTTGATAAGACGAATTAATGTGACACCCATCAAGACAGAGACGGATTATGTTCAACCACAGCACAGTAAAATTAAACACGTACCGCCACCACCATCACTAAATTATACGGACGAACACGGCAATAAAGACAAAAATTTGATAATTACAACAACGAAAGAAGAAACGAAAAGAGAAGGTAGTACGCTTAGCCTTAAGAAAGAGTCAAAACTGGATAGACCAGGTAATCTATAATTTGAAATATATCAAAATAAAGCTCACTTCCTTCACCATCAATTTTGAATAAAAAACCTAAAATTTCAGTTGGTGTAATAGGTGACCTAAAGAAACACTCTTCCTCTAAAGCCATTGTTAATCCTGTAGACAAAAAAGAAGATTCAAAGACAAATAAGAAGGCAGACAAAATCAACGAAAAAGAAAAAGGTGGTAAAGAAAACAAGAAGAAGGGAAAAGAAATTATCAGAGACGAAGAAGAAAACGTAAAATCCAGTGAACAGGAGCAGTCAGCGGACGAAGACGACAGTACATCATTAGATTTTTAAACTGCAATTATCTGCTTCAAAAGCATCAATTCATAAAAAACCCAAATTTAAAATATTTCTTTTTCTGAATAAATCTTATGAAAGACTTATGTTTGTTTGTTAACAAAATTTTGTCATGATTCTAGTAGGTTTATTTTAGCCTGTCTGTTATTTTGACCCGAGAATACCGATCAAGGAGAAGCGACAGCTTGGTGTTTTCAGTGTACCGTTTTGTAACGCGCATGTGCGAAAATAAGTTGTGTATCACTCAAAATTATATTATCTGTCAAAGTCAGTCCAAGTTGTGTTTAGTACGTGAGCAATGTTAAATGATATTGTTGGTGTTTGTTTTGTGTAGTAATAAGATGAATATTTTTACACACTTAGGTATTCTAATACAGATATAAAATATGCCCAAAAAGTTATTAGGAAACTAAGAATTTTATCACATGCATAAATATTAATTATAATGATTTAATCATTTTTGACATTTTATTTTTCATATGTAGGTATTGTATTTTGTGAAATATATGTTTTTCTTCTTTTAAATAAATTTAATAAACAATGAACTGCAGATTTTGTTTATTTTATTTTGAAATTATATTTAAAAAAATATAATAAATCCGCATGTTTCAATTAGGATTGGTCAAAGTGGGCGAAATCCCTTTATTATGGCTAAATTGTAAGTTACAATTATGTCAATATAAAGATGTTTTGCCCATTCATATTTACATTTATTGAATGAATCATACTGGAGTTGATTTTGGAAATATTGGTGCATACTTAAATAAGTACTATTTGTAAAAATTCGTCTATGTCCAGAAAGCACACATAGTCCAATGTACGTCCACTTTAGATCTATTTGAGGGTCAGGACGTCCATATCTGGGCATCCAGTGTACGTCCGTTTATGCTAATTAAATTGACAGCTGAATATCGATACCCAGAGAACGTCTGTTTTTGGACTTAATTTTAAGTTTAGTAGTATTTTGAAGTCTAGTAAACGTCCATCTTAGGTCATTATTTATTAAGCCTACCAGATAATACCCATCTATATATACTTCTTTTTTTTAATATAACTGGTCATTAAAAAATGAGAAATTGAATCTATTGCATTTCATTCTATCAGCGGAAGTTTGAAATCTTATTCAATTATAACTGTATCTAAAAAAAAGTTTTGAAGTGGTTCCTTGGTCGAGCTCGTCTAGCGATTGAAAGCATAAAACGATAATAGATGTGTCGTGAATTCGATTTCTGCTCAGGTCAAGCGATTTTTAATAAAAAAAATAAATAAATGGTGTATAGCGGTTTGCGAAAATAATAAACACATTATTAATAATATAAAATAGTGTGTGGTGAGTTGCGGTTCTGTAAAAAAATGGGGGTGTGGTCTCAATGGAAATATAATCCTGGACGTTTTTTGAATGTCCAGTATTCGACGTCCAAATATATTCCAGAATTGGATGTCTTCTAAATGGTCAAAAGTGGGCCATTTGTATACTTCACTGGACGTCTATTGGATGTCGGAAGTCCAGAAAAAACTCATTTTTGGACGTCTAGACATCCAAAATTGTATATCGAATAGACGTCTAATGGATATATTTGTATTGTCTGGGTGATAGCCAGGCCAGGTATTCAACTCTAAATACATAAACATTAAATGACATCTGGCTTAACTTGGCGAGAAAACACTTGTTTCTACAGAAATGAGTGATAAACTTGAAAGTCCTCTTAATATAATATAAATCTAGAAATTCTAAAAATATGTAAGTACTTTTTAAACCTAAATGCTTCGAAAATATATGCACATTGCAAATATTTAGTTAAACCCCTCAAACTTAATGTCTTTTTAATTGTTACCTAAATTTGTTTTGGCACCCTTAATTTTATTTACCTTATTTTTACTTAAGGAAAAGGTAATTTTATTTAAATATGGGGCTTTTATTACATTTTTAACAATAAATAAACCAAATATTGAACAAATTTTATAGATAAAGTATAAAATAATAAACGTCTTTTACTTTTATAACAAATAATTAATTATTACATAATGAATTATATTTTGGTGCCGAAATTTCACTATTGCTATTAACTCTAACTACTTCAATGTAATTAAATCACATTGCAACATTTGCGCATGGACTGACTATAACAATAATTTCAGATAATTTGCCAAACTATTTCGCTCAGTGTAGAAAATAGGCATGTTTTCTCAGCGTGCTAAGTTGTGTATTAATCAAAGTCATGCTGTGAAAAAGGTACATCCGATATCAAAGGCACCGACATCTACTGTCGCTTCTCCTTGATCGGTATTCTCGGATTTTGATTTCATATTTGGAAATCTAGTACAAACGTCATCCAAAAGAAATTGAGTTTAATTCTGATATACCACAGGGATCGGTATTTGGTCCCACGTTATCGATATTTTGAAAATATACAACTACTTTTAGGTCTATATTATTCCGATTATAACACCAAATCTTCTGTTTTTAACGTGATTTTTGGGAACATCGGACATTTTTTTACAAACTTTAGAAAAGTTAGAGATCGAAGACCAACTCTCTGATTTGTCATTCAAGGAGCTTATTTTACCACCGCATTTGGGACTCGTCATGCCATGCAACTATAACTAATGCTCCGTGAAAATATTGACACACCATATGAATCCACAAAATAAATCGTCGTTGATCTAGCAAAAATGCGTTAAGCCTTCTGTAACGTGTGGAGGGTGGGTTACCTCCACGGCACTTAAGCCTCACTAGACCCATTCTGCATCCTCCAAAGATGATAGGCACCTCCTAGCTCGTGAGCCAGCCTACATATTTAATGTAGTGACAACGTCGCCAAGAGTTGCTTCTCTTATATTGGCCGGTGTTAGCCGATACTCGCCAAATACAAATCTTCTAATAAATAAGAGCGTCGAGCAATCGTAAAGGATATGCTCGATGGTTTCATCTTTTTGTTCGCATCCTCTGCAAAGTGCGGATTCTGACAGCCCCATGATATGGAGATGCTTCCGTACTTGGAATACCTGTGACTAGGCGTAGATTCTCTCTAGTCAAGTATTTGTTTGCTGCAGTATTGTCAGGATTACTTAAGAGCTCCCTGGCAACTCTGAAGTTTCTTGTTTTGTCTCATCTTTTCTTGAATTTCACAAGGGAATGTTCTTTAATTAGGCCTGTCACTACCGATTTTGTCAGGCCAATAGAAGGGCCAGATTCAAAAAGTATTTGGTTGGCTGCTTTCTTGGCAAATGAATCAGCAAGACGGTTACCATTTGATGTGACGTGATCTTTGATCCATCTTAAGGTGACCAAATTGTTGATAAATACTTCGGCCAAAGCTTCGTGACATTCTAGTACTAACCCTGAGTAAATTCGTGGTCTGTTCAGGGTGAGTAGTGCTTGTCTGCTTTCAAAATAGATGAGCATGTTCCTTCCAGTGATATTGTTTCTGGTGATTTCTTTTGCTGCTATGAGAATCCCCGTTAGCTCTGTTTAAACTACTCTAGCACTATTGCTCACAGCCCATTTTATATTTAGGTTAGGTAATCTGGAGTATATTTCACATCCGGAACCTTGTTTTGTTTTAGAACCATCGGTGTAGATATGAATCGTACCTACCACTTCCGGCTCTTCTTATGTTCTGCTATAACTTTATATATGGCTTATGGAAGATATATCTCGGTGAGATGAAGTCCATGTTCACTTGAAGCAGTGGGAGCGTATCGAGCGCCTCCTGCCAAAGGCGAGGTCTTGCCTCACCAGATCCTACATCAGGTTCTACTCCAATCTACTCCATTGTCGTCAGAGCAACCTCCTTGATGTAAATATCAAGGGAAGTGAGACTAAGAATGATTTCCATGGCTCTGGTCGGTGTTGTTTTCATGACTCCTGTTATGTTGAGATATGCTGTTGTTTGAATTTGTTCTAGTTTACGGATAGCTGTTAATTTTTGGTGCGTTAAGCTTTGTTTAGAGTAGGAGCGGCGAGCGTGGCGATACGATAGCGTTGCGTCGAGCGACGCGATTTATATTTCAGATAGCACATCGCCGTGGCTCTCAATCCTGAACGTTTGCATTTGGTAAGACTAGGTTGTTTTACCGATGACGCGACAACAGTAATTTTATAGAAGTACCATTAAAAAAAAAACAACTACAATTATGTTTTTCATGGCTATCTTAGTTTATTGTGTTAAAAAACTGTCAGTCTTATCAAAGTGAATCAAGAGTATCTGTTTGTCGTAAAAAAGGTTGAGTTTTATAAGTACTGCTTCAAAAAAATAATATGTAATTTTTTACAATAGTAGCAGCGTCTCAGTTGGAAGGATATAATTTTTGAACTAGTCACTTTCAGAATATCAAATTTAAGAGAAATCCAAAATTTTAGGTATTTATTGTAGTTGTGAAAATATCGACAGCAAACCATTTCTCAAAGGGTTTTTTTAAAAGTGGTATTGCTCTCTTATGATGCATTTATGGATAAAGGAACATTCCCTTCCCCGAACAAGCTCAGCTTTTGGGATTAAAATTCACTCATAATCAGGGAGAGTATTATTTTTATTTTGAACTGTTAAAATATGTATCTCTAATTTTGGAACATCCTGTATAATAATTAAAGGCTTATTTTCTCTTCTGTTTATCAATTACTTTGTCACAATTATCATAAAAAAATCTTTTATCATGTTTACTGTGAATCAATTTTCTAATTAAAAATTACCAATACTGACTTGGATGGACATATCCTTTTATTAGCATTGTATGTAGATTGCAATATTCTCATATCACAAAGAGATATGAAAAAACTAATCATTGTTATGTGTTTTTTAATATCTACGCAAACAAAAAAGCATTGTCGAAGCGAAAGCAGACTACTTAATTATTCTAAAATAAAAAGTTGTCATAGATCAACGTTACCAATAACCTTTTGGACAAATGTGAATAAAATTGAAGAATGTGTTAAAGTTGCAAGAGAAAAAAATGGTTTGGCATTTAATTTCAGCCCTAATGATTCTAGAAAATTTGGCAATGAATTTGTGATATCCTGTCAAGTGCTTGGATGTCCAGAAATAGCAAATAGCTCAACCTTAGTTGAAGATATTTCTTTTGATTA